TGCCTACCTGAATTTCCTCTGATTGCGAGGTTTGGGTTAATGGAAGCCCTCTATCGTCCATCCCAGTGTGACCTCACTGTGAGTCCGTCAATTTTTGTTTTGCTTCTTACAAGCGAATGTGAATACCCACGTAGAGCCTAGCCTGTGCCAGCATTCAGCTTCAGGTGCTGTCTTCGAGAATTGGTTTCGCAAGCCTATGGAATCTCAGGTTTTGCTAAAATAATGCCCCAGCCGATACTCAGGACCTCTAGTAGCGTAATGTTCCGAACGAGCGTTGAATCTCTGAAATGCGAGCTGCTATCGACTTTGGTGGTTGCAGTAACCTCCTTTAACCCCAAGGAACCATCTACCGTAATTAATGGGTAGACCTATCTTTGTGTTCGCCATTTTCATTATTTATCGGCTTCACCTCACCAGATAGAGAAATCGTTTTTCGACACCCCGGCCAGATCTCACGGGAGGCTTCTTCAACCTCGATTACGCGGAATAGACTTGCGGGCCTTCAAGATTACTAGTCCTGCCCGGCTAAGTGGAGTGTATGTCCTCTAGCCGAGTCCTTATATATAGGCATGTCTGACCTGCCACTGGATTCCATCAATAGCAGGATTTGCCACATGGACAGTTCCGAGGTTGACCTAGTACGAGAAATAAGCTGGCATCGGGCTCGTAACTGCTTCTATCGAACGGGTTACGCCCTACTCAAGGAGTTGCAAGAGATCATAGAAAGAGCGACTGATGATCTTTTATTTTTATATTATTCTGATCCATCCCTCCCCCAACAGCTCCCAGATTATAGAAGTGTAACTGATATTCTAACTAGGCTCGAAGAAGATTTAAGGCGTATCTCCGAGCGAGAGACTGCAGCGATCAAATGGTGGAACGAGCTGTGGGAACCCTCTAATTTCGAAACTAAGTCATCATGAAACTGTAATTCCTAGGCTCCGAAATAACAACTTAGCAGAAGGAGTGGGAAGTCTGGTCACGGACAAAGTTCACTTCGCGGTGAGCTCTGTCTCCTGGAGCGCAGGTCTCAATTCTCCAGCTTGGTAATCGGAGCTTCGACTTTGCATTGACACGTGCTGCAGAATATCTACGAAGGTGAAGCCATTCAAATAAACCTTGTGATGTAACTCATTGTAAGTCGTCGGGAGTTTATGAGACCACGACAAACACTTAAAGGGAAAGAATTGAGGGTGAAATATTTGATATTAAACCCCAAGTAGATCCAGCGACACTGTACCTGATGAGTATGATGTCTAAGGTTTGATTTCCTCCTTGGCCCACTGGATTGGATCAGTGCGGTACGTCTGGCGATTCCGTCTGGCCATCCTGAACGGACAGTAGCCAGGCAGAAGTGACTCGATCCGTTGTGATAATGAGCACAGAGCATATATTTACAGTAAGGACTTCGTCTGACCACATCCATCAAAATTGCAGGCAGTTGCGGGTGCCGGAGCATCCCAAAACACTATCCCAGACAGAATATCTACACCGCATATGCTCAACAAAGACAGAATGTCCATTATAGAACTGTGAGAAGGAGTAGTTATAGACTGGGGTGTCTCACGCGACGGCTTTACATACAAATTCAGATAGAAGGCGACAGGATGATGGCCACTAGCACTCGCCATCTCCGCCATGTCCCACCCTCTTTGGCATTTCCCGTCTAAAGACGCACCAGCCCTTACTAAGAGCGACATGATGTCTAAGTCACCCTTCTTAGCTGCCAACATGAGGGGAGTAAACCTAGTGTTATCTTTGATGTCTGTTGCAGCGCCTGTGTTGAGCAATGTTTTAACTGCCTGAGTGTGGCCTTGAGCCATAGCTATCCCAAGAGGGTTACAGGCTGGCCTCTGCAGGGTCGCGACAATCCCCCCTATGGACTGTGATCTATCTTGGTACAACCTAATAAGTATGTGAGGAGGTAGTAATTTTGTTATGCTTAGATGCCACTCCTGAATGGCATCTAAAATTAGTTCCGCACCCCAGTCTCCTGTATGTGTAATATCCAACAGAGCTCTTTGGGAGATGATAAAGCTAATAATGTCATTATGTCCTTTCTCTGTCGCCTAGGACAAAGGGCAGCAGCCAAATTCATCAGTCTGACTAAGCTAAGGGTTGAGCTGCCATAAGTACATAAACTGATTAATGCCTCCATGTTCTGCGGCCTAGGATAATGCTATGCGGCCAAGTAGGTCTACTGAGTTAATTTCCGCGCCAGCCTGGACTAGTGTTTTGTAAATCTTAATGTGCCCGCATTCAGCAGCGAAGGAAAGAGCATTACGCCTGTCTAGAAGAGTAGATTTAATGTTAGCACCTACTTAAATAAGTATTCAGACTATATCAATATCTCTATGTTCTGCAGCCTGAGCGAGCGCCTTTTTATAATTAGTTGCGCAACCTATTAGCTTAGCACCTACATGCCGCAGTTCACAAACTGTAGTAATATCTCTAACTAGCACTGTGAGCATGAGTGGAGTAGTGTTAGAGATATTTGCATGGTGTACATCAGCGCCTGCTTTAATTAGTTAGCTGCTTGATAATGGTGCTATTTCCTGTGAATGCAGTAATTAAGAGTGCTGTACAGCCTGTTATTATGGCAGATATACTAGTATTAGGCTTTGCTTGCAGAATCTGTTTAACTGACTTGTCCTGACCACACATTGCGGCAAGAAAAAGCGGCGTTTGTCCATATATATATGTCCATATGGTTAATATTAGCTCCCGCAGTGAGGAGTTATTCAATAATTACAACAAATCCATGTTCAGCAGCCCATGAGAGAGGTGTCTTACCCTCACAGTCAGTAAGGTCATAATTAGCCCCTGCACGTAGAAGCTTATTAACCACGGATTGGTACCTGTTAGAGGCCGCTATGGAAATTGCAGTATAGTCGCCGTGATTGCTTGTTACATCTATCTTCACATCTTCTTGCAGAAGTATTTAAATGATTTCATGGTAGCTGTTCTTTGCGGCAGCATATAATGGGTGATCCCACCCTTTCCAACCACTGGACAACCGCGTATTGACATTGGCATGATTTTCTAAGCAATGGAGAACAGTGCCTAACATGCCATTCTTACAGGCCTATATCTTTGTTAGTGGAGCCAGTGTAGCCCACTTAGAGGCTTCTCATCTTCCTACGGCCAGGGTGGTAGATTGATTAGGGAGAACAGTGCGAATAGCTAGTTGCTGTTATCAGGAAACAGACCACTCATGGGCGGTTGAAAGCCTATAAGTCATCTAAGTTGGACATCCAGCGTTAGCTTGTGCTTTTCTTGACAAAGATGGCCTTCCATCGATTGTCGAAATTGCTCTGAGTGATAGGGAAAGCCAAAACACATGGCACGTAGTATGCTAGTCTCCCTTCTGGTCACTCACCAATGACAGTCCGCATCGAGGGCAACCATTTTCTCAGGGCAATTGGTAATCTATGATTCGATCAGTAAGTCACAGTGAGAAACGGCTCACTCGGTGAAATATTGCTTAAAGAGTTCTCAGAAGAGCTGAGTCACTGGCGCTTCACATTTGCTTTAGCCGGAAGGGCGATCCGGTTATGTACAGCTACGGAGTACTGCCTGCTGACCGTTGGATTGGAGCATCGGCTAACGCTATTGAGCTCCCCCATAGCGATTATATTTCCGTATTCACCTGAGTCCGGGCGCTCGATGACCTCCTTGGAAAGACCAGTTGCGCCCAGTACCTTTGCGGCGCAAGTCTATGGTAACTGTGAAGAAACTTGCGGAATGATATTATGGTTGTCATGGTTGAGTCCAGGGCAAGCAGTAACCACCTATATTGGAAAGCTCAAGTTTATCAGATAGGAAGTCGTCCCAGGGACTTAGGAGGACATGCTGCTTAGGGCTCTGCCATGAGTGACATGACAATGTGGTCTGTGCATAATCAACTTGGAGAGAAGTCACAGAAAAATAGTTAATTATGCGACGAAGCATGATCGGAGATTCCTTCGTATTTTCGTAATTTGTGGTTGATATTGAATGCAACGACGGTGGCAAAGAAATCTGCGCAGAAGTAGTGTCAAGATCCAGGCCCAGTTCCTTAAGAGCAGAGAAGCCTACAAAAGATTTAAACTTGGGTGACTTTTCAAATCTCAACCATCTCCTCTGTCTTTCTAGATAGTCTGGCCCTTGAATTCTGAAGACAATTTGTTCCAGGCTTGCTTCATGAAGCACCAGCGCTGCACCTATCTCTTGTACATCAAGAGGTAAAAAATCCTCCTGGAGCTAAAAGAAAATGGAGGGAAAATAGCAGAAGCTTGTTAGATGTTTGCACACACTTTCGGTATCAAGGTCACATCCCGCAAGTGTTACACGCTCAAAAGGGAGACTGGATGCGGATAGTCCTATCTTGAATCCGTTGCAGTAATGCCCGTGTACATGCCGTTTGCTTTCTTGCCTATCCACCGTCTCTTATCCTTCTCTCCGACAATCATACTACTACGGTTTCCACAAGACTGCAGGGTCGTTCGATCATGATTATTTCATACGAGGCCAACCTTGCTCCATACTTCCCTGTAAAGGGAAGAGTCATAGCAATCGACCGTCGCCCAGCAGCAGATCACGGACACGGGTTAGGCGATACCGTGAAAGGAAGACTGGTTGACATTTTGCGATTCGGAAGTTATCTCTCCTTTGCTATATAGCTTGAACTTTCAATGTCTCTTCATAGCTGTATCTCATACTGGACAGGAACTCAAATTTCTAATTATCATTCACTTGTAATGGTAATGGCAATGTGTTTTTATGATCAGGAGAATTCCAATATATTGATAGATGTGGATAAGAACGGCCCTAAAAGTGTTTATAACACAAGGTTGTAGCTATGCGAAGTGACCAGACTTGAGATATCACTCAACAAATCTAGTACTCCATTCTCCTTTCTGAATTCACGCTTTTGAAGAACAGGGACAAGCACTAAAAAGTACAGGCATAGGTTGACTCTTTGTAAAAATGCACAGCAGCCGCTTCAACGACTACAGATGTTATTGTTCTTCGTTGTCTTTGCTCTCTTTATTCTCTTTGATCTCCGCTGCCGTAGCAGTCCCTTCCATGGCGGTGGTTACGTAGGGGTTTGCGACAGATGTAGCATTGCCCGGATAACTAACGCAGGCCTGGTGCCCGACCAGAACATTGAGATTGGTGCACCTAGAGTCGAGGACTTGATTCCAAGTGCGGAACTGCGTGATAGTAATGCCATATTGAAGGGCGATACTCGGGCAGGTGTCAGTAGCAGTAACATTGTGGGTCTGACAGCTCCCAATGACGCAGAGTGATCCCTCTGTTGGAAAGTCCATACAGCCGCTCTGAAGTCCATTATCAATCAGGAGCCGCCATGTGCTCACATTATTAGCTGCAGCAAACGTATCACAAGTGTCCCCAGGTTTGATCGCCACACTTCGACCTGGGCAAGATGCTGGGGTTATAGACGGCAAGGCACTGGTGTCCGATTTCAATGGTCAATGCAATTATACGAACGAACCAAAAGAGAAAGACCTGCCTGGTAATAATAACCGAACTTGGCGTCGGAAGCTCCAGATTAGAAAACCCACAGCTCGAAGTCAGGGAGGTGTACCGCTCAGCTAAATCTTCGTTGTAGAAATAGCCATTTTTCAGCTCTTGCTGAAACATTCGTATGCTGCATTCATCGCAGTCTGCCAGGGTAGTGGAGGATTGGAGTTGAAGAGCGCAGTAGTTTCCGTTGGCATCCTTGAGACAGCGTTGATGGAAATTAGTGATATACATGTCGGGGAGAACTACCGGCATGAATACGCCAGAGCTGCCAATGTAGCTAGTCGCGTTATTTGTGCTATGGTATTCATCATTGGCGCAGGCGGCTTCGACAGCTTGGCGGTAGGTTGCAATAGAGCTCTTACACTCATCTGTACACATCTGGTCCAGCATATCAGCCGTTAAATTGGCGGTTAAATGGTACATTGAGCCACCTGTCTCTAGCAGGTTACAAGACAGGTTTGCCGACAACGCGGCGTTGCACTCAGTTGAGAAAGGCAACCCGCCATCAGCGGCGAAAAGCTGAATCTGAGCCTCTGAGATCGCTCCATGCAGGGCCAGCAGTGCAGGCAACGCAAGCCAGAGCTGCCCAAGCGAGGGGGCCATTTGACCGTGAACGAAGAAGATTGACAGTTGAAGTTTGGGGAGACTGCGACGCGAAGGCTTTTTGACCGCTTCAGGCTGATTTTATCGGGCCTACTTCCCTCTCAAATCACAGGGGGAAAATCGAAGGTGTTCGCAACGGAACTGGAGACTTGAAATTCCCAGTTTGTAGAATCCAAGTAGATTTGGATTGAACTACAAACTACTGTTGTGTCCTTGTCTCAGGAGACGAGGGTCATACCAGTAGCCTGCTGCGCTGACAGGCCGCAACATGATCGAATGAAAACCACAGCGGCCTACCCCGAAGACCGCGCATAAAAACCAGGCCGTTGTCCCCTAGCCTCCCCACCTTCTTCTGAGTGCCGAGCTCAAATTATTTTACCTCTAGCTGAGGCTCTAGGTACACTCCATACTTGCTCTAATTAGTTACTGCTTTGTGGTTTAAGCTAGATACCGTGATGCCCGGCCTATTCACAAAGGAGCCATTTGACTCAGAACATTGGATCTTGGGAGGAGTGACACAGGTGCGCGGTGAACGCCGGTAAGTGACTATTATGTTTGAGAATTCAAGGTAGTGCAAATCCATGTCAACAATTTATGCAAGCCCATTGTGGATTCCTGCGGGCCTGCGGCTATGTGGATAGGTTGAGGTACTCCGTACGCTGTAGAGTTAGACACCATTAAAAATCTGAACTCTGAACTGATACTGTGGGCGGAAAGCCTCATGTACTAATAAACTCAAATTTATCTTTCCTTCTTGGCATATTATCTACCCTGGTACCCTGCTAGGTAAGTAAATCCTATGAGGCTTAGTGAAAGTAGTGAGGCACTAGTACTACGGAGTAGCCTCTTAGGTTTGTACTTGTAGCTAACTAACTATGTACTATTATAATAATGCATTGTTAGATCTTCAGGTACAATTAAATTAAATTTTACATAGAGGGGGGATTAGGTGCGTGCTTGGCAGTGTGGAAATTGCCAAGCACTCTCATCCAGAGTCACCGGTCACCGGAAGCTCAACACATCTAAGCTCTGACAAATGACAATACATCATACTTGGCAGATCATCGCCAAACTTTCCGGTCATGAGCTGGAAAGTATAAGACTGAGTCTGACGAATTGATCGGACTTTTGAAAGGATGTTTTCAGTTGCGAAGGGCCGTGTCCTCGGCCCTTCGCTATCTGGATAGATGAATATAAGCCCGAATGATGCTGCGAGGATAGTGCGGCATTTTCAACACGAGAATATTTCGCAGTAAACTAGCAACTCGCGCTAAAAACCCCATCTGGGCCCTGCCAAGCCAAACGAAGCGCAAAAAATCTTCCAAACATCTATGGTTCTGTAGGTATTTCCCATTTTAGTATAAAGGACAGGCTTACTCTCTATACTAGTCCGCACTCCGCAGAAGCCCCCATTTCAGGCTCCTACCTCTGGCCCTCTGGTATTTCGATCTAGCGTCGTCCATGTCACAATGAGCGGGTTAGCGGTCAATGGCGACCCATACTAAAAATGACCGGCGCTTCAGAGCTGACCAGAGTTCGGGTAAGGGATGGCTAGTCTTCTCCGAGGTTCAGAGCGAAAAGGCCACAACGAGAAGGGGGATGAAGAAGTGAACTGGCATAAATAGACGATGCTGTGCGTGATCGCCGCGGCATGGAAGGCGGACGACTCTCTAGAATCCATCTCAATGCACTATGCGAGCTCGTTATGGATTCCTGTGGCTGTTGCCAGTATTGGTAGGGGGACATCGACACTCCTCGCACCACAGTCACCATGCGAGAGGCGTTTCGCACCTTCCCTCTGTTACGCACCTGTCAGAAACTCACCTATTCACTCGCCGTACTGATGACTATACATGCGGACCGAACAAGGAGTGCAAAAACAAGGCATGCTGCGGTCCAAACAACGTTTGTGGATACGGCGAGCTCTATTGCGGCCACGGTACAACTGTTCTTCGCATCTTGATCTTTGTCACGGAAACCTAACGTATGGAGGGTAGGATGTCAATCGAACTGCAATGCTAAAGCAGAATGTGGCCAGGACGCAGCCACCCCAGGACAACTTTGCCCATTGAACATCTGCTGCAGGTGAGTTTTTGCAAGCTTTTGGTGTTAGGAGCACGATTAAGCTAATAATATTGGATCTTCAGCCAGTTTGGATTTTGCGGTGAGCGACCATACTCAAGGGATTGACCATTTAGGAGAACAGGACGCTAAGTAGAACAGGAACAACGGAAGACTTTTGTGGCAATGGTGAGTCCTTCCTGCTGCCTCAGTAACTGTCTCGCAAATTTTCTCGACTAACTTATCATTTATCTTTGAGGCTGCCAATCCAATTGTAAGGACCCTAACCGTCCTTCACCCGGAAAGGGCGGCGACGTGCGAAACAGAGTAATCGGATATTACGAGTCCTGGCGGGCAGATGGAAGCACCTGTGGAACGATGAGGCCAGAAGAGATACCCGTCGAATATCTACATCAGGTGAATTTGGCTTTCGTCTACATCGATCCGAAGACCTACCAAATCATCGACATGGACGTGTCTCTGGCAGACGACCTTTACTCTCGGGTTGCCAATATCAAGACCCGCAACCCAAATGCCAAAGTCTGGCTAAGTATTGGAGGTTGGACTTTCAATGACCCTGGGGTCTTTCAACCTGTCTTATCATCTATAGCCGCTAGCCGAGAGCACACTTACACTTTTGCCGGTAATCTTATGGAATTCATGGATAAGTACGGCTTCGACGGAGTTGATCTAGACTGGGAGTATCCTGGAGCAACAGAACGGGGGGGCCGAGATGAAGATGTCAAAAACTTCCCGGAGATGTTGAGGATCCTTAAGGATGAACTGCAAGGATCCAACCGGTATTCAAAGAAATGGGGAATCTCAATTACTCTGCCCACCTCTTACTGGTACTTACGCTGGTTCGATATTAAGGCGCTGGAAAGTGTCGTGGATGAATTCAACCTCATGGCTTATGATCTCCACGGCGTCTGGGATGAACTCAACCCGATCGGTCCTATCGTCTACGCACACACAAATCTGACAGAGATTGACTTGGCTCTGGACCTCTTCTGGAGAAATAATATCAGTCCTAGCAAGATCATTCTTGGCCTAGCAGTAAGCTTTTCCCTTTCGTTTACCCCTCCTTGTCCACCTCTAGCCACGCCCCTTCGTTAATCACCAAAGGGTTGAGTTCAGTTCTACGGCCGCACATATGAGCTTGTCACTCCTCTATGCGCTACCCCCGGGTGTGAATGGAGAGGGCCTGGCTCTCAAGGTCAGTGTACTGGGAAGGCAGGTATCCTATCCTATCGTGAAATCCAAGATATGATCAAAGAGAAGTCCCTGAGCCCTAAGTATGATGAGGAGGCCGGTGTCTTCTATATTCAATATGGCGAAGGTGGAGCGAACTGGGCATCCTTTGACGATGCCATTTCATTCCAAGCAAAGATTGATATGGCGAACCGATATGGGCTGGGGGGCGTCCTCATCTGGGCGATCGACCAGGACGATGATTCTCGTCGTGCTTTACAAGGGGTAACTGGTAAGGACGTGCCCCCAGCTCCTTCAGTCGTGGATGGATTTGGGGCTTTTTCCCTGGATCAATGTTACATGACCGACTGCAATCGGGAGTGTCAAGCGGGCGACGTGAAGATGACCACGCTCAACTCTGATAAGAGTGGTCGTGGATGTAATCGGAAGAAGGGAGAGGTGCGGTCATGTACGTCGAAACCCTTCTCTTTCCTGTCGAACCTCTCATTTGGTTCAACTTGTATTCTTCTTCGTCTTGTCTTGAAATATGGCTACAAACCTACGAGCTTGTGCTCGCTGGTCTATTTAACTGGACTAATCTGTTGTAGTTTGCTGTCCGGCAATGAATGCCCCTGACGCCTCAACTTGTCATTGGAGCTCCGATTCAGCAGACTGTCGGGGTCAATGCGGTGTCGGTGAAGTGACAATGCTTGAGGACGATTACGGCAATAGTGAGCACAGGCGATGCACAACGGGCAAAAAGAGCTGTAGGCTTCTGCAATTTCGCTTTCAATTATGTTCAAATCAAGAACTGATCTTCATGTAGGGTGTTGTCCCGCGACCAATGGCCAGCAAGCAATCGCGGCTTGTGAATATAGCCCGAGGAACAAGCCCTGTCCGAATGACAAGCCTCAAGAGTTGACATCGATTGCAGAGTGGGCCGGATCTTCTTTAGACGCATCCCTTCAATATGACCAAAAGTTTTGCTGCCCTCAAAAACCGGTATATATAGTCCAATATTCCCGCTTATTGTTTCGGGAAGCTCATTTTAGCAGGTATTTAAAAATTGTGGCTGGCATGGAGAAGGCTTCTGGTGCGCCAGCAACCAATGCCCTACGGTGAGTTCCTCCTTACAGTTGTGTCTCCGTTGACTTCAAGTTGACTCTGTCTGCTACCATCATAGGGCCAAGTTGAGTTGTTTGGTTTTTCAGGAGCACATCGTGGTCCGCCAAAGGCGTCTTCAGGCTGTTGGCTCGGCAAAGAGGCAGCCTTCTGCTGCGATCCTCCTCTAACTGGAGGTTCACCTTTTCTTCCAGTTCCGCTGGAGAATCTTTTCCGCATGCGGATTCGTTTCCCTCGAGTTATAATCCCACCTTCGCCATGCTCTTCGATAACCATCCGGATGAGACAGCCAGCAGTCCTGGCGAGGATCCGAATAAGGAAGCATTTACCTGGATTGTGATGGTTGGAGAGGAGGAGGATGTACAAAGCTTTGAAAAGCGTGACGGATCCCATCTGGAGTTATTCGATTGTCCGAATACGGCCGAAGATGACTTCAGCGTCCAGCAAGCCAGGGCCATCTGTGTGGGCGGCAGTCTGACAGATAATAACTGCGAGGATATCATGAAGGGAGGTGTCGAGGGCACGATCGTCCGCATGCCTGCTCATTGCGGTCCGGATACCTACGTTCGGGCTGTTCGCTTCGAACGTTCATCAAACCTCACTCTACCCGGCACGTTACAGAAGAGGTATGCACCTGCCAGCTATTCGATATATGATTTCCATTACGATTACAACTTCCAAAATCTCCGCCGTGACGGGAAAGAAATCTACTTTCGCGCCGATCTTTCCAGGGTGGCATCCGCTGGGCCCCTTTGCTCCATTTGGCATGGGATTCAATATCAAGGCATCTTCACAACCAAACCTTACTTCCAACTTGACGTAAGACTCGAGGCCGACGCCTACGTATCCGCCCAGGCCACTGTGGAAATGTCGCTGTCGTTGGACAAATTTCGGTACTATCTCCCTGCAACCCTTGGATCCAGCGGATTCCAGAATATGGGGGACCACCATCTCAGGGTCCTTGCAAGCCCCATATCTGGCCGCGGGGACATCGAAGCCAGGGTTGGGGGAGGATTACTCTACCATTTCCGGCCCACCGTTGGATTTGATATCAAATTGCAGTATGAGGGCAAACAGTACGTCGACACTTCCATCAAACTGACCACCGATGGCCAGATACGATTCGACACTGCCCTTTCCACCTCATGCAGCGCTGGCCTTCAGGTCGACATTGCGGGCGGAATGACCATGGACTTGAGTGTCGAAAACGCCCTCCCGGGGTGGAAAGACGAGTCTTATGCTCTCTTCTCCTTCAGTCCTCGAGAGATATTTTCAGGTTGCGTACCGTTCGAAGTTCTCGCCCGGCGCGAGCTTGAAGGGAATCTGTCGAATTTTGTGACCCGATCCGACATCACGGTTCCAAAGGACACCGCGTCGACATGCGCCTTCTCCACTGAGGGGGTGTATTGCGCTGATCGTGATGGAATCGACGATCCCGACCCCAACTGTGACTTGAGCGAACTCAGGTTGGACGCTCGATCGACCTATGACGAGGCGGATTACGGTGACGACTATCTCGCTGATGGATTCGAAGACGATGGTATGACGCGCCGCGGCGTCACAAAGCGAAGTGCGAAGGACCTCAGTTACTGCGATCAAAGAGGAGGAGGAGAGTATGTGGGATTTTTCGATACTAATAAAGGAACAATCCATTTCAGAAAGTTTCCCTCGTCCACCGAGCTGGTACGTGACTACAATCCGAATGCAGTGACTTACGACGCAGAAGATTTCTTGGACTGCAATAATTATGAGCTGGTTGATATCCCGACCCCAGCGAGGCCGGTGAGTAGGGCGGACAACAATGGTCGACAATATCATAGTAGGCTTCTCATTGCTCCTGCGCGTTATGTTTAAGCATAGGCTGATCTGCATGTCACAGGCGAGCACATCCTGGAGGCCCAGACGGTATGCAATTCTTTGTCTTTCGAATGTGGAAGAAAAGCCCTTTCTGACGGGTCCAGGTTCAACGCTTTTTCAACGCTGTGGGTAAAGCCTGGTCTAATGGCAAGAAGACAACCAAGAATCCAAACCCTCCTCCAAACCCCAACGCAAGGATGTTTACAACTCCGCTCAAGGGCAAGACTGATTTGATCCCTTGGTGCACGTACATGAACCTTTGGTGGAACAAGCCGAGTGGTCTCAAACCAAATGACGAATTGGGCAATGCATTTCCAGGATATCGATATCTCACAGAGGAGTTCGTTCTCTATGAGGGTACCTTGAACAGTGCAATCAAGCAGAATGTAAGTTCTTTCGAAGCTGCGATCAGAGCATTATTCGAGGCTCACATCTTCAGTGGTTCGCTGGTATTCAATCAATGGGTCAGGACAAAATTGATGAAGATATCGACAATCGAAAATGGGGCAAGGTTGCGAAAACATTTAAATTGCATATCCTGGGCTGGAAGTAAGTTATCGCTATTGGTCTCTATACCTCTATCTGGAGTTAGGAACGCATTGACTCATCTCAATAGGTATTATTACTTCGAGGATAATGTCAAAACACTTCTAAAGCAAGCAAGACGAGTGGAAAAAGCGCTGTAAAGCAACCTCAGTCCCTGCAAAGAAGAAGGTGATTTCTAACCATCGGCTATCTCGTTACAGGCGAAAATTAGATGACGATAACGGAATCAACGCCCTAGTAAGTACCCAACAAGTGCCCAAAGTTCTCCAGTAGTTCGCAATCCGCTAACAAGCGTCACTCTTTGCTTCCGGCAGGTCAAGGATAACAGAGGAAACTATGACAAACCGTACATTCCTCAAGGCCTCGCGGACCTTTGGAGAACCTGGGTCGAGCAAGAGCATGACCGTGTCCAGCACGAGGTCAAGGCCTGGTTGGAAAAATGGGTCAAGCTGGCCTACGACCGTAATCGACCAGCGGACCAGAGCCAGCACCTCTCTGAAGGTCAGTCTGTGCAGAAAAACCCAAATATCGTTAAGATTTTTGAAACAGCTTGGGCGGAGGTCCAAAACTTACGGGATTGGGATATCAATTGGGACTTTGATGCTATGGATACAGACGCTTGACAAGGCATTCCATCTGGATATACTTGATAAGCCGGATTACAATACAGACCGTCTAATAGTGAGCATTATTATTCGCAGTCAGATATGCACCATGCTCTGCCATTCTGGCCATCTTTCACGGGGTCGGTATAAATCATCCACCGTGGCCAGTTGCTCCCCTACGCGGCACAGCGAGAATTATCAGATCGTCTCGAGGTTCTGACCTTTCTCCTTGAGAACGTTGGCACTGAGTCAATCAACAAAGTCATGAACCAAGACCGTCTAGATGAGTACCCTCAAAAAGATGTATAGTTTGGAAAGCCGTGTTTCTCCCCCAATCATTCGTTTCCATCTGCTGCCAACGTTTCGTATTTGGACGTTTGATTATAATCGGGACGTTTGCCTTTGTGGTAATGCAAATTCAGTCATTCAAGCCTCTTAAAATTAGGCAAACCTCCATGAATGCTCTATCTATATAGCTTTCAAAGAATATTAGTATCTATAGATTGCTATACTTCCTTGGCTACAGGAATAATTAGGATTTATTCTTTCCCTTGACGACCCATTCTAGTTGTATCCTGGGGACGTGTTGGGGGTTCTTCTGCCAGGAAAAATAGTAGGCGGTAAGGGTAGAGCGTCGAATACTTTTTGCATGGTTGCACCCCACTGTAACTGTTTCTTATGTTCTACTGAACTATTTCACGCCTGCTTCCCTCCATAACAATCCTATTTAATTTTGCAATCCGACAATCTAGTTGTAGAGGACACATTCATCCTCAGAGCACTAAATGCCGTCCAGACGAGCACACCGGAAATCACGCCATGGCTGTGAAAACTGCAAACAAAGGCGGGTGAAGGTATTAAATGAAATCCCCTTAAAGCTCCATTTATATCGGCGAACGGTTCAAGTTGGCCGAAAAGCATACTGATCTTCGATAGTGTGATGAAACGAGACCAACATGCTCAAATTGTTCAAAAAGAAGTGATCAATGCAAGTACAAATCACAGGCTTTGGTGATATGGACAAACGGCAACACCTGTCAAGAAGTTTCCATGGCAATTGATCAGAAAGGCCTTCAAGAAACCGGGTCACTCATAGTGGAAGGCAGCAATCTGACGGGCCCTGCGAGATATAAGGGTTTCGGTGCTGGAGCTCTTGATGCACTGGAAGGACAGAACATATCAAACCTTTTGCCGAAGTCCGCACGGAAACACTGTCTGGCAGTCTCTTGTCCCACAGGAAGCACTTGTGGAACCATTTCTCATGCATGGTATATTGGCGCTCTCCGCCGTACACCTTGCGCGGATGAAGAATGAGTATCTGAAGCCAGTGTATATCAGCAGAGCTGCATCCCACCAGAATCAGGCATTGGCTAAATTCCGCCCATCACTTGTGAATATTAATGCATCTAACTCCAAGGCGATGTTCGCATATGCCAGCCTCATTACTGTCTACTCCTTTGGTTCTTCCCAAGAACCTCATCCTACTGACCTCCGGACAACCATAGATAGCCTCTGCCAGGTAATTATATTTGCGCGGGGTGTTCATCAAATCTCAGTGAAGGCTGCGGATACGCTGCAAGATAGTATGTTCAAGCCATTACTTCAGTGGGAAGGCTTGCAGCAAAATCTTACCGAAGAGGCACGGCTCACTTTTGAACATCTGCACGAAGCGATCCGTAGCCTGGTTTCAGGTGACGCCCGCCACGACTATTTCGGGGCCGTCATATGCATACAAGACGGCCTAGCTGAAATATTAGGGGGCTCCACGGCAGTAGCTACGGCGACCAGAGTCGCAATCAGGATGCCACCAGGGTATGTGGGGTTACTGCGCAATTACGACCACTTAGCATTGGTAATACTGGCATACTATTGCTCTGTTTTGCATCGATTGAGGCATAACTGGTGTCTCGAAGCCTGGGGCGCTCAGATTGCTAGCGCCATATGGTCCATGTTAGGTGGCCAATGGAGGAGCCTGATGCGTTGGGTGATGGAAGATATATTTGGGCCGGACTTCTCCACACAATCAGAGACTCTGTGAGACTTTCTGATACATAATGTGACCTAATCATACCCATCTAAATATGCACCTATGTGCTAGCAAAGAGCCGAGTGAAGTGTGGCGGTGGCCAATGAAGCAATAAAGAATGTGGCCCAGCAGATTGCACCAGTTTTGCATCCAGCGGTACATATCTATAATAAACACTCGAGGGATCACAAAAAGAACTTGAAGAAACTGTATTGACAGTTATTCCTTGATGCCTCCCCTCCTGCCACCCCTATCTACATCACAAGTGGAGTAAGCTTCCCTGGCCGAACTCAGGTGTCTGCTTCAAGAAGGTCAGCCTTTCACTGTGGCCATCTCTGAGATGGCCTAGCAACATGAGTAACTCCGCACTTTCGCCGGCTACTATTCAAGGTTGTTCGAGTTGCGAGGAAAGATGGAAGCTTTAATTCCCTTCCCTTGAACTCAATGAACCCGCTCCCCGATCAAGAGATGGCGCAGAAAGAGCCCACGATGTGTACTTGGAGGAATATCCAAGAGTATACTTTACAAGTTCAGGGGACTTCAACTATTCATGATCGAAGACCAGCTGATTCAACCAAGTGAATTGAATCAGAGACCGTCAAGAAATGCGACTGTACCACCTCCTCCGATGCCGAATACTCACCAGACTGGTATGAGCAGCATCAGTCCGGTCTGATACAGTCTCACGATATTTAACTGCAGGTTCGCTGGGTGTTGCGCAGCCTACATGCCATGATAGACAATGCCATAATTGTCATTCAGACTTCTACAAAGAACGCGCCTGAAACACAGGTACTGTCATCCTTCGACCTTGTGGATGTCTTAGACATCTCGTATGTCTTCTTGCTGCTATGCAGGGAGCCATTTCTCCCTCTTGAGTAGGGGTATAAATATCTCATACTTTTCGCTCTTAATATTGCTTCTCACATCGTTCAATTCTCCCCTCACCCATCTATATCACTATCTCATTTCCCCATTGCATTCAAACCGCATTTCAGCAAGTCGAATATGGTAAGTTTGACCAAAATTGAGAGTGTGAGAAATTTGCTAACCATATAGCAGGAGGACTACAGTGAAGAGCTCCAGAAGAAGATCTCCGGTCTCGGGCTGGGATCTTCCAAGGACGAGGTTCGTGACGTTTGGAAGCGGATTCTCGAATACCACTTCCCCAAGCAGAGCGCTGATTGCCTTCGTGAAGGATTCATACACAAGTACTTCAACTACGACAGCGACTTTCCGCACATTGGCATTGTCAATCCTCGAGGTGAGCATTCATACTTGCCCGTATTCCATGTCTATTGTCAGTCCCTGCCAGCCGCCGCAGCAGAAACACTCTTACCGGGTTCTAGAACGGATTGGCAAGCTTTGGAAGATGCGGTGAAATTCGAACTTGTCGGAATCATGTCACTCATCAAAGAGTGCAAGCCGAATTTCTACGCGGCCATTGTTGCAGGCCCATTGGTACGCTTTTGCGGTGTGAACAAAAAGGGCGAATTCTGGGATTTTGGCTTTGACGACGAAGAGGGAGCGTGGAATATCCACCACGATTACGATGCGATTCTCGAAGGGTTGTTGAAGATTCGGGCCAAAATTGACCCGGTGTGCTTTGTTCCCTTTGGCGTTTCGACAGTTTGCATCAAGGAGGAAGCCTGTTGAAGGACGGTGACAATGAGGCGCGGCGCGTACATGGATGTCGTTGTTGAAAGTCTTTGATCTGTCTTTACTGCTTCGTTGCCGTTGTTCTTGTTCCTGATTGTGGCCATGCTTTCGAATCTGCCATGTAGTATGGCAACCGTTCTAGAGTTAGGTGTTGCTATTGAATTTTATGTTAATTGTTACGGACTCTTATACTTGTAAATTCCCTATAATCCCAGTATTCATCCAAAGTGGCAATGTGATGAGTTTCTTGAAAATCGACTGTAAGCTATGGTACTTTCCTGTGCGAAGGATAATCTGACAACAAAACATGATTTCCTTCTCAAAATCCATCGACTCGATGATTGAAAGGTAAGACCCAGAAAGGAGTGCCATAAAATAATCTAGCAAGGTCTCTTAAACTCCTGAATATTCTCATTATCGAAATATGTTGTCTTATGATGTGTCGCACTTTTCTTTGTTGTCTTTGCAACATGCCCTACTCGAAACAATGCCACCTACAGTCCACCAAGAAAAAGAATACTGAGAATCAAACAATGGTCTTTCGACTCCTTTTATTGTCTCAGACACTGGAGATGTCTTCGGCGCTGTCGCTCAAGTCGTAGACCTCCCTGAGAAGGTCCATAAATACTGCATCACGGCTGCTGCTGGACTTTTATCTATCCAACATCCAACCTATTTCTCCCATCTTCTTCACCCTGCAATACAATAAACTTCCGATTTACAACGAGTTCAAATCATGGCCACGGTAAGTATTTGGTGCAATACCGCAAAGCTCGGAGACGTGCTAACTTGAAATCTAGGACAGATACACCGTGAGAGCGTGGGAGCAGATATCCTATCTGTGCCCCGGGTCAAGCCAGGATCACGTTCGGGAGGTGTGGAATTTGATCCTCAACCCTATTTTCCCACTCGTAACGGCTGATGGTAAGTCTTATGCTGTGAAGAACGAGGACGACCAAGATAGATTCCCTCAGATCTCCGTTGCTAATCTGAACGGTCGATTTGAAACCTCCCCACTCTTTACGGTCTACTGCATCGGATTTGCTGACCCTGACACGGATATGTGGAAGGTCTTGGAAGATGTGGTTCAGCTCGACCTACTTGAGGCCTCAAGCCTCTTTGAGGGAAAGCCTCGAGCAAGCCTTTTCGCAGCCATTGCAGTTGGCCCGATGGTACGTTTCTACCGACTGGATGAAGATGATTATTTCTGCTATGTTGAATATCGCGATAGGGACGCGTATAACGTTCATCAGGATTTCGATGTCATCGTTGAACATCTGCTCCAGATTCGGGAGGCTATGGCGTGAAGGGACTGGATGCGGGTGATCTGTGGCACCGTTGCTGGCTTTGGTTTGTTATTCCTGGTTGCTCTTGTCTTTTGTTGATGTTGTTCTTATTTCCTCAAATCCGTATACCCAACGGTCAACATGAAATCTCAAAGAACATCCATGACTTTAAAGTACTATATAGACTCTCGGTGTATTGTAGACGTGACCCTCTTCGGATCGTCTCCGGCGTCAACTGATTCCGGTTCCGCTTCGAGGTCATTCAATCTGCTCGTCGGTCCATCAAAGATGACAGCTATTTGTTCCAGCGTGTAGCCCTTGGTTTCGGGGTACAGAAAATATGCGGTGACACCGAACAGCAGCAGCATCGCAATGAAGACCAAGTAATACCTCCATGAAATAGCTTCCAGGGCGATGGGGTTGACGAAAGTATTGAAAAACGTAGCACAGATAGTGGAAATCCACGTCACAGCCAGACCTCGGGATCGAAGACGAAAAGGCCAGATTTCGCATGGATACGCCGTGAGCAATGGAGTCCTAGGATCACAAGAATAAGTAGGTGAGGTCAGTACGTCAAGACAGGAACTCACAGAGCAATGCCATAACCAGCAAAGAAGATGAAGAGGAATGGTATGACAGCGGTCCCCGTGGCTGCATGACGACTTGCTGCGAAAGACCCCGATAGTGCCGTGACGAGGACATAACTGATGAGCATGATCATGGCCGATGCAAGGGACAGTGGACGTCGCCCGAAGCGATCAATCAGCCACGCACCTACGATGGCAAACAGAAGATTCCACATCTGCAAGCAGGCCGATATCAGCGTCTGATTGCTGACGCTGGTCACCCCGACGGTATCTAGTATGAGAGCTAGATAGTATGAGATGACACCATTGCCTACCCATTGGGCGAAAAACCCCAAACTGAGGGAAATCATCAGTCGATGCCGATTTCCTGGAGTCTGGAACATATCTGCGTAACTGGCGCCCTTGTGAACGTCTTGCTCGAGAATCGTCGCGCGGATCTCCTGGAATTCGGCATCCACCACGGATGAGCGACGGCCGACGGCATGATATCGTGTTAAAATGGCATACGCCTCATCATCGCGTCCCTCTGAAATGAGCCATCGCGGACTCTCTGGAGCGAGAAGGAGTCCGGGCAAGGCGGCGGCCGGGAGAAGAGCCTGCAGAAGCGATGGAAGGCGCCAGGACCACGACGAGGGATAGGTTCGGGACGCGAATATAACCCATCCAGAGACGCTACCCCCGACATACCATCCGGTCATAAATAGCGAGTTCAAGATGCTTCGGTGGCTTGGGTGCGCTATCTCGTTGATCAGCAGGGGAGCCGCATTTCCGAAAAAGGCAGACGCCACACCCACAGACAGACGGGCCAGTAGGAACGCTGTCGGGTTTGGAGAGGCTGTCTGCAGTACGGAGCCCAGAATCAAAAAGATATAGCCCCCGTAGATTCCGGGTTTGCGCCCGAATCGGTTAGAGACCCAGGCTGCAACAGGGGATGCCACCCCGCAGCCAAGCAAGGAGATCGCATTGATCCATCCCAGTTTGGCGCCGGTCGGATAGTCCATGAAAATGTTCCATTGATCCAAGGCTTGCAGGCCATTCATGAGAGATCCGTCGTACCCATTGGCAGAAGAGAGGAGGACCAGGGAGATAATGATGTAGTTCAGGTACACTAGATGAGGTTGACAGTGCCATGCTCGATCTGCCGAAGGAGAAACAACAGCTATCTCGACCTTTCCAGCTGTCTTACTGTGAGTATTCGGGTCGGGACTTGCCATGGCCTGAGATCACCGGGGAATGCCGTGCTGGGAAAAAGGGGCAAAGCATGCAGAGAGAGGGTCGGGGACTGTCGCAGCCGTCCTTTGTGTCTGATACTGGACCTGCTATTTACATGATGAGATCAAACGCTATTGACTCGAGTACGCGTACCCGTTGGAGACATATTGTTGTCAATTTGAGGATATAAAGGAGGGAAAATCAGAACGCGTCGGCCATTGCTTAATGCGAAGTCCATTTTTGAACAAAGCAGAAAGTTTGCTGGCTCGAAGAACCAATTGCAGACAGAGAATTCAGCCACAGCGAGCTTCCAAGGCGTCCAGATCCAGTCTGGTGATCCAAGCGGAGAATGAGGAATGATTGTGGAGAAAGAAAAACCCGGGGAAGTCCGATTTAAGTGCCGAAGTCGGGGAAAGGCAGTTTCAGATGATTATTCAAGAAATAAGAACGCTCCATTTTTCTCATATTTACCTCTCGGAGAGAATAAATCGAGAGAACTAATATCTATGCTATTGTTTTGTCATACAATCCGATCACACCATATCCCATGCCTATCACCATTTCTACTTCCGGAAAGGAACTGCGGAAGGGAGAGCAGAGGGAGTGTTCTTCCGAGCATTGTGACGGATCAAGTGCTCAAACGATGCCGCATGCTCGACCCGAGGGGTGAAAGGCTCAAAATCCCAGAGATAGCCCAGTGTCCGCAGAATGGAGGCAGCCGAGTACGACACAGTCTCGCCGTGAGCATTGGTACCCTTCTGCTCGACCTTTGCTTTGGCAACCCAGGGAGAAATGAGCAGAGTCGGGATGCGACCACCCAGACGGTCAAAGGGGAAGGTGTAGTCCTCGCCACTGGGGGTGCTGAGGGTAAAGGTCAGGTTATCCGGACGAGGAGCGAGAGGAGCAGGGACGTGGTCGTGGAAGCCACCACTCTCGTCAAAGGTCAGGATGAAGAGAGTCTCCTTCCACTGAGGACCGCCGCGCAAAGCATCATAGACCTTCTTGATGAAGGCCTCACCGTCGGAGATCAGACCGGCGGGATGCATGGAGGTGGTGCCCACCCCGCAGCAAGAGGGGTTGATGTACGCCAATTCAGGCAGGGCACCGGCCGCAGCGTCGGTATAGAACTTGGCCAGGGGCTGGATCTTGTCTTGGTTGTTGGTGGCATATGTCCAGTTGAAATAGCCTGCATCGGGGCCGGTACCGCCGGCAGGGTCGACGTAGTTGATCCACGAGTGACCGGTCTCGGTCAACTGCTGGAAGATGGACCGCTGGGGGAACTGATGCTTGCCGAACGCAGCGTCGTTCAGACCGTGGCCGTAGGAGGTACCGGAAACCAGCGCAGCACGGTTGGGGTTGGTGTTCTACAGGAGTCAGATCAATCCTTCGAAGGGGACTCAGGGGTAAGGTGTACTTACGCCGGGAATATCGGAGTGCCAGTGATTGAAGGTCAGGTAGTTTTGCACCAGAGAGGTCAGGACCGGGACCTGCTCTTCGGTGTAGTAGTTCATGACCTGAGCTGCCAGAGTGGTCTTGTTCACCTTGGCGCCATACTTGCGCACTTGCTCATGAAGAAAGCCTTGATTGTGGGCAACCAACTTGCCCTCGGCGATCAATGTGTTGTCCGGATTGAAAGTACCATAGAACTCGATGTTGTTGCCATAAATGGCGTGGTCCGGGTCATTGGTGATCGAGTCAAAATCCTTGGCGCCAGTGCAGCCAACGCCCTGACTGGGGTCGGTGAGGTTGTAGGGGTTGCAGTAGGGCCCGGTGTTGACGGGGTTCTCGAGGCCCTTGATCTTCTGACCACCCAGGAGGTTGTCGAAGGACCGATTCTCCATTACCAGAATGACCACATTCTTGATCTTAGACTTGAGATTCTGGATCGACTGCTGCGAGTGCGCACTGGCTGGATGTGCAGGAATGGCCGAGGCGGCGGCCGCAAAGGCCAGTAGACCAAGAAAAGCACTGGGATGCATTCTGGCAGGCGAATCGAAAGCAGGTAAGGCTGGTCAGAAAGATGCTGCTTTCCATGACACTTGTCGAACGGTTCAGGAAGGCCATTTTATACCCAGACCCTCGTATTCCTCACCATCATCCCTACTTCAATCTCGTCCCACGTGCTCTGAAGACTCGCATTGAATAGTATCTTCGCCCGGTTAACCAAGTTCTAAGCGAAGATACAGCCTTGGCAAGATGTTGAGAAAAGAGATCTCAACGAGCGTTGGCGGAATGAGCCGATACAGCTGTAGACACTGTGGCCGTCTCCAATAAGATGAACCTGCAGAGGCACGAGGCGTCGAGAGAGTCTTGGCCTACATGGTGTATCGCTTGCCTGGAGGCGGGGAGGTAAAGTTATGCAAGGATTTAGTCGACTTTGTGCTGTCATGCTCGAATCAAGCAATGACTCTCGAATATGACCTGAAAAGGACACAAGATTGCTTAATGCGGATGGTTTCCTGCACAAGGCATGGGCCAAGCAGCCAATTTCAACAACAAGATTCGTCAAGCATGAATCCAATCACTGTTTGCCAAGACGGCTGCATCCTTTGCCCCTCACTAGACCCCAATTAGATGGCCAGAAACACGAGAATTGTTGACGCAAGATGATGGGGAACGGAAAATGGATACCAGAAAGGCTTCCCGTGCTGCTTCTCTATACAACCATTGGAAGATGACAACATCCTGCTGGGATGTCTCGGATACTAATGCAACCTCACAAGTTGACAATGACGATCGACACAAACCTCGTTTCGCTTACAGATTTCTAGAAGACAGAGTCTGTTAAGGATACACATTGAATCGACGGAGTCTCGAAGAGGAAAGAATCAGTTCAGAGCTTCAGGAAGGAAACTATAGCTCATTTGAGCATTCAGCGGGTCAACACATGTGGTAGATGTCATTGCACGTCCCAGTCTACTAGTTTTCGGGAATCTTATGATCCGCAGCGTCTACTCCCGCGTGCCAGCGGTACCTGGCCGCAGGATGATCCTCCGGGGGACCTGTCTGCCCCGGTTTGCCATACAGATTCTCCCGATAAGTTCCCCTTTCGACAGCATAATCCTCCCAGAACAGTCCGCGTCGACGAAGTTCGGGGAGCAACAAGTCGATGATGTCCTTGAAAGATCCTGGCTTGACAGCGTAGGCCTTTACTATTGTCAACTTCGATGTGATTGATCGTCCGTGTAGGCAAACTCACCAGGTTGAATCCGTCGACATCGGCTTCTCTCACCCAGCGTTCCATCTCGTCCGCTACTTGGGCCGGCGTTCCTACTGGAGTGGCACCCAGACCTCCTACTGTAATATGCTGCCCAACAGTTGACTTGGTCCATTTGGCGACTTCGGGTGTTGATTTGGACCAGCCTTCGACGGCGGAGCTACAGGCTCAGTTAGCACCATATCCTGTTTGATTGGAATGGAAGCCCACCGAATTGCGTTGCTCTCTACCTGCCGAAGCTCTTCGTCATCACCGTACGTGTCCAAGTTGATTCCTGTCCACCCGCCAAAGAGTGCCAATGCGCCGTCGATCGATCCCAAGCTGCGGTAGTACTGGAACTTCTCCTGTGCCTCTTCCTCTGTGCGGCCTAACACCGGGCATAAAAGTGCCAGGAACTTGATGCTCTGAGGGTCGCGTCCGAATTGTCCCTGCGCCGTCGTGCGTATCTCTGCGATATTCTTCGCAACCACTGCGGGACTGTGTCCTGCCACGAAGATCGCCTCCGCATGTTGCGCAGCAAACGTCTTTCCTGCTTTGGAGGTGCCAGCTTGAAGGATGACGGGCGTTCGCTGCGGGCTCGGTTGGCACAGATGCGGACCAGGGACGTTGAAGTATTTGCCTTCGTGGTTGATTTCGCGTACACGGCTGGGATCGGTGTAGATTCCGCGGGCCCGATCGAGGACGACAGCATCGTCACGCCAGGAGGACTCCCAGAGTTTGTAGGTTACTCTCACGTATTCTTCGGCGACAGCATATCGATCGTCATGCTGATCTCGTTAGAACCAAGCTAGCTGTCCAAGATCGGACCTACCTGAGGTTGCTGGGCATGGCCCATGTTCCGAGCGGCTGAGTCCAGATAGCCTGTGACAACCTGTAGTCCTTTATTAGTGCTCGAATTATAATTATAGGTGGAGAAAACGCGTACATTCCATCCCAATCTGGGAAAGCGACGTTAGCACTGTGTCGTGGCCAGATTCGAGCTCACATACCGTCCCTTGGACAAATGATCAACCGTCGATAGCCGGCGAGCCAAATGATATGGCTGCTCATAGGTTGTCGTCACTGTCACCCCAAATCCGATATTTCTCGTCGCAGCTGCCATCGCCGAAACCACAGCTAGGGGTTCATTGACGGGCCATTGCGCTCCTGAAGCAATAGCCGGAGCCAGGTTTCGGGGTCCTTTATAGACGTCGTAGCCACCTCAAAGATTTCAGTCGGCCGGGGATGGAATAACTTAGAAGGTGTAGGTACCTAGGACGTCCGCGATGAAAATGCCATGAAACTTGGCTGACTCCAGCAACTGTGCCAGCTCGATCCAGTGGTCTACGTCGTTGAACCGGTGTGATTCATCTTCTGGGTGGCGCCACAACCCTGGAGACTGATGACCGCTGCCTGTGATACATCAGAAACAGTCATGCAATGAAGGTTGAACCCATACACATCTCAACGAACGCATTGAGAATGAGAGGTTTTCGCGATCCGTCAGTACCGGAAGGGTCACTGGCTGCCGTCATGATCGAAAGAGCGACAATTGACTTGGAAAGAAGCAGGAAACAAGAGCTGGAAGTAGGGTAAATTCCTTTCCCTTCTGGTTGATGAATATAGTCTGATAGAGACCCTCACGACCGTGTTGAAGAAATCAGCATGGCTTCTCTTCCACAGAAGATTCAATCGGAAGCGCAATTAAATATATACGGATTAGATGTCTGAATACTTCCTTTACTGCCCCTCAGTTCCATGCGTATCCAAGTCTTGTTGATGGTCCCTGTTTGGATTCTCTATAGCATCAATGTGGGCCGCGATGGCGTGCTGCGCTGAGAGGAGGGGAACAATCACGGACAATCATATGAATGTCCCAGAGGAACCACCATATTAGACTATCAGACTATTTGTGGAATCTTGTATGGCGGAACCCTCGACAAAAAGAGTCTTGTTGATGACTCGTTGCATTTAGTGACCTCCCGGTGTCATCATGGGTCGAAGATCTCTTCTTTTCGTCAACCACGATCCTCATCGCGCAATTCCCTCGAGGCGTACCCCTATGCCTTTTATATCTCATCATAGAAGTGAGCGATCGTTGGCATGTTAGTGGGCGTAGAAAGGCAGACATGCCAGGTGCAGTATTCAGAGGCCCGAATATATAATACAGAAGTCTCATTAACCAGAGTCGATTGCCCACATTCATCCAACATCAATCACATTCGTCAATTATGGCAAGCCCCCGAGCCCCAGATGATGAGGTCGTGGTCCAGCCTCCTCTGCCACAAGTCGCCGGCTACCTGATAGTCGTGGTTCTGGGACTGATCATCGCATTGGGTATGTTGATGTCCCTGAACCGGGCACGACAGCTAACAGGAGCAGTGATGATGCTCATCACCAAGATTCTCAAGAAAACAGCAGGTGAAGATAACAAGAAGACAGAAATGTGATCCTCCTCCTGACACGGCAGAATTCCAAATACTTACTCATTGCCAGGTTTATGACCGCGAACCGAACCCTTCGGACTGGATTGACAGCGTCTGCAGTCATATCGGTAGGATATCCTCTCCAAGCGCCGCCACTGCATACCAAGGAGTAACCCGCTGGATAGTCATGGCTCTGGTCAACCGCCATGTTGGGCTCTGCGTTTGTTGGCTATGATTATGGCGTGTCGGGTCCTTTTTGGTTCGCCGCGGGCTGTAGTCCAATGATCGTCTTCTTCGCCCTGCTGGGAATCTCTTGCAAGAGGAAGATTCCTGACGCCCATACATCGCTGGAAGTTGTTCGGATTCGCTATGGTGAGCCTAGTCCTGCAGATGATCAAAAACGCAAAGCTGATGCAAAGAGGTCGAATCGCCCATGTGGTCTTCATGACACTCTGTTTGATCAACAACATCTTCGCTTGTGCCAATATGCTCTTAGGTGCAGCGGCAGTGATTGCAGCCCTGTAAGTCATCCACCTTAGGACGGATATGGCCTGACTTGAGTAGGACGGGTGTGCACATTGTCGCAGCCACATTCCTCTTGCCTGTCGGTGTGACTGTCTATACCTTTGTTGGCGGCATCAAAGCAACGTAAGCTGCCGATCCGAGCATATAAGGTCAATAGCGTCTGAAATTGCGATGCAGGTTCTTGACCGATTATTTCCACACTGCCGTCATACTTATCATTGCATGTTACTTTTCAATCAAAGCATTTACGGTTGACCAGGTTGGCTCCATCGGCAAGCTGTACGAGCTTGTCAAGTCGGCTTCTCAGCGGCACCCAGTTTCTGGAAATCATGATGCCACTTACCTGACGATGACCTCCAAAGGCGTGCGTGTCTTTCAAGAGTGGATTGAAGACAGTTCCTGACGATCCATAGGGCATCCTGTTCGGCATTCTGCATATATGCTCCAATTTCGGCTTGGTCATTGTAAGTCCTGCGCACAGTGTGGAATGCTCCTTGCTAAGCTCATCAGATGGACACGAGTTTCTTCATCAGAGCATTCTCGGCTGCTCCATCGGCAGTGGTGCCCGGATATACAGTCGGAGGCATTGCATACTTTGCCATTCCATGGGCTCTAGGAACCATCATGAGTTCGGTGGCACTAGGTCTAGAGAATCAGCCAATCTTCCCAACCTACCCACGCGTACGTAGCCTCCCGCATCACCATGAAAGCAGCTGACCAGATACAAGCGCATGACATCGACTGAGGTCAGCAATGGACTCGTCCTGCCTTATGCAGCCATGGCGATTGCAGGTAAAGGAGGCGCGGCGGCCATCCTTCTCGTCACGTTTATGGCGGTGACGTCGACACTGTCGGCGCAGGTTATAGCAGTCAGCTCGATCCTTAGCTTTGATGTCTATCGCGAATATTTCAACCGAAAGGCCTCTGACCGCGACATCATCCGTTCGAGTCATTTCGGTGTCATCTTCTTCGCGGCCTTTTCCGCTGGCTTTAGTACCATGCTGCACTACGTTGGCATAGACCTGGGATGGACCCTGTATATGCTCGGTAAGTGTCATTTCCGACTCCCTAGGTCATAACTAACCTCAAAGGCGTGGTCACCTGTCCGGGCATCTTCCCAATGGCCTTGACCATTCTGTGGCGCCAGCAGAACAAAGCAGCCGCAATCTTTGCCCCAGTGCTTGGGTTGGCAACCGGTCTTGGTGTCTGGCTCGGAACGGCCAAGCAGTTTTATGGCGCCGTTACGGTGTCAACAACAGGACAGATCCTGCCCTGCGTCTACGGCACCGTCGCCTCTGCCTTTTCACCCATCGTTTACTCGACCATCCTCACTCTCCTGCAACCACAGAGATACGATTGGGCGGAGTTCAAGAAAGAGAAACTGGCTCTGGAGGAACTCAAAGATGACCTCACAACAGTGCGCAGTCACCGGTCGAAGGGCCAATTGGACAACGGCCATGGTAGTTCTTCAGCACCCAACGCGAAAGAATTGAAGAGATGGGGCCGCATCGCCGCGTTCTGGTCAATAGCCACCTTCTTAGGACATTGGGTTCTGTGGCCACTCCCCATGTACGGTGCCAAATATGTTTTCGGCAAAACAGTAAGTCTTCGGGCAATCCATCTAAACAAGAGATCTGATCGTCTTAGTTCTTCGTGGCCTGGGTAATGGTTGCCATCATCTGGCTTTGGGGCACAATGTTAGTGGCGATTGTGTACCCTATCGTCGATGGAGGCATCCAGCAGATGGCACAAGTCTACCAAGGATTGGCCTGGGGAAAAGCATCGACAAGCACGCCAGTCGAGAGATCAACACCTTCGTGTCCATCAATCCTTGAGGTGGAGCAGGTAAAAGCCTAAGAGCAGCGTCGCACTTCACATGTATAAGTCAAGTCAAGTTTGGTCAATGGTGACCTTGGATACTCTACTTGTTTCCATCTTTGTGCAATTTCAACGAGATGTAAAAGACAGAGGCCTACGATGAAATGGTGCTCATCAAACCCCGAGTGTAAAGCGGCGAAATATATCCAATATCTATATAGAGCATACGACATTGCCTGACAGATTGTTTCCTTGCGATCACGAAGAACATGGATCAATGTAGAAGATTTCTATTTGAGTTGATTATAGGATTAGACCTTCACACTATACTCATCAAGACGATGTCAGATGTTTTGCGCCCAGCAGGCCTGCATCGCATATCCTCTCGACATAGGCAAACTTGACCCCTTTCTTCTCAAGGACATCCAAAAACTGGGCTTGATAAGCTTGGTTGTTGAGGATGCTGCCTGAAAGAATCAGACCAGTATACTCTCCAGGGACGTATCCAGCGCAACCAGGATCTAACAAACGTCCTACAGTTCGACTTGCCAAATAGTCAATCTGTCTACCGACAATGGCTGAGGCAGTGTCATCCCGTCCGTTCATGTTGAGCACCACTTCAGCAACACCTGCAATCCGAGTTTTGATCGTCTGTTTGTGCTGCTGAACCAGGATCTCACTGACAAGATCAATCTGTTTTGGCCCGCAGATGGCACATCCCAGTCGTTCAAGTACTCTTTGCACCAAACGTTCGAGAGGCTCGATGCGTATTCCGAGTCTCATCTCTTCGAGAACGGCTAATACATATTTGATAGCCTCCAGCCCGATTGCATATCCGCCCCCTTCATCACCCAGGATGTGTCCCCAGCCGCCGGATCGAGCCACTTGAGAGTACACGTTGCCATTGTCGCTTCGGTTGTACCGCATGGCGACGCTCCCAGTCCCAGCAATGACGATGACTGCAGATGAACAGTCTCGGTGGGGACTCGCAGCGGCCACCAGCAGATCCACGTCGTTTGTCAGTCGGACCTCCTTCTCAGTCAATCCAAAGCTCGCGCAGATCCTCGGCAGGAGGGACTGTCGGAAATTCTTCCGGTCAATGCCCGCCAAACCAATCCAGACTGACTTGAAAAGCGACTGGAGATTGCACTCTGAGGAAGAAAGGGCCGACAAGGAGTCTTTCGTAGCAGTCATGAGTGTCCGAACGGCGTCCTCTATGCCATTGCCATCAGTCCTGTCGCCGTCAGCAGTGGTTTCAAAGGAAAATCAGGTAAGAGGGCGTACAGATTACATGGACCTGTCGTCCCTCGCCCGACAACGGTGCCTTTCAGGTCCGCAATCACGGCCGCACACTTGGTAGCTCCGCCATCAATACAGAGTACATATTGTCTGTTTGTAGCAGGCGTCTGTGCATTCGTGACCTTGGCCAAAGGCGTCTCTAAAACCTTGGCGAGCACGCCACCAGCAGATGCCAACCTCTCCTCGCAGTGTTCAACCGGTTGTCCTGTTTCGGTCACGAGAAGAGCTAGTTTCACCCTCCCTTTGCATCTTGCCAGCAATGCGTCTAGATTACCGTCTGTCATACCACCACAACGGGCACTCAGCCTTCGGAGAATGTTGCGCGATCGTTGTTCCAGCTTCAGATTGGAGGCCACGAGATCTACCATCTTATTCCATCAATCCACGTTCTTCCAGCGCTGCTGCAAACACATACCATATTTCCATAAGTCTTGCCCGTCCGGATCATGATGCCAGTGCTGAGCATATTCAGTACCATCTTGGTCGCCGTTCCCGCCTTCAACCGGGTGCTGCCCGTCACAACTTCCGGCCCTGGCAGAGGAGCAATGAGGAAGTCGACTGTTTCAGACGTCCCCATTGCCGAGGGAGAAGCGCAAACCACACCGATGGTGAGGCAGCCGGTCTTTTTCGCGAATGCCAAACATCCGAGGACATATGGCGTACGGCCGGACGCAGCTATGCCGATGACGCTGTCCAGATCCGGGCTGAGCTTCAAAGCTTCCATATCTGCCTCACCAGCAGCGACACTGTCTTCGGCTCCTTCTTGCGCTCGTCGAATGGCAGCGTCACCGCCGGCAATCAGCCCGACGAACTGCGATGGGGGAGCAGCAAACGTGGGAGGAATCTCGGATGCATCGAGGATCCCGAGTCTGATCATCGGGATTCGGTTATCCACATGTTTCACGATGTTTTCTAGGTCGGCATGACTGACCTTCCACTGGTCCCTGCACCCACGTAGATGACTCGTCCACCGTTTCGCACGCGGGGAGTTAGCGCGTCAATGGCAGCGGCAATTTCGGAGAGGCACGGTGTCACACTAGGCGCGACACGGAGGTCCTCTTCGTTGATCAATCGGCACATCTCCAGGGTTGAGATCTGATCGATCTGCGCCGTCCGAGGATTGACGGCTTCGGTCTGCAGTTGTGACAGACTGGTTAGATCCATGTTGCACTCGTTCCATGCATATCCAAGAATTGTCTGGACGGAGTGAATGGAAAGATTCGCCAGTAGCTCCAGGAAGTGTATGGTTCTATATCCTCGGCTAGCCTCGTGGTCGCGCGGGGGTCACTCTCAGGGTTGCATTGTCTCGGTTAAGGGTGCCAATCTGGGGTTGTACAGAACACGGGCTGTGGAGAATTATAGGAACGGACATCCAATCTGATCAGGAGTGGTCAGTCATAGCGGAAGGATCTACATTCGAATATCTCTTATGAGTTAGACTTATCATCGCCCAAGGGATAGGCAAGCCGTGGCTGATAACTGGCTGGTTTCTCCGCGTTTTGATAGGAAGGGTCAAGGGTCACACAGGGGCTCATCATGGTGAATAAAACCGCTTTCCTCCCTCCTGTCTTCTTTTCACAATCGAGTGATCTGCCTGCCTGACTCAGTCTAGTGGTCAATATGGGCCACAATGAAATTCATCAAGATAATGCCGCCGTGGAAACTGGCGAAGGCTCCCCACCACGATCCCTTCCATATCGGATCTACACACACTCGTGGTTCCAGATCATTCTCATCAGCATGATCTGTTTCTGTTGCCCTGGGGTAAGATTTCCCTCCAACGACTCAAGTCACTCACTGAATCTTGCAGATGTACAACGCTCTCACCGGTATGGGAGGCTCCGGACAGGTCGACCCTACGGTTGCCGCCAACGCGACAGTGGCCTTGCTCGCTGCGACAGCTGCTACGGCTTTGTTTGTCGTTGGACCTATCTTCGACCGTGTCGGACCTCGAACGTGCTTGCTGATTGGAGGATGGACCTACTCCTTGTACTCGGGGAGTCTGCTGTGCTTCAACCGTACGAGAATAGTTTCGCCCCCAGTCATATATACTGACCCTGATTAGATACCGCCAACGGGGCGTTTGTCATCAGCGCCGGCGCCATTCTTGGTATCGGAGCCTCCTTCCTCTGGGTGGCTCAAGGGGCCATCATGACGACATACGTCCCCGAAGCCCAGAAAGGCCGGGCCATCGCCGCGTTCTGGATTATTTTCAATCTGGGCGGCGGCGTGGGATCCCTCGCCAGCTTCGGTCTCAACTATCACTCTCACAGCGGGACCGTAACGGACGGGACGTACATCGGACTGTTGATCATCATGGCCATCGGCTGGCTCATGGGTCTCCTGATCTGCCCGCCCGCTTCAGTCCGCGTTCACGGACTGCAACGCACCCCGGAGAGCGAGAAGAACTGGCGTCGAACCGCCAAAGTGACTCTCCGGACCATGTCTGACTGGCGGGTGCTCTGCATGATTCCCATGTTCTTCTGCGCCAACGTCTTCTACTCGTACCAGCAGAACATCGTCAATGGGATGACCTTCAACATCCGCACGCGATCCCTCAACGGGGCCCTGTACTGGATGGCGCAGATGCTGGGCGGTCTCATCATGGGTCTGATTCTCGACATGCCGCGGGTGAACCGACCGAACCGTGCACGGGTGGGCTGGGTCTTCCTCTTCGTCACCGGCATGGCCATCTGGGGCGGCGGATACGCGTTCCAGAAATGGTATGACCGGCGGAGGGCACAGGGCCATAAGCAGGACATCGACTACACGCAGGGCCATCTGTCAACTGGTCCGATGTTCTTGTATATCTTCTACGGGGCCTACGATGCCTTCTGGCAGGGATTCTGCTACTGGCTGATGGGGGCTCGATCGAATTCCCCCGCCGTGGCTGCCATCCTCGTGGGCGCGTACAAGACTTTCCAGGCGACTGGTGGTGCTATGGCCTGGAGGTTGAACGCGCTGGCCAAGCCGGCCATGACGCAGTTTGCCATGGACTGGGGACTGTGTATGGGCGCGCTGGTGGCTGTCATCCCGTCTGTATTGGCTGTGACACTGACCAGCGAAGTGCAAGAGGAAGTGACACAGGAGACGAAGATTATTGATGAATGATTGATAGTGAGACTTGAGCAGGGAAGCTAATGAACTATCATCGAGTCTGTCATTATCTGTATTGTGAAGCTCAGCTTCAGTCTATGTTCGAGGTACAGGTCCGATCCAAGAGACACAAAGGTTGGTCCCTGCAACAATCGCCCCGATAATCCACAAGGCACGGTCGTAGTGTGTGCCGTTGTAGCGGAAGACAATGGCAAAGACGATACCTCCAAAGTTGCCCATTCCTCCAACGATGCCAGAGACGATGCCTGAATCTGTTAGCGTACTGATTGACAGGATAGTGTCATTCGGTGGCTTACCATTAGCAGTTGGGTGCACGTGAGGCACAATGGCAAAGTTGGCCCCGTTACTGGCAGCGATGAAGAACGCCATCAACACCACCAGTCCAAACATCAGTCCCTCACTCTGTGGGTTCAACTGTCCGACAGCCAGTGCTGATGCTCCCATACAAACCCCTAGACAGACCAGCCACACTTTCTTGCCCCACACCGACTTGGTATACCGATAGATGAGATCTGCCAGGAAACCGCCCGCCGGACGGAAGACGACATTAACCAGTCCAAACATGGCAGCCCACCGGCCAGATTTGGTCTGGCCTAGGCTGGGAAAGTTCTTTAAGTAATAGGCGCCGAGAATGGAGTTGATTGCCAGTTCGGCGCCGAAGGAGCAGGCATACGGCAGAGCGAGCGCCAACGTTGGCAGGCTGAAGACCACCTTGAGTGCTTCTCTAAGTGTGGGCTTCTGGACCATTTCGTTGTTCTCAAGGCAGATACCAACAACCGGTTGCGCTTCGGGGTCGACGATTTGCGGCGTGGAGACACCTTTCTTCTCCGGCAAAGTGGAGACGTCGTTGCTGGACGGGGCGCCAGATCCGCTGGACCGGTGGAGGTCGACGATATTGCTCTGTACAATGAGATTGTTGTCTTGTCGCTGGGACCATTTGCCCCTCGGGGTGTCCTCGCAGAGGAACAGCATCGACAGGGCGAGTGTGACGATGATGATGAAGGGGACCACGTATGCGACACGCCAGGCGCGGTGCGGAGTCAGTCCTTGAGAGTGGACGAGGGAGTCATAGATGGCAGGCATAACGAAGCTGATGATGTGAGCTTCGCACGGAACAGGACTGGACGGGAGAACATACTAGGTGATCCCACCACCGGCATTGCCGAATCCTCCAGCCAGAGCGTTTGCAGTCCCCACCACGTTTTTATCGAAGAAGCCCGTGCACCAGACCTGACAGGGCACAAACGTCGCTCCGAGGATCCCGATGAAGAAACGTAGGGCAATCAGTCCTTGGGGAGAGGTGACGAGTCCGGCCATGACGGTAGGGATGGCACCGCAGAGGAGACATCCGACAAAGACATATCGGGGACCGAAACGATCGCACAGCGGGCCGGCAATAAATCGCATGAGAAGGCTGACTGTTTAGCGGAGACGACCTGGAGGAACTGCAAGGTGACTTACGTTCCCAAGAGAGCCACGATGTTGGAGTTGGCGACCTGGTCTTGGGTCATATGCAGGTCCTTCTTGATGGTGACGCTCAACTGTGCCTGTGAGAAAGGGCCATTCTTATGGATGTGGACACTGCTTACCAATGGAGGAAATGCATACCATGAGAGGAATGCCACCATGAAACCTAACCAGGAGAAGAAGAAGACACGGCCATAGCGATCGACCGGATTCAACAAAGGGATCGACTTTGCTTTGCGGTTGACCGGGTTGATCTCGGGGTTGGCAAATGCCAGCTTCAACAGTTCCATATTTTATTAACTCTGTGGACAATATGTGCGGAGTGAGCTTCAGTTGACGACTGTGTTTTGATTGTCTTTGTGTTCGGCTTGCAATTCATGATAGATTGCAACCGAGATGGCCGGAAACTATATAATGGTAGGCCGAAGCACCCAATATCGCAGTCATTTCATAGATACAAAGCGCTTCTATCTGCCACGGAGATGATGAAAGCTTTAGCAACAGAAAAGAGATGGAAAGTGGCTTATCCTCGACTCCTAGGAGATGCAGCATGAAAGAATCGAGTCAGAGCGGATGCCAAGCAGCCCGGGAAAGATGGAAGAGATCGGCCAAGCGAGGTGGAAAAGATTCATAAAGCATGCTGCAAGAAGCAAAAAAGTCAGAAGAGAAGAGAGAGATAAGGTCAGTCCTCAGGGTGAATGACTGCACGCTGGCAATATCCTAGCAAATCTAGGTTCATTTGTGGCAGCAGTATAGCCAGGAACCCCTTCCTTAGTAGTTCCACTGAGTCGCTAGTCTTTTGAATTATGGCCCTTTTGACTGGTCCATGAATCCAAGTGCTTGACTTTCGTGATATTGTGCTTGATAACAGTTCCCAGGGCTTTATTGGCAACTGCCTGGCTGATCTCCGCGGAGTCCAGCATTTGGGTTAGTGATGGAAACCAAGATAAGAGAGATAAAGACAGAGATAAGAAGAGGGCTTAATATATTTCCTCTGTATTTGTATGTACTTAGCGCCCTCCGAATCTAATCCATCACAATCCTTCTCATCGGTGTTAGTCACATTGCATGGGCGCGAACACAAAGTCAGCAATTGACTATCTCTCACTCAGAAAAAGAAGAGACCATGCACGCCCATTCTTTCAAAAAGGTCGTCCCAAGTGAGCGCTCCTTGCATGTTCCCTGAATGACTCTCCTTGTCTAGACGCCATGCCGACTGGAGGAACACTGCCGCATCAAGGGCGCTCAGGTCGCCGAGGCATCGACAAAGCTCCTGCAAAGAGCCGACAATGAACGGCCTCTCTGACATCGCCTCAGAACTACAGGCACTTTCCAGCCCCGCCATGAACACGGGCCAGAACATGAAGCGGCCCATCGACCTGCCTTTTTGGAGCGGTTGGTCCATCAAAGGGTGAAGCGTGCGGAGAAGGTTGCTCAGAGTCATGTTGACAAGGCACTGAACATCCGGGACGAGCCCTTCATAAATGTTGCATAACAACTCGTGAAGGATGTGCCCTTTTCCATGATTGAGGACTAATGCCCTGAGGCAGTAGAGCAAGGTAGCTGCCTGGAATGCAGCGCCAAGATCGGCCCAGCCCTCGCCTTCAGCGGCCTGTGAAACAAGGTTCAATCGCCTCCGTGGTCTCTGCCTGTCAACCCGTTCCTCGAGTCTCTCATTGTAGGATTCGAGGGCCCGTTCGACCCAAGCCGTGGGAGAGAATGTGATGATGCTGCGAACCAGGTCCAGAACAGCACTGTTCACGTGCACCATGTCGTCACAGGGATGGTGTTGAAGGATCCATCTGAGGTTGTTTGTATGGATGATACATGCTAAGAGCTCATTGGGGCATGGGAATCCTTTTTCAAGTCCGTCGCAATGTAGCCTCGGCAGCCAGTCGATATATCTCAGTTGCGACGGAGTGTCAAGTGGCAAGGACGAGGTGGCCATGAATACTGAGCTCATTACATCGATTCTGGATCTTCCATCAGTATAGTTGGATTGAAGAGGAGGGTCTGACTTACAGCATGAAGTTCCCTAAAGCATATCCAAGATTCCCAAGTCTTGTGGATACCAGCGCTTCAAATCCACCTTGACACGCAATGATGCTCTTCAGACCTTTAAAATGGATTTTCCAGCTGCAGAATGCCGATTTTTGAATCTAATGCCATATCCTGTGTCAGGACGCACACTTTGAGAACAAAGAGACATGCATACCTCGGCCATGAGCATCGCAGTAACAGTATGGAAAACCAGATCTGACCCCTCGGCTCCTGCTTCGGACAGATACCGATTCAAACCTCGTAACGATTGCGACCGGTGCTTGTAGATCAGAGCGCTTAACGGATGGCGAAACGACTGGAAAGGTTCCAATTCGCCATCGTGGACTTTGGCACGTAGAGCCCGGGATCGATTGAGGGAGATCAGACGCCAACTGGCCTGGGACCGAATTACTTGGTGTATTGCACAGACAGAGATAATGAGACTGAGCAAGAAATCGGGGACATGGGGGAGTATGTCGAGATCCATCCGGCTTGGGTTCAGAGGAGAATCTACAATGACCAAATCTGGGCAGACGTGGTCGTTGACTGCACAAGTCAGCTCTGCAGATCATGGATCCTGTACTTGCGGCCTTCTCATACAGTAATTGGAGAACTCTAGGACCAGTTTATGCATCTCGTAGTCTCTTGAAAAGAACGACGGAGGGATCTTTGGATCTGATCTCGAGCGAGCGACGAGCACGCCTGCTGGCAGTTCCACGGCGATTAGATCGAGCTCTCCAGTTACGACACCATCTCGACGGTGCTTCCACTCATGCGTACCTTGTTCCGCTTCGAGATTTTGATCCGATCGATGCGGATCTGATTGGGAACCGGAGGGCTGCTGAGGGGCTCCCTGCATGAGGAATAGCTTTGGTCGTCCTCGTTTCCTCTTTTCCTGCCCGTTGTCAAGGCTCTTGTTTGAGAGTCCTGGTGTTTCCGAAGAAACGGTGGATGTAGGCGCCACCCAGCGAATAGGTGTAGCCGAGTATCCCAGACATTCCACTCCTCGGGATATACATCGCCTACAAGACGGCTTCTCGGCATCACACACGATCCGTTGCCGTCGGCATGTGTAACATTTCGCCTTTGATTTGACGCTGGACCGAACAGGCTCGTTGCTGAACATGTTTCCAGTCACCAGAGCAGATTCTGGTCTGTTTCTGGTGTATTCAAGTTTGACTCGAGAAGAATGCTTAACCAGATCATTACCCCTCGCTTTCCATACTGCTTCTGACTTCAGCTGAAGCATCAGTCATTCCATCGTGGCTGCGCTCGTAAAAGGTCACGTGAGAATGTCTCAACCGCACTGTGGCTCAGCACCATTAAATATATTCTATTTTTTTATTGGACTCTTGCTGCTATTAATATTGAATTAGAATTTGCGCCAGGCTTGACTGCCATTTCCAGAGTTCCAAGGCCTCTGGAAAATCCCACTTTTTTCTTGCAAGAGCAAATTCAGTTTACGCACAAGAATATGACATAATCACTCCGTAAATTAATATTGCACCGTAAATCAATTGCTTAAAGAATTCTTAATGACTCCAAGGAACAACTTGAATTGGTGTTGCGCCTTCCATCCAATTCGATTGTGCTTTTTATGCTCTTAAAGTCTGCGCCTACTTTTCGTTAAGCCGAGATTGGACCGACATACCAAGACAGTTCATCTCCTCCTTGTCATTGAGTCAAACACGTGTTGGGGTCTCGATCGGAATGGATGATACATAGCATGAAGCTTCCCAGCGCTCAAGAGATTGATTTCGACATTGATCGATATCTCAATCGGTATCTTCCCCGATCACAGCTTCATCGCCTACCACGGCCCATCTCGCGGTTCCTAGGGTACCGGCATGTCCCTCAACCGGAAGTAGGCAATCTGCTGGTCTGCGCGTGGGCATTTGTGGGCGCGTTTACCGGATTGATTCTGGTGATGGGTGTATTCAAGACCAGCGAGACCATTCAATCGCATCATCCTCCGATCATCGTTGCCAGTCTAGTATGTCTACTCCTGCTGCTGAAGGCATCCAAAACACCATGCTCATGTTTCTAGGGCGCAACGGCCATCCTGGACTATCAGACAATACAATCACCGCTGGCACAGCCTCGCAGTTCCATCCTGGGGCAGGTGCTCGGAGCCGTTGTGGGAGTTGGGATCACGAAGCTGTTCATGCTACGATCAGACTTTGAGAGCCTACGATGGATCGCCGGGGCAGTCTGCACCGCTCTGGCGTCGGCCGTGATGGGCCTTACAAACACCGTCCATCCTCCAGGGGGCGCCACGGCGCTGCTGGCGGCGGTGGATCCCACTATCAGCGCGATGGGTTGGTTCTTCGTCCCGCTGGTTCTCATCGGGTCATTGTTGTTGCTGGGATGCGCGGTGGTGGTCAACAATATCCAGCGTCAGTTTCCCATGTTCTGGTGGACACCCCGGGACGTAGGTAAACAGAGGAAAGGCCCCGATATCGAGAAGTCCTCAGAGGTTCCCGAGGAGCCTCAAGTACGACGGAGGAGTCGCGCCGTGGAGCTCCTGCGGGAGAATGCAATCATCATCACGCCGCAAAACGTGGTGATCCCGGAAGGGTTTATGCTGGGGCTCGAGGAGAAGGGAATTCTCGAGGTGTTGAGGGATCGCTTGAGAAATCCAGTCGAGTACGATAGCAGTGTAGAAGACCACAGCAGTAGTGATAGTTAGCACTGCGTAAGGATACATCTAATTCGCAATCTTGCCATGTTATCCGACTGGTGGCCTTTACTTCGCCGGCTTGCCCGGACAATTGTCCGCTGGAGTGTCAATCCACCTTGCAGCGGTTTCTCATCCGAATATATATATGTAATGACTATGACAAAGTATTTCCCGTTTGGGTAATGATGAAGCCCTCCGCGGAGGCGCTGTACATTGCTGCCCGGCTGCCTGAGAAATCGGGCATATACTTACCTTATGCAAATGTCTGATTGGACATCCCTGATCACGTGCTAGTTGCCGGAGACGGAACATCCGGTTTTTTCCACTCGCCCGTCGGATCGGACAGTCTTTTCTAGAACCTGATCCCCTGGATAGGAACAAGAATGACAAATACTCGTCCCGTTGTGGCGTACAGATGGCGGATGAGTCAACTCGGTCTTATGAGGAAAACCGAGAAGATGCCGCTATCACTCCCTGTCTCATGCGTTATTCAATCCACACAATAATAGACTAGATTGATGAGACATCTCTCTCGACGAGACTAACAAGCATCAAGCGGGTGACGTCCATACAGTACCATGATGACAAACTGCCAATACCGTGGATTTGATTCATCGACTGACATCAGGTGGATCTTTTCCCATCCAGCCTAAGCCTTTAAGCCTCTTATAAGCAGGTGTAGATCCTCCCCCGCGGAGATATACTAGCCCGAAGCTCTTCCCAGGCACTAGAAAAGAAAGAAAAAAAAAAGGCGTCAAACGCCACTTGCTCTGCCTCGCTAGGGAAGACCTCCCAATATCCCGCAGTCGGCTGGCTTGGACTGGGGGAAAATGACCAATCTCTTCCCGAGTCATTCTCGTTCAATAGCTCATTAAGTACCCGTCGCAACCATCCCCTCCATCGCTTTTACTTCCACATACCTATCTTCTCTTACACCAAACTTCGTATCCCATCATGGACCGTCGTGTCGCAATCGCATCGCAAGTCGCCATCGCCGCTGTGGCCGGCTATTGCATCTACAGAGCTTTCAATGCTCAGCAGCAGCAACCCTCCCTCAAGGAAGCTGCCCCCTCTTCTGCTGCCCCTCTCACTCCCAAGCAGATTGAGATCATCAAGGCCACTGTGCCTGTCCTACAGGAACATGGCACTGCCGTCACCACTGCGTTCTACCGAAACATGCTGACCGAGCATCCGGGACTTAACAACGTGTTCAACACGGCCAACCAGGTCAATGGTCACCAAGCACGCGCGCTGGCGGGCGCCCTTTTCGCATACGCTTCCCATATCGACGACCTCGGTGCCCTCGGTCCGGCCGTTGAATTGATTTGTAACAAGCACGCTTCTCTCTACATCCAACCGGATGATTACAAGATCGTCGGGAAATACCTGCTGGAAGCCATGAAGGAGGTTCTCGGTGATGCCTGCACGGATGACATCCTCGACGCGTGGGCTGCAGCATACTGGGCGCTGGCGAACATCATGATTGACCGCGAAGGCTCCCTGTACAAGCAGAGCCAGGGCTGGACCAACTGGCGCCAGTTCCGTGTGGCCAAGAAGGTGCGCGAGTCGGACGAGATCATCTCATTCTATCTCACGCCTGTCGATGGCAAGCCGCTACCAAGCTTCAAGCCAGGCCAGTACATCTCCGTGCGCGTCGATGTGCCGGAATTGAAGTACCCCCAGGCCCGCCAGTATTCCCTCAGTGACACCCCTCGCTCGGATTACTACCGCATCAGTGTGAAGAAGGAATCCGGCCTCAACCCCCGGGCTCCCGGCGCCAAGCAACACCCCGGATATGTATCCAACATCTTGCACGACGTCACCAAGGAAGGCGACCTCGTTGAAGTTTCTCACCCCTGCGGAGACTTCTTCTTGTCCAGCACTGAAGCCTCCCACCCTGTTGTTCTTCTGTCGGCCGGTGTCGGCGTCACACCCCTGATGTCCATCCTCAACACCATCACCGATTCCGCCTCCAGCCAGCGCAAGATCCACTTCGTTCACGGATCTCGCAGCAGCCAGGCCCGCGCCTTCAAGGACCACGTTCAGGCACTCGAGAAGAAGTTCCCCAACCTGCAGGTGACATTCTTCACCAGCGCGCCGTCCGATCACGATCAGCCTGGCGTCGACTACCACCACATGGGCCGGATTGATCTGGAGAAGCTCGACCCCTCGGCTGACCTGCACTTGAACGATCCCCGCACGGAGTTCTACATTTGCGGTCCCGAGTCGTTCATGACCCAGATGGAGGACTCGTTGAAGGCCCGGGGTGTGGGCGATGATCGCATCAAGATGGAGCTGTTTGGCACGGGTGGTGTGCCTCGCAACTGACGTGCTCCCGCTTTTGTACTATACTCTGTTATGATTCCGTGTATATTAGATGACTTCCTTGATTGAGCTCATTCCCCGCTCTCCGCTGCTATATAACGTTATGATTGATGACTTCCTTGATTTGGTATACAATTGCTGTACGTCATTCGAGATCATTCATTTTCATGAAATTTAGCTACTCACCTGGTCAAAATAAAGTCCACATAGTGATAGGCGCGCCATGCCCTTTCAACCGCTTTGTGGACAGATCGCGGTATTGGTCGGTTGCATCCTCGGCCAGCAGTCATATCCAACTCACCCTTCTCAAGCGGTGGCGGTGTGTTCAACATTATACCTCTCTTTTGATTGCTCATTCTGTGCTAATTAACGGCACTGTGTTGTGCACAACATCATCTGCCCGCTTAGATGCCTGGCTATAGAACCAACCGCTATATAGTGGTGGGTTCAACTTGCAATTCTCTTCAGCCACATTGAGTCAATGAAGTCTGCTCGCTCTGGCGAATGAGCCGCAGGTGTGGCCGAACAGAGGCGTGATGACCACATAAGCTAGGCAGCGGCTGTCATAAGAGGAATCTTTCAGCGACGGGCACTTTCTCAATGGCGTGCCACACTCCACTTGTGATTGAGGTGTTGCTGTCTCCATCTCGGTGATCTAGCTAAGGTCTGATCGCCATTGGTAAGAGACGGTTCGAGCAACTTTGTGCCGAGGGGAACATCCGCTCCATCGGGTGAGAATCAACCCGACTGGGAAGATGTGGGGAAATCTCGGCAGAGGCTTCATCACAAGCTCGCTGACATGTTAGTGAAAGCTCCCAATCTGTCCAGACAGCCTGCATCTGTCTTTTGTAGCCAAAGTACTTTGTAGGCTGTTGCCTTCTGCTTTGACGATGCCAATTCCTTCGATCTCGGTGTCGATAAGTTTAGGCTGATGACTTACAGCACTACGAGCGAGCTATCAGGACCCTCAGTATGGTTACCGATACCAAGACGAGTCGATTTCTCCCTTTGCATGCGTGACCGGGTGGCATACTACTCTTGGTCATCAAACGCATCGAAGCATGCTTCGCTTTGAGCCTGGTGTTACCACAGTGGAGAAATACAGTGAACTATTGAAGCCTGCATTCTTGCCATTGGAAAGTAGCTCTCAGCCGAAGTTTTACCGGGAATTCCATCAGTACCTTATGTTCCTCGAATTCTCATCATCAGTGCGGAGTCAGAGACAGTCAATCGTCTCGGATGGCAATGTTCCGTCTGTCAATGCGAGCCGTGGTGTCTCAGCACGAACTAAGAGAAGCAAGGAAATGGTATGTGTCGATCGCATGCTGCTATTGGCATTGTTCATGCTTGAATACCCGTTATCGCCATGTCGGTGAATTGTGGAGATCTGGGGTTTGCGGGGAAGATGACAGGGATTGTTATGTGGAGATGCAATCAAGGTCATCAGGAAGAGTGTCAGTCGATTTCCACGTTAGTTTCAGATGATGATTGATAAGAATGTCAAAGAGGAGAATAGGGAATGTGTTGCTGCAGAGCACTTGACAAAACACAGGGCCAAAATAGGTTCGATGAGCGCCAGACTCATTTCGATGCGAATCTTACAGTCACCCTAAGTCAAGATGGTTGCCAAGCGCCATCAAGCTTATTCTAGTGATCCTGCCCAGTTTGGCACACTCCTTTGGTCGAATTCTGCCGGTGATAGTCCGAGTCATGCCCGGCTTTAACAACCGGCAGACAAAGTGGCACGGTCATGTTACATACCTGACTGAGTCGACATGAGGGGTAAAATGCACGACTATAAAGGGGCGATCTCGCTCAGGACTTCCTCACCAGCAGCAGGCAAGAAGTCAATATCAAAATGCACTCAAAGCTCGGACTCGCAGGACTCTTGGCCACTGCGTCTGTGTGCTTGGCTGCTCCAAGGGAGCAGAATATCACCAGCGACACTTACTTTTATGGACAGTCGCCTCCCGTGTATCCATCGCGTATGTCACTCAGCTTTTGCGTAGGCCCCATCGCTAATCTGCGAAATAGCTGAGGGAAGTGGAACGGGCTCCTGGGCTGCCGCTTATGCAAAGGCAAAGAGCTTCGTTGCCCAGCTCAGCCCAGAGGAAAAAGTCAATCTTACTGCGGGAACTGACGCCGATAATGGCTGTTCTGGCAATATAGCGGCTATTCCGCGACTCAACTTTCCAGGATTGTGTGTATCTGACGCCGGCAATGGTCTTGTGAGTGAATCCATGCAGCAATGCTGGAAAAGGCTAATCTCTGTAGAGGGGGACCGACTATGTGAGCAGCTGGCCTAGCGGACTACATGTTGGTGCCAGGTATGGTTGATCCCCAGTCGACCGGATAACACTGACCGTCCGCAGCTGGAACAAAGCTCTAGCGAAGCAAAGGGCAATACATATGGCCTCAGAGTTCCGTAAAAAAGGTGTCAATGTCATACTTGGACCCGTCGTCGGTCCCCTGGGTCGTGTGGCTGAAGGAGGACGCAACTGGGAAGGCTTCTCGAATGATCCGTACCTGAGCGGTGCCCTGGTCTACGAGACCGTCGATGGAGCACAGTCAGTTGGTGTTGCGACTTGCACCAAGGTCAGTCACCTCGACGGACTCCTGGTTCAGCAACTGACTTCATAACAGCATTACATCTTGAATGAACAGGAGACAAATCGTAACCCGGAAACCGACGATGGCGTTAATATCGCAGCAGTCTCTTCCAACATTGATGACAAGACCATGCACGAGCTATACCTCTGGCCCTTCCAAGATGCCGTCTTGGCTGGCAGTGCTTCCATCATGTGCTCATACAATCGTGTCAACAACTCCTACGGCTGTCAAAACAGCAAGACTCTAAATGGTCTCTTGAAGACCGAACTCGGATTCCAAGGTAAGTCTTCATCCCATTTTGCAGTTCAAGCTGACCGATTAGGATATGTGATGACCGACTGGGGCGCCCAACATGCCGGAATCGCCGGTGCCAACGCTGGACTGGACATGGTGATGCCTAGCACCGAGACATGGGGAGCGAATCTCACCACGGCTATTTCCAATGGGACAGTGGTCGCTTCGAGACTGGACGACATGGCCATAAGGTAGTCGGGCCCTGCGAATTCTCCAACCTCAAACTGACAAAGACAGGATCATCGCTTCGTGGTACCAAATGAACCAGGATTCTGATTTCCCATCTCCTGGCGTCGGTATGCCGGCTGACATATATGCGCCTCATCAGCGGATAATAGGAAGAGAAGCGTCTTTCAAGCAGATATTACTTCAAGGCGCCATCGAGGGCCATGTTCTCGTCAAAAACACCAACAGCGCCTTGCCACTAAAGTCACCTCAGCTGCTCTCCGTGTTCGGATACGATGCCAAAGGACCGGACACACTCAGCGCAAACTTCAACTGGTTGACATACAGCCCTGCCATTCAGGAAAACCACACCCTGTGGGTTGGAGGCGGCTCTGGGGCAAATAACGCTGCGTATGTCGACGCTCCTATCGATGCCATCCAGCGCCAGGCCTACGAGGACGGCACTTCCGTTTTGTACGATCTTTCATCAGAGGATCCTGACGTTGACCCTACCTCTGATGCATGTCTGGTCTTCATCAACAGCTACGCCACAGAGGGCTATGACCGTCCTGGACTCACTGACAATTCGAGCGATGTCCTGGTGAAGAACGTTGCTGGAAAATGCGCCAACACGATTGTCACCATCCACAACGCCGGAATCCGACTGGTGGGCGACTGGATCGATCATGAGAATGTGACTGCTGTCATCTTCGCTCATCTACCAGGCCAAGACAGTGGGAGGGCATTGGTAGAGTTGCTCTACGGCCGGGCCAATCCGTCCGGGAAACTGCCGTACACGGTGGCTAAGAAAGCCGAAGACTACGGTACTCCGTTGCATCCATCCCTGCCAGAGACCCCATATGGACTGTTCCCGCAGTCGGACTTTGACGAAGGGGTGTACATTGACTACCGCGCCTTTGACAAGGCCAACATCACCCCAGAGTTCGAGTTCGGCTTCGGACTGTCGTACACGAGCTTTGAGTATTCGGGCCTGCAGGTAAGCAGTCCTAAGAGATCTTCCCAATATCCTCCACCAGCCACTATCCAGCAAGGTGGAAACCCCCATCTCTGGGATGAAATCGTCACCGTGTCTGCGGCGGTCAAGAACAGTGGAGGTGTCGCCGGTGCGGAGGTGGCACAGCTCTACGTCGGCATCCCCAATGGTCCCGTACGGCAATTGCGTGGATTTGAGAAGGTCAGTGTCTCAGCAGGAGAGACTGCACAGGTGCAATTCGCATTGAATCGACGGGATCTGAGTACATGGGATGTCAAGGCGCAACAGTGGTCGTTGCAGCGGGGAACGTATCAGGTGTATGTTGGACGGTCGAGTCGGGATCTCCCTTTGACGGGGTCATTTACTCTGTAAATAGCGTCACAGTCAGTATATGAGAATAATAACAGAGTCAATGTGATAGGACTGTTCTTCTCGCCTTCTCCCTTGGCGTGTCGAGAGGCATGACGTCATTCATCGTGAGGTTTGTCATTCCTCCCCTCGATACCTCTCTATTTTCACCTTATTATCGATCAGTGCATGAAATTTAGGATAGCCATCACTACGTTGATCAAGAGCCTCGTTGAGGAAACACAGTTTGACACCCCCTGTCGAAGACTCGATACTGATTGTTGACGGATACTCTGCCCCCCCGCCGAGTCGCCGACCGACACGAACACGCCACGACAACACGTGAGACTCACCGCTATTTCTCTCGATCTGCATTGCGGTGATTGCTGATTTCCCATACCCACTCGCCCGCATCAGACGCATGTGTCACACGGTATAACAAAAATACTATGCCAACCGCCCTCGTCCTCATCTACCCCTCTGTCAACACTCTCGACACCAACGGCCCCATCGGCGTGCTCTTCCAAGGCGGCTTCTCCACCTTCATAGCCGCCCGTGACGAACTCACCACCTCCCAGGAAAATGTGACCCTCAAACGCGATCTCTCCATCGCCGAAGCCAAGGAGAGACTAACCGAGTATGATGTGCTTGTTGTTCCCGGGTCGCGACCGAACCATATCCTCCCGTTCATCTCCTCAGACGGCCATCTACACGAGTTGTTAGAGTTGATATCTGCGTTTGCGAAACTCGGCCCCAAACGTCCCGGGCCTTTGGGCGAGAGGGTTCTTCTGTCTATTTGCAGCGGGTCGTATCTTCTGGCGGCGGCAGGAGTCCTAGATGGTCTCACAGCGACATCACACCGGTTGGGGCTCGGAGCCCTGCGACAGCTATGCGACGAGTACAAGAGTCGGACACCAGGGGCGAAAGGGACAGAGGTGGTGCCGGAGGGCCCAGCGGGCACTGTACACTATGTCGATGCAGGAATGAACGAGTCTCAGGTGCACATTGTCACGTCCGGGACCGTCACCAACGGCATCGATGCGGCCTTGTACCTCATTTCGCTGCGGTCGGGGAGACCGGCCGCTGTGGAGGTGGCGGCGTTTATAGGGTATACATGGCGGGAGATGTGAGATCCGGGATTTGGGCGTATCGGAGGTCATGAAATGCTATTCTTGGACATACATATCCACTAATCTACGGCATTCTTATTCTACTGTCCCGCATCCCCAGTGGACTCGGACCCCGGGACACAGCTGCTATTCCCTCCAGACAAAGCACCTGCTGCAGCTCGCCACACCGCTTCTTGCGAGAACCAGCTCTCTGCTGTGTAGAACAGCCGACAGCCCGCCGCCCTGTAGGTGAACTGCTGGGGCGTCTCGTCGTCTCCGGGCGCGTACTCGTTGCGCAGGTTGACTCCTCCGCCGAAGACGAACGGGAATCCGTCCGGGTTAATGGGGATCGATCTGTTGAATTGCGCCCATTCTTGCGTTGACATCAGAGGGGACGAGCCATTCCGTAGAGACTCCCGGATCAACCCGTGCGCCGCTTCAACATAGGAGTAGATCCCACCGTAGGCCAGATTCTGGCCGCCGCGAGTGCCGCCGATGACCTGCATGGGTCCATACTGAGGTCTTCCACCGAACGCGACCGTCCGAACGCCTTGCCGCTGCATTCGATCTACAAAGTAGGCACATGTCGAGATACAGTTGCCATCCGTGATCTGCCCTGTTAGCGTTTGCCTTATCTTGGGCAAGCCGGACTTACAATGACAATATCCTCAGGAGCGAATAATCGCTGCGAAGGGTCCAAAGGAATCGGCCCGTATCCGGTGATCGGAGAGTGCGTCGTGGAGATGCTGGTGAAGTTGAAATTTGCATAGAGATTGGACAATGACGCCCCATCAATCTCATACGGTCCATACCAGTCCTCCAGCGATTTGTAATTGCCATCCTGGTTCGGCGTCACTGCGGCCTGCCAGGAAAACGGGTTCCCCTCCCAGAGCTCCAACTGCAACTTTCGATGCAACTGTGCCAGTCCGGAGAATGCTTTGCTCAGGAATTCTGCACCGGTGTGAGCACGTAGCCGAGTCGCTGTGTATGGCAGCACATCTGGAAAGAAGATGTGAAAGAGGTCCAGGCCGGAAGTCAAGCTCCCCCCGGGGTTGCCGGACAGGTCCACGAGAATCCTCTTCTTGCCAGCTTCGGTCGCATTTCGCAAGAAATCCACACTGACCTGCTGCAGGGTCGCGGGATCAACCGAGAAGGTGGTGACGGCTAGCACGCCCACGTCTTGAAGTGCCTCTTCCTGTGAGAAATATCCCGCTATCCCTCCGCCGTAGCTAGACCAGGTAGTGTTGGGATAGCCTGCGCTGTCGGATGCTGCCATGGCTGTCGTTGGAATTGGTGCTTTACGACAGCGGGCGTCGAACAGTGCGGTGCCATTGCGGAACGGGAATTCCAGTGGAATGAGGTCGGCTGTTCTCTGACTCTCGATGGTAGAGCCGTTGGCAAAGGTGAGGTTGAGTCGGTCGCCAGTCCACTTCTCTCCTAAATTCCGTGACCATAGACCATTATTGCGGGGCGTTCCCAGAGCGATTTGACTGGCTAGAGACGGGAAATTTGTGTTATACCTGGGTAGTTTGTTAGATTCCATCTACCTGAATGAGGTGTAGAGCTCACTGAGCGTCCGGGTCATGTAGAGCTGCCTCGGAGGAAAACGATTCAAGATATTGAGCAGCGTCCTGGCCATCTATAGAGACTACCGGCGAGACTGACTGGACTCCTCGGATCAAGAGTTGTGCGTCATCTATCCAGTCAGCTGGCTTCGCTTCACCGTTGAGAGAGACCGACCGAGCGTGTATACCTGCGGCAGCTCCAAACCATCTGAAGACAGAGAGACCAGAGGGACCGAGTTGGAAAAGCGAAAGAGCACTGTAGAGCAGAGCTGGAGAGTCAGATGGGCGTCATGTGCTGCATTGATGTGCTGCCGCAGATCGAGTTCGAAGTCCCAATGGCTGGAGTAGTCGTGACCCTGAGCCTTTTGCCTGATATTGTCCAGACCACCCAGTAAATCTGTCGACGGCATGGAATATTGATCTGGGGGATCTGCCAGAGTCAGCAATGTTTCGTCTGTAACGGTCACAGGCACATACTCTTCAAGTTCTCTATCGTCGATTGGAATTGTAGGTACTTGCGATATTCGTCGACAAACTTGACCGCATCGTTGGCATCGAACGGCATCGAAGTCAGACACCCATAGACCAGGTTTCCCGGGATTCCTTTGGTGGTCTTTGCCTGGGCAATCCAATCCGAGACTTGAGCACAAGGCTCGATTTGACGTCCATCATTCTGTATCCGAGATGCTTGAGCTGCAAGGCATGTTAGTGCCAGTATTTGCGATGAGAAACCCCATCGATAATGCATCGCGATGGTGAGCGATGGAAGATGGGGAATGAAAGTGGTTTCGTTTGTTTATCTGGGTTTTGACAGATGTTGCCGATATGATCCGTCATATTATTCACAGCCAGCTTCAGGGGCCACGAGGAGACTGATCGACACTTGATCTGGGGCAAATCTTTCTTTTTATAGCGTATGATGCGTTGCTGTGGAGTTGAGATCCACAAGAAAATTGAAACCATCATCTAGACCTGATTCCCGTGTTGATTTGGTGTAACCGGTTACAGGTAAAGACCTTGTCGAGACCTTTTGGTATAAGGTTGAGTAACCAAGTGAGGAGAAGTCTCCCTGACAACCTGTTGATTGCCTTGTCAAACAATACATTCTCCTTTACAGTCAATAATTGACTTTCCTATGTCACTTAAGGCGGATACCAACTAAACAACATTACTATCATATGTTGAAGTGACAGAGGATAGGGACTCTCACATCGCATCTTCCATCGTACGCTAGTCCCCTTCATCGCTCAGTCGAGGAACTTCCTGAGCTGATGAACTTGCTTCAGCGATCATCAACGCGCTTCTAATGTCCTCCAAATTTGTTGAGTCAAAGAGCCTATTATCAATCTTCCCAATCCTATCATGCTATGTCCACCTGGGAATCATCCAGCCAGGCGGAATGATTTTATGATGGCTGTGAAACCTGTCATGTCGCCTTGTGTACCATGGACACAATGTTCAAGCTGATGAAGGTGGTTCTCTCGTACTTCATCATCATGAATTCTTACTGACTTTCGCGGTCAAAAGCGCTGGGGAGCAGTTAGGACCAACGATACCATACAGATATCAAGGGAGGCGCCTCCTTGCTAAAGGGAAAGAAGGACACAGTCCGTTCCGACTCTCCCTCCATATCCATCCTGTTGTGCTCACTAGAAGAGGTGCTTGTTGAGCTTAGACTTTGCTTATATGCTGATGGAGAAGATGGAATCTTAATCAGCACAGCTCCCATGGCGCAAGTCAGCTAGAACAGAGGCTGACTGTTACATTGATATATCTACAACGCAAATATTTCTAGAGGAACCTGCAAATTCACGACGGCCACATCCTCAGTGGTTCAATGACACCTCCATCTTCGTCCCAAGCTACCACATCAAAGCCACAGTTGACTCTTCGAGTGGTTGAGTAGTCAGGGACGTTCCGGTCTCGCAGTGATTCTTCCTGTATCTCTTCTTCATCCGCGGGGGAAGAAGACAGCGTCAACATTTGGGAGCTTTAAGAGTGAACAACCAGTTCAGGATGTGTATATATTTCAGTGGCGTGTTGGAAATTTTGGTTTTTTTCCGTAAATCTTTTCAGTCAGGGGCAACCAGTCATTACTCAACTGGACCACCAAAATCTGCTAACATATTCAAAATTTCCAGTTGAAGTCAGGAATCATTTCCTCAAGCATTCTGACTGATTCCTTTATTATGGTGGTACGTATCTCCGAATCTCGGCTTTTTCTTACTCCCCGCTTTGATCTAAAAACTACCCAGACCCACGATACAGTCTAGTATCCAATGATAACAGAGAGCTTTTCTTTAGCCGTCTTGGCGCATGGGTAGCTCATGAGCCCACCAATCAACCGCAGCCATTCTGGGCCCTTGCTCAGGGTTCGCCCCCTCTTGAATCATGCGGCTCAGGGGAAATCCCATGGCAAAAGTCTGTGAGATGATGTGATGAAAAATATCGTCACCGACCACGCCTCAAACTATTATCCGAGGCTGAATCTATCTATCAATCTTCCATTCTTTCTCAGTTTATAAATCGTTCTCACCTTGATTATCTCCCACTCTCCCTGTCAGCATGCGCTCCATCTTCTATCTCCTCCTCCTCACATTCAGTGCTACTGTTCTGGCCAGCTCATCCATATCCTACAACAAATGGGTCAAGAATCTTCCCTCATGCATGCAATCTTGCTTCAACGACTTCTTTACGAATTTTGCTCAAGATAAATGCGGCAAGGGTGCCAGCACCAGCAGCAAGCCATCTGACATAAACTGCATCTGCCAAGCGGGCAGTTTTACGTCGAGTAAGGCGAATGCGCCGTCCATCGCCGACTGTGCATCGGCGAAATGCTCCGATGCAGCGTCTCAGTTGCAACTCGTCTTGGGTTCCTATACCCAGTTTTGTTTGAGTCAAGTCAATTCGGATGGATCGGTGCCGAGTTTAGGTATGTCGGTTCGATTCTTGCCGTCGAGTCATGCTGATCTTTCTCAGGGAGCACAGTGTCGGTGTCAGGCTTAGATGTCATTCTCGTGTCGGGCAGTATTGCCCTTCTTCAATGCGCCTTATAGCCGATTGTGTCCGTCGTGCTTGCTTTCTTGCCCTGTTGGTACGCTGCATAATGATTGATCTATTGCTTGGGTATGCGCGTCTCGAATGTTTTCATTCCTGTGACTCTCACGCGCATCTGAACATAAAGCAGGCAGTGCAATGTTGTCCGTTATTATGGCATTTCTCCGTGGTGAAACCCTGCATCACGGCACTGTCGAATGCTACGACCGACCATAGCAGAAATGAGATGTTGCCATGCTGTTAATGTCCTTTGAACCACACTATAGATAGGTAGCGATGTGAGAGTCAATGCCACATACCCCAGTGATCAGTGCCACTGACCGAATGCCGACGCCACCATCAATCAGCCTAAGCTTCTGTTTTCCAAATACCTGATAATCCTGCATTGTGTCATCCGGGACATCATGATCAGCCAGCTTGGAAGCATCTGCTTCGCTCACATGAAGCAAGCCTCACGCGCAGGCGGCACCAGGAAAATGCTTCCATTGTCATTGATCGCAGATAGATCCCCTCCATCCAGCCTGCGGATGAGAGTATGAGATTCCTGTCTCACCCTATCTGCAGATGCCTTGGCCGTTGCAACCTTGTCCATGGTAGATTAAATTTAAACCTCCTACAAGCCTCATAGGTATGAGTCGTGCGTCTGGCATTTAAGGGAATCATCAACAGCTTTGCTCCAATCCTCCATTACTCGGACGTTCGTTGGCTACCCATCTGGTAGTCATGATGGGGCCATTCGAGATGCCATTCTGGGGATTGGGGAGTTCCAAGCCGCAAAGAAACGAGAAATAGAGAGTCAAGATGCCCAAATATAGGAGGAGGGCGCTAAACCCAACAAACCGATATCAAATCCAAGGAAGTACATTTGATAGGCTCTATTGCGCTTGACCTGTTCTTACGCAGATTCCACTTCCATTCATTTGTAAATGGCAAGGCAGATTGCTCAATCTCTTTTTGAGAGCCTCTCCTCTTCTATCACTAATTGATGCACTTTGATGAAACAGAAAAAATATGAAATAACCTCCATGACTACCCAAGTAATGCATCTATTGTTGCACAGCCCTGTGGCTTAGCAAAGAGCGTGCCACGTGTACCGCCAGAGGGGGCTTCAAATTAACAGGCACCTGAACAATTCCAGAAGCTGAGAAAAGGACTGGAAAACTGCCAGATAAGGGACATAATTCTGCACATTCCAGCCCCAGCCCCAGAGAGATTGTCCGGCCCCCAACGGCCCCAACCTCACAGCTTTAGTGCTGATAGCCTGGCACAGCCCAAGCCAAGGTTGCTTCGAAAGCTTAGTTGGGACGAAATGCTTACATTTTCGATCTTAGGTTGAATTTCACGAGGGAGGTTAGCCGTGTCCATTCCTTCAGTATCTCGCAGTAGAAAATAGCCGTGACTATGTTGTATGATAGACATCCTCACCAGAAAAGTATATAGGGGGGCTCAATTCCAGTCCCCTACCATAATCAGACATCTAAAATTCCTCAGTCCTTTCTCTTCGCTTTTTTTTGCCGAATACCCGAACGCCATCATCAAAAGAGTCCAAATGTGTCTCCTTCTTCCACTCCTCTTCGCCAAAAACAAACGGGCACAGCAGAAAGCGGGCGACTCTGATTCCTACCCAAGACCTCGACCATCAATGAGAGAGCGACCCAGTTCACAAATGGTCAGAGAACATCATCATCAGCCGTATTCCCATCATGTCAATGTACGATCAGGAAGCAGCCGCTGAGCCACATCCATGTGAGCAGTCTGTATCTTCTCCGTCAGGTTCACTGCTAATAATGACTAAAGCGTACTCGTCTTGAAGTTACATTGAATAATGACCCTGGATCTATGAAGTCAACCATAGCTGGGCGGCGATGGACATCGGAGGAGTGGGACGGCCGATTGATTGAGACAACGACTTGAATTGTATACACTTTATCTAAAATGCATTGATCAGCGTGCAATCAGCACAAAATCAATTCTACCTTTTTAAACTCAGTAGCTGTAACGCAAGTAGTCCTTCGAGAGGCGACCCGTAATTTAAGATGAAGTGTCTAGGTTGATGTCTTGCTTTCATCGATGTCATTCAGACCAATTGGCACAGAACATTCAGCTCTTTGGGCAATGAGTATGCCATAATTATGCGGATCCAGTTCTCTGGTCAGACTCAGACCGCTGCCGCCCCTCCCATCGCTTCCTGACACAGTTTGTATAGACACTAAGGGCGAAGAGCGTGGCGGAGATTGCAAACATCAGATCATGCGTCCGTCGGTCACAGTTTACGTCCGGACCCAAGATGGTGCACCCTTTGTAGAAGAGGAAGCCGAAGGCAAAGATAGAAAGGAGGAATCTAGCCTAGTCAGCGCTGATCCGGGGATAAAAAGAGACGAATCTTACAATAGGACACTTACGAAAAAATGTTATTCCGATAAATGATTGGAATCGTATGGCCCAGGGAGTGCCTGGATGGGCCGAGTTTTCGGTACGACAATCCTCATAATCCAGTCCTGACGGTGACCCTGAGTTGCTCTCATTCCCATCAATATCGGAGATATCCTTTTTGTCGTTCAAAAAATGGTTTTCCATGCCGATCATAATGAGGGTCTCGCCGTGGATAATTTGAAGATGACGGAAAACAGAGCAAAGAATGAGAGGAAAGTCACTATATAAACCAATTCGCATCCCTGCTAGTAGGCTGCGCTCTCCTCAGGCTAGACTCGATGTAGGAAGGACCGCTGAAAAGCCTCAATGTCTCAAATGGACCCACAAGGCTTATACGAAGAGGTACGCCTGCTAGTTGGTGTAAAACCGGTAGCAATTATGATTGATAACAAAAGCAGAGTCGATTGGGGGGCATAGAATGTCAATGCCACAATTACGGTTGATCGAGTATGATCAGCAAATACTTAAAGCGTAGGAAGATACTTTGTGCATTATCAAGTCATCATCTCATTATCATACAATGGAATGAAGTTAAACAGTTCCAGCAGCAAGAACATAGCCACCATCAACCACAACAGTCTGTCCATTCAGGTACTGGTTGCAGACGGCAAACAAAATAGCGCTCCCCATGTCTTCATCCTTGCCGGGTCTTCCAGCAGGAACCTTGCCCTCGTACTGTTCCTTGGGAAGGGTACTCTTCTGCTTCTCGTCGCTTTCTTTGGCGGTCATTTCGGAGGGAAACACGCCTGGCGCGATGTTGTTGACACGAATCTTTAGGTTGGAGTCCGCGATCTCATGCGCCAGCATCTTTGTAACGTGGATCGCAGCCCCTTTGCTGGCGTTGTAGTGGAAGTGGTGCTGTGATGTCTTGACAATGCCTGAGATGGAGGTGATATTGACGACAGTGCTGGACCAGCCATGCTCAATGTCGGTTCCCTTGTTCAACAGGGGCAGGAACGCAGCAGTGGTGAAATAAAGCTGGGACACATTGGTGCGGAAGATTTTATCCCACTCATCAAAGGAGTTCGCCTCGTCTTTGAAGAGCTTTTGATGCAGTTCCTCAGCGCTCTGGCTGTCGGTGTCCTGTGTCTGACCAGAGATACCTGCATTGTTGACGAGGATATGCAGTGCTTTTTCCTTGGAAGAGATCTCGTCGACGAGCTTCTGGATAGATTCCTTGCTAGTGATATCGGCGGAGATGGGAATGATCTGCCCGGGAATGCCATGCGAGTACAATTCTGCAACACGGTCGAGCTTTTCTCCCGTCCGACCAGTGATGTATACCTTGGCACCATTTACAGCCAATGCCTGAGTGATCATGAGGCCAATTCCGGAACCACCCCCAGTGACGAGAGCAACTGTGCCGGTCAGTATCCATATCTGCAAACAATATGAGCAACATACCTCGGCCCTTGACGCTGAAGAGGTTTTCGAGCTTGAAACGCTGGTTGTGTTGCTGAGCGTCCGACATGTTGATTGATTGACGTTAAGCTTTTCTTCTATGCAATGGGTCTTGATTTGTGGTTATGTGGTGATTAAGTTGCGGTCGATCTTCATAGGTTTCGGTAGGGCACTGCCGTTGGCTCTATATAGATGCAAGTCTATATAGTGCAAGAACTCAAACAGGACCTACGTAGTATCATCATATTGGCGTAATTGCAGTGCATGTGAAGCCAAAAACCTGACTCAGTAGCTGGTGACGAGTCTAGATGTAAATGTGTGGAGAAGCTGAAGCAGGCTGGGCTTCATCAGCATGACGTATGCCATCATAGAGGTAGATGAATCTCATAGTATATTGCATTCATATATTCAGATAAATACATCCATGAGGATGGATAATAAATCATATCATTTTGCTTTCATGTGTCAAAGCAAGACATTAATCATAGGGTTAAAAGTAAGACATTGATCATAGAGGTATGAGCCCTAATTAGCCTATATGCTAGTATATGAATTCTCAACACAAACCAATTATGTCCCATATTTCCAGTATATTGTCTATCTGCATTCTCAGAGCCTATATCTTAACACTATTTTAGAGTGCCACAGGAAGTCGAAGAATAACTACCAGGGATAGAGGCAGTGGTTGCCAACATATGTTGAGAGTTGTCACGATTGATAGTCATTAAATTCAAAATACGCCGTCATAATCCTTGGTTACATCTAATATACAGTTGGCCATTTCTCATACTTAATGATCACCAAGTCCCATAGCATCCTTTGCCTTCTGGCCCCTGTTTCCAGACAAGTTAGCAGCTGATTAGCGTTAGATCTTTCTCCAGATGCGGGGGACGTACATTGTCTGGGTGCTGCTACCATGGGCCTGGTTGTCCTTTTCGCCGCGCAGGGAATCGTAGGCCTGCTGTGTGTACGACTTCTGGTTGTCACTCTGCGCGCTACCGGTCATGCGGTCAGTGGCGTCGGTGACGGTCTCCTTCATTCTGTCCATAGTGGACTTTTGGGAGTCAGGAGTCATCTTCTCCTGAGCCTCTGCAGCGGAATCAGAGCTGATCTGTTGGTTATGGGCTGAGGGACATACTGGTGGAGAAATCCTTGCGGCCGGTGTCAGACATGTTGATAGTAGTGGTGGATTGACTTTGTGGGATGATTCTTGATTTGATGATTCTGATTTTGAATTGAGAAGGCAAAGACTGAAAGGCATCCCTTCTTATATGTCCTGCAGGACGCAATTGACCATCAAGCAAGTAAGAGACAAGACGTCATTGCTTGTGATAAAGCATAATCAGGTATAGGATGAATCACTAATTTTCTGGGGAAGTCAATTATTAGGCTGCATCTTGCCACTCCAGTGTGGGGTAGTCAATGTGATGATTCTCTACGTCACCATGATCTTCGGTTAAAGTATGGTAGATCATTGATATCTTTAACATAAGCTTCTCTGCAGGGACTCCGCTAGAATCTATTACATGCTGATAGTGTCACTTGATCCACATTTGGAAGAGGATAGTACTTCATGATATAGAAGATATGTGTAGCTTGCCAAGGTACCTTGACTCATTGCAAATAACAAGTACCTCCAAGGCCTCCTAGATCATTGAATATGTCTATGAATGCATTTTTGCATCTCCCACTATTAGGTATTGAATGACGTCACCATTTCTGGATATCCCAAGTTGGATGCCCGAGAGGATAACCACTAATTACGTGAATAAGTAGGGATCATGACTAATTATGTATAAGCTATTGACTCTGGCATGAATCATTGCAGAATGTCAGTCGAAGTCTAGATTCAGTAGAGTATTCCCTCGCTATGCTTCTGGACAGGCTACTCTCAGAGGTACAATGAACAGAACCAGACCAAGAACAATTATTTTCTCTGTGGGAACTGAATAGGGTCAGAGCTGCAGGATAATAGATTTATCAATAAGATGTTTTTTGTATTCTAGTAGTTTATATGGTCCTTCTCATAATGACCTCCTCGATAAAGAGCGAAACAGGTAGTCAAAGTAGTCTGCAGGCTCTGGCACATAGACATCACCAGACGGAGTATATCACCGTCGCCGTCGCCCAAGCGTCCGCCTCCGAGACACAAAACTGGTCGGCACAAAACAAATGCAACACTCGTACTGCCCCTGGTCATTGGTACTGTACCGCACACAGGTCAGACAGACTCGATGCCCACACTTGGTGAGAAACACCTCACGACCATCGACTGCGACGCACGAATGGCAGAAGCTGGTCGGGCCGGGCAAAACCCCCAGCTGGATCCTCCGCTCCATCTCAGCGACAAGCTCCTTGCCCTTTTCCGCACGGGCGCGCAGCAGCCGCACGCGGTACTTGAGGGCATCCATTTTGACATCACTCGGCCGTTTCGATTTTGACCAGCCCGTCGGCGTCGGGATCGGTTCAAGCAACGCGATCGGCCGCAGCCTCTGTGCGACCGGGGTGGATTGCGCATGCTTATGCTCAAGGAGCCAGCGCCGGCGCAGTTGCTTGTTGAGGAGGAGGGTGAAGAGCACTTCGGCCGTTTTCCATGCGAGCCATTGCGACCGGTCGTCTAAGTGCAGTATCCTCGCATCTTGCTTTTGCTGTCGTTCTTGCGGCGTCGAGGTGGTGCCGAGGGAACTTGTCATGGGGGCCGCGAGCAGGCAGACAGACATGTAAACGAATGACAAGAGAACAAGCCCCTATGGCCCCGATTGACCTTGATGGAAAGGGAGACAAAGGGTCAGTTACTCTTCGGCCACCTGGGTTGACTAGCAGTGATTGAGCATTCTTTTATTGTTTGAATGCCATTGTTATATATCCATTTCTTGTCACTATTCCCGCTGTGGGTTTGCATCATTGGCCGATCAGCCACACTCCTTGCAGTTCCGGCCGGTTTGGAGCCATTGAACAGAGGCCTGTCCATCCATGGCTGTGCTGGAAGATATGTCCACCAGAATATCACCACAGCCATTGGCGGAAAGAGGAAATTCTCGCCTCAGGCATTCAACCATTTCGATGACGTGGTTGTCATGTGATGAGTTGTGGGGAGGCTCATGATTGGTCAATTGGGGCAGCAGTGGTGCGGAGGATGAATTCATCGATGAACTCATTCAGCTCAGCGAAGTCACACAATGCAGCGGAATTGGCGTAATAGACTGCTCGCAGCATTCGTTATGCAACGCCATATATTTCTGTTTATGGACAGTATAGCAGCCACCGTGTGGCTTGACAATCCAACCGCCATATGTCAACCTCACCGTCCCAGTTCCAAAGCTGATGTACATGCGATGTACGCCAGGACCAAACTCCATGACAGAAGACTCGCTACCAGGGGTACTGTAGCTAATCACAATTGAACAAAATCCACAAAGTCAGCACCCGACGTGGTCCACGGTGCGTCTGAAGCGATAGATGTCTTCATTGTCGGGGACTGTTGTTGCAAGGCATCATTGCCATTGAATAGAAGGGGCTGCGCCTGCTGCTGAGGGCACACAGGAGAGTAGGTACTCATTGATCGGGCTGGCGCTACAGCCGCACCGGCCTCCTCGACCATTTGAGCAATGTAGAATTTGAGCGGTGGGTCTTCGCATTGCGCGTGTTTCAGCAGTTCATCTTTCAGAGAGAGGAGTTCCGAGCGCATACGGTCGCGTTCCGAGAGAAGGCGCTCTTGCTCTGCTGACTGTTTGCGATAGAGGTTCTCCAGTTGTTGGTTGCGCTCTTTCTTCTGGCGGCGGCATTTGCTGGCTGCGCGCCGGTTGCGCTCGAGATATCTCTCGCGACGGGGGTCGTTCTTGTCGAATACCTTTGATTTTGAGTTGCGTTTGCTGGATTTGGCAGCTTTTCTGGGAGAAGTGGTTTCTGATCCTGTGGCAGCGGAAGTGGAAGTGGAAGTAGAAGTTGTGGATGAAAGGCTGGCGATGGACGAGCGCGAGGGTCGGGCGGAGTAGATGTTTGGAGTAATCTCAATCTCATTGGCGGAAGCTGGCTTTAGCTCCGGAAGTTGATCGTAGGTGGATTCCAGGTTGTTATTCTTGTCATTAATATTATTCATGCTGGTGTCTGTGCGTTTTGAAAGAAAAGCGGGATCGAGGATCTGGAGACCCTCGTCGCTCAGAAGAGCAGGGTCATAAGAGGAAGAATCCGCTGTGGGCAGGGAGAGAGCGGTTGGACTGAGGGTGGCCCAGTCCAGAAGATTGCCATTGGCTCCACTGATGGGCGTCTGCTCGGTAAGAAGTGTGGTGGTCGTCATGATACAGGTGATGCACTCGAGCTATGCAGCTGAGCAGCTGGTTATGTACAGGAGATGAAGAAGGTTTAGATAGCGTGATGGGAGCAAAGCTAGGATAAGAGGTAGAAGCCTAATTGAACAGGCTGATATATATGGAGTCAAGCATTCGTCTGTGCATGAGGCCGTAGCTGTGGTGGTAGCTATAGAGAATGTTTGAAAACCACCGAGTATCAATTGTCGAACCGGTTGCTCACTCTCTTTTAAGGATTCAGACATCCCAAAGAAACAGGGTGGAACAACCTGAAAACTCATTCAAGTGCTGGAGAATGTTTCCTACCCTACTACGGAGTATGTTATTCTGGACCAAACGCCTCCTCCCGCGACACTGGAGTCATCCAGATAATATTGATGTAACTGGACCCTGAGAACTCCGCAGAGAGAAGTCTAAAGAGCAGTCAAGCTCAGAACCAAGGAGAAGAGCTTTAACCCAGTAAGTAACCCAGTATTGCCATTGCCAAAAGAACCTGGAATAATCTTCAAAATTATTATGATAGGGGACATGGACTGACAGCTGCTCAAGGTAGGTGTTACATTGATGGAGGGGTGACGCAAGATCGCAACATCAGCCATGATTGGGCGGATGCGACACCCGGAATGGCGCTAGCGTTGGATCAGCGGGGTCAAGCTTCTTGGCTTACCAATCAGTAGTTGTCATTGGAGCGTGTGTGTGGATCCCTTGTCAAGAGTCAAAATGACAGCCCGTTTTCATGGATTGTGGCTGGCGAGACATCCGCGCTCCAGTCTCAAAACCAAAAGTTTATGATTTTGCTTCAGGAGCCTCATGAGTAAAAGGTCACGTCAGTGTGCTTGGGACACACTTTAGACAGAGTTATAAACCGGAAACAATCCTACATCTCTCTGCCACATGAGTTTTCGTCCTGAGGAACTGGGACAGACAGAAGTCAGAGCAAGGAAACAGAAGAAGAATCCTCAGCCTCTGATTCGCCGGATCTTCTTTTGGCCACTGGGCTCCAGTGACACCTTATCTAATCCATTTGACACTTCCGCTTTCCATCAGACAGAATTTCAGAGTTCCAGGAAGGACTCTGGGTAGGATGTGAGTTGACGTCACAACAGACGGTCAGTGTCAGGTTATCATGTACAGAGACTGGTTGTACCGGTTCCATGACCCGTCCGCTCAACGACGAGAGAAGGTCAGAGTGTGTGGAAATAACTCGGTATCTGCTTGTAGATCCCGATCTGGATCTGAACTTTGATTCTCGGCGATCATGGTCCTTCCTGTTCCAAATAGGACTAGAGAAAGACAGAACGAGGCATCTTTGATACTGCAAATCTGCAATGCACAGTCTCAAGGTGCAAAGGCAGATCAAAAGGAGTAGATTGATAATGCGGAGGTGGCGCAGATAGATAGGATGGATCGGATCGGGTCAGGGTCACTGTAACCACCGCTGCTCATGCCACATAATGGAACTTTCCAGTCTCAGAAACGTCGGAAGACCGACATATCATGACATCATGACACATCGTCTGCATGTGCTAGGTTGTCCTGTTGTACACGAGGAGTAGCATCCACATAGCAAACAATGAATGAGATGAGCGGGAAAATAACTCCAGCGTGGACTATGTCAGTTGGATGTCACTACAGTACTCGTAGTCTAGGGTTTTGAGTCGCTGTTTGTTGTTCGGAGGCCATTTGATGTCATACAAGACGTAGGACAATCTATGTGGATACATCTCTCGTTATTGCAGAGGCAAGGGTAGTAGTACCTTGAACGCAGGCCAACCGACCGTCCCTGACCGTTTGGGATAACACGGATCGATACAGAATCCTGCTGATAGCTCGAGTCAGGTGGCAGTTTACAGCGAGGGGCGTTCAGTTGACCTTGGCTATGCACGGAGTGTATTTTGCGCCAAGGCAAGCTCCTCTCATGTTGAATTCAGGGACAGATCAAGCCACATTATTGTGGAAATTAATGCTGTCATAAGATAGTCCTTTTGAGCTTTACCAATGTGCAGCAACATCTGAATTCGGAAGTGGCAAAGATCTAGATCTCTGTTGGCTGTTGCGCACTGTAACCGGATGAGTTCTTAACTAAATACTTAAACTGATAGATATGTAGATAGTTGGACCGAGAATTCTCCGTATATAAAAGTCATCGGTATCCCCAGAGTCAGACTATGAAACAGACCAGTGCGTGGCAAATGCAAGTAAGTCTAGACTTCCTTCCCCAATACATCTGGATATCCTGAGCATCATATCGTCCCAAAGGGCAAGACCCCTTGCATAAGTCCAGTCAGGTTCGACAGCCAAGAAGGGTGAAGTCAAAGTGGGATCAAGGAACCGTGCCATTTGCCGTACCCAGATAACCAACGGTCCTCCGGGATGACACTTTATTTTCTTTTTTCTTTTTTGTCTTTTTCCTCTTCCTCAGCTCTGTTCTTGGACTTCCTGTCTCGGCTGGAACTTCCGTCCCAATCAAGCGACTTTGTCTAATGCTACTGTCCACGAGGCTAGAGAAAATGCCCCACTGGCCATTACGCTCCTTTCCACTCACATAGAGAACTAGCAGAAGATAGATACTCTACAAGAGGCTGGCTTGCACTTGCAGACTGTAAAGCGGAATGGATAGATAAATCACAATCTTGAATTAAATAATAATCATATTTTTTTACCAACCGAGTTCGTGTCTCCTCGCCTTTTCCCCCCTCCCACCGCCGATCCCCAGGTACGTTCCGCCTCTTATAGTACCTAGCACCTTCTACCTTTCGAGACCCAAAGCATGTCCTGTTGTGCTGGTGTTTGCTGTGTGTCTGTGAGCCTGACTGGGCCCAGGGATCAGAAAAAGGACTGTGCCGTCCAAGTTTCCACGGTCCATGCCATCTATATCCAGCTGCCATTCCCTCCTTTCTGCTGCCGTTTCATCACTGGATGGGATGCTTCGCCTTTCGCTCGTTGTTCGCTCGGAGGAAGTCGCTCATTTTCACCTCCAGACTTGATGTCTGCCGGATAGGTTAAATTCTAACGGTCTACAAAATCGCCCCTGCTAGTCTACAATCCTCGTGTCTGTGGCATATAAGTCCCCCGGTCGTGGTGTTTGCAAGACCGTCGTTGTTGAAACACGTGCACGTCAACTGTTGGTGGTTGCTCCGGACTTGAGGAAAATGTTTGGCAAAAGGTTTGTTTATTATCTGGGATAGGAATGAGGTTTCGTTATTCCTCGAACCTAACCACCTCCAGGACGACGTCGCGGAAGCCTGGAGCAGAGCTCATCGGGGAGTTTCAACAAAAGTTTTCCCATGTCATCGCAGACCCCTTTCTCACGCAGGCGCCACTCGAGCACGCCAACGCGAAGCTCGCAAACCCTCCCATCCTTCCATCACAACAATACCATGCCCCGTTCAACGATTCCCTGGCGATCCCGAACGTAGTTGACTATGTCACTCATCCAGGTCAGCAAGTCGGACATCTTACTCCAACCGCTAATCAGATGTGCGCCGTAGTCCATAGTCCTGCAGGTGACCTTCACACTCCAACTGTTGAATGGAATCTGGCCAGCACGCCTTGGATATGGGATCAGATGCTCAGCGTACAGCCAGACCTTCAGAATCAACAACCACAACCACAACCACAACAACCAAATGGACACGCGACGACGGCAACCCGAGGTGTGGACGTCTTCGAGTCGCATTACCAGCATCATCTGTTTCAGAACATGGACCCGTTTGCGTCAAACCACATACTACCAAGCAACGTGTCGTTCGGTGCAAACTCAGACTACGATCCATTGGATACGTCGAATCATCAAGACTCATATACAGAATCGTTGGGACATGCCACGCAGCTTCCACTGCCGGTGGCCTCGGACGCGATCGATCGCGCCGACTTTCCCTCCAAGCTAGAGACTCCGTAAGTCCACTAACACTGCCACGACTGCAATCGGCCTACTGACTGCTCACCCCCCTCTTTTGACAATGTAGATTCCGCTACCGTGTCACTCTCCACGCTCCCACCGCTATTGCGGATCATGCGCATGAACCGCCAGTCACCTATCTCAACAAGTCCCAGGCATACTCGGTATCCATTGTCGACTCCACGCCCCCAGCGCATGTCCCCCAGCCAGTGAAATATCGCACGAGTGTGAGAATCAGCTTTGAGGAAGCGGCGCATCGATCGAACCCCGCCAGGTGCTGGCGGCTTTGGAAGGAAGCGCGAGGGGCGGTCGAGGCCCAGCAACGAGGGGGAAAGATGCGAGCGTTGGAGTTTGTGGACCTGCGGTTGGGATCGAAGAAGAACGCGCCCCGTATAAAAAAGGTGGACAGCGCCTCCTTTGATGGGTTTTGTGTAACCTGGACGGGCACTCCGGGAGCGGGTTCTTCCGAGTGTGTGGTCAATGTTCGCTTGAATTTTCTGTCTACGGATTTCAGTCTTTCCAAGGGTGTCAAGGGCGTTCCTACTAGGTTGTGCGTCAAGACGGAGATGATTGGCCTCGAGGATGGCACGCCTGCACCGGGAATTGGTACCGAAGCCGAGATTTGCTACTGCAAGGTCAAGGTGTTCCGGGACCACGGAGCGGAAAGAAAGCTGTCCAACGATGTGGCGCATGTGCAGAAAGCGATTCACAAGGTCGAACGACAAATCGCGCAGGGAGATATCGACGGCAATAATGGTCTTGGAAAGCGGAAACGCCGAAAGGGCGTGGGACACGGGTTGACCAAGAATCATACCGTGTCGATGAGCCTGTCTCCCAGCCGTTCCAACAGTCTGACGGGAATAGACGATCTGCATCGGGCTCTGTTCGAGCTGCGCAACCTCTTCTCGTCCTCCCAGCCAGTGAGCGTGCTCTCGCTGCAGGGCGATGTGCTGGATGATCCGGATCAATCACCAGTCTCTCTGCCTCGGGACTCTTCCACGCCTGTGTCTCTTGGACGAGGCAGTGTGTCGGAGACTGATGCAGGGGTCAACTTTCATGGCGACCTCGTGCAACTTCCTCGTCGTCCTTTCGGGAGGGAAGGAAGTACCGTTGAGCCGAAGACGGAATCTCCAGATCTGGTCTTCAGCGATCTAAATGGTCGATCTTCGCCGGAGTCGGATAACGGTGATCGTGCATCCAGCTATCGGCATGGTAAGTTTCGCCAGCACTATTGGATTGGATTTATGAACTGACCACGGCAGTGGCCTGTTTCTACGTGCGAATCCAGGACAACAAGCAGCAGGAGCCCTACTACCGCGCCGTATACCTCAGTGAGCGAACAACATCCGACTTCATTTGCCAACTGTCAAAAAAGTACAACGTCCATCCAGACCGTATCCTCCGTCTCGTCCATACCACGCCGAACAGTCTACGTATCGCCGTCGACGATGATGTCGTTGCGGAAATCCCCGAAGGACAGGATATGATTGCTCAATTCACCGAGGTTCCTGCTCAGTTGAGCAGCGACGGACAGGACGAGGGAGAGGGATATAGCACCGGGTACGAGGTTCAGTTGGTTTTTTAGACGCGTTCTGCATACTTGACATATTTTAGCCTTTTGCACATTCAGGGAACCTTTATATGACTCACCCCGGACGGGATTTGCATGACTGGTGATGATGTACCGTTAGACTTGCATGAGCATCTAGATACACCTACTGGATGGGTATGAACGCAACGACATGAAAGAAAAGATTCAGCATGTATAGCATAATTTCATGATGTACCCTGCTAGCAAGAGAAATACATAGCATCCATGCTGTGAAGAAAGTCTCCCAAAGCACACGTAGAGTCAAATTCCCAGCTTGTGCCGTACTATCACTAGTGAAACCTGAACCTACCTGTTGATGACAGCAGCCATACCCACTGCCATCTAGAATCTAGCTAGCTATGCTTTTATCGACGCAATCGGCATGTTTGGGAGTGTACAGTTTAACATGGTCACGCAAGAGCAGACCTGTAAGTCTAGAGAATGATAGATGCTATGGATGGACAACCACGGCAGGGTCCCCCCAAGCACCTCACTTTCTTACATGAGTCCATGACAAGTTACTTCTACAATCAGAACCCGGCTCAGTAAAGGCGTTTGACCTCACCCCATGGGGACTCCACCGTGGGCGTTTCCGTCCCTTCTTTGGTTTCCAAAGAGCCTCGCACTCTGCTTGACCATCACCCTCCAGCCGCGCTCCCTGAGGGCGTCGACAATGGCCTCAGAGCTTCCCATCAAGAGAGCCCGCTTCATGAACGCCGGGGTTTGATGGAGGTCGGCGGCTGACAGATGAAGCGTTTACGCCGCCGAGATGAACATCGCTTAGGGAAGAACGACAGTGTGGCGAGCAGTGCTGACTCCGACGGCCACTCGGATGCCACTTTCGAGACAGATGTCACTGAACCCGATCCCCAGCCGCCGGCGAGAAAACGGCGCAGAGTTGATCAGACTGACCCTCCCGTGCCAGCAACGTCCGACGGGCACCGGAGTCGATCTGTTCCAGATCCCTGAAGACTTGACAAGGCGGACGGAACGACTTTGCGGCGAGAGCGGATCAAAGCTTGGTGGAATTACACCAGTGTTTCCTCGTACTGACGGTGTGGTCTCAGTCTGAGTCGTCTTCGAAAGCTTGTCGGAGGTTCTTGTCATATTCTTCTCTGTCCGCCAGTTTGCGACCTGCAATATATCCAATGTTCTTTTCGAAGAAAAACGGCATCACCGACTGGAACTCCTCCTCATTGTCTTTGCAAAATAGAGGCCTGATATGCTTGCTAAATATCGTAAAAAGTCCTGAAGGGCTTGAGAGAGCCAGTGAATACCAGAAAGCTCCTGTTTCCCAAGACCGTTTCATGAACTCCGAGAGACGTAGCTGGGATGTCCCAAAAGTACTGCGAAAACTCTCTTCTTCCGTCGTCAGGGCTTCCATAAATTCCTGTCGGATTGCGTCATATTCTGCTGGATCCAATTGATCGACACCTTTGTCTGTGATCCAGTAAGGAGGTCCGAACATCTCGACTGGCTGAGCGCAGGTCCATTCCAAATCCACTAAGCATGTTATGTGCCATTCTGCATCAACAAAGATGTTGCTCCGATGAAAATCTGTAAAGACAAAGACAAAGGGACCCCTGCGAAATCCTCGATTGAAAATAGACTGGAAAATCGTTCGCATAGCAGTTAAAACGGATAGTTGGTAGGCACAGTCTCCAAGATCGTTGACAGCATTAGGTTGATACCGAAAACGATTGTCATGGAACCCAAGTATATCAACCACAGGAATCAACAGTCGAGTAGGTGTAATTGCGGGGTATCTCAGTTGGGATCCTCTCATTCTCCAACTGCTGGATCTCAACTGAGAGTGGCCGATTTGTAAGATGCAAAAACCCATCATTATCGATGATGAAGGAACCAATTCTGGGCAGGGGAATCCGGGTAATGCTTAAGAAAAGCCGGGAGAGGTCACGGAAGAAGTTTACCCGTAGCTTTGGGTCATGTTGCCCTTCCATCCATGTATTTGAAAGCATAGATCCACGTGTCTCTTCGATAAACTCAATCAACAGGTAGCCCTGGTCAACTATAGGATCTGTGCTTTGATGGCGGACATAATTTGACGGAACTGATTTCTTCAGCCATGATACGAAATACTGATGCAGGAGTTTGAAACAGCGAGGGAAGAATGGCAGGAATTCAAGTCGAGTGAACTAGAAGTTAATAAGCACAAAAATCACATACATTGGCTAGGGTCTATACCGTCTCGCCAGTGGACAAACCAAAGCCATATAATTTTGGGATTGGCACATCTGGACAGTTCTTTTGAAGCCATGCATAGGATCCTGCTTCGCATCGGACTTTCTCATCGCAATTTCCGGGCCTGAAACTCTCCCCGACGCGATATGGTAACGGAAATCGCATAAGAACACGCTTGCCCCAACTGTCAATCGTTATAGGGACACAGACGTTAAAGCTACCATGAAGCCAATCTTCTGTGTCTGCCACATGGCATTCTGTAGACGATCTCAGGCCAAGATGGTGGGTAACAGCAGCTTTCATCCATTCGCGTTTGTCATAAAGGCGAGCAAAGAACCCACTCTGTTCAGAATGGTATCCAAGCTGATGAAGAATATTGAATTCTTCGGTCTTGGCATCTGAGTACGTGATCTTCCGTCGAAGAAGTTGTCGGGTTCTAGGCATAATGACGAATTTTGGGCAAGAAGTCTGTGTTGACTGTTGATTCATGAATTCAGGGGATGCGAGTTCATATCCCAAGTCACGTGTTCCAGCGCCTTTCCCACGATGGCTGACCAATCAAAGTATCAGCTGGCCAATATCACGATGGTGAGGACTGATGAGAAGCTCCAGACGGTGATGATGGGCATTCCAACCTTCGAGGCTGACACGAGAATCGGTGAGTCCACGAGTCGGATGATGTTTGCAGAGTGCTTCAAATCGCTAAGCCCACCTTCCTTACTTTATCTTTCTTAGATCGTTTCCCAGGCCCAGGATATCGGACAGGTGATGTCCCAGGATAGCGAGGCAGTTAGAGATACGACGTTTCCTCTTCCTTCTTTGAGATTCAGCACTTGACCAGTCTGACAGGAGACATATCGTTTCTACAGTAGGTAGGTAGATATATCTCAATGTATGGCTGAGAAGTCAATAGATAATAACAGTTCAATGCTAACAGACTCACTACCTGTCCGGGCGGTATTCAAGGGCAAACTCCTTCGCTCGATATCCCTGACGTCAGAAATGATTCAGAACAACCTGCCGTGCAAACACAATTAGAAGGAAAGAGAAAAGACTAATGGTCGCGTCTCCTCCAAATGGAATACCACCCTTTACCACTATCAACACTCAGCCGTCGTGGCGCCCAAGCCCTTTCCAACAACTTGGTCATGGCGCGTTTTTTGCTGGGGACCGTAGAGAAATCTTCCTGCTCGGCGTTGTTCTCAATAAGCAACTTGGCGGCTCTGATGGAGTTCTCACTCACGGCACATCGCAGCGGCGTTGTTTGGAATCCATTGGGTCGGTTGACGTTTGCGCCGGCGGCAACTAAGGCCTTGAACTTGTCTTCGCACGAATCGTTATCGACAAAGTGCTTGATTAGCATCATCAGGGGTGTCTCCTGCTCGGGCCCTTCTGTCGGAATGTCGACGCCGACGGACTGAAACTGTGGAATTAACAGTCGAAGAAGTCTCACACTGACGTTATCCCAGGTCGCATAATGAAGACACGTGAGTCCCTCATCCGAGTAGACCGTACAATCTGCATGCCTCTCCAACAGCAGTCGAGCCATCTTGGTGTCACCGTTGCGTACTGCTATCATCAGGGGTGTTTTACCCTTTGCGTCCCTTGCATCGACACTGGCGTTGGCCTCGAGCAGACGCCGAACAACTGTCTCGTTTCCCAGAGTGACGGCAATTCCTAGGGGTGTGTTTCCGTCCTTATCGGGCTTGTCAATGTGTACATTCTGACCCAAAACTCTCTCAACGCCACCTAGGTCGTTTCTCTTTATTTCATCAACCAAGTTCTCCGTTATGATGGCGAGGCCCAGGTCGAGACCGAATGTAGTCTGGGACAGCGGATCGGACACGGACGAGCTTCGCGATTGAAAGGAATCCAGTCCTTCGGATTGGTATTCCGAAGTCGACTCCAGCGAGGACGCGGGTCGGAGGGGCCTGTGAAGAGCAACTTTGAGGCTCCCTAGGGCATCCTTGACTTTATTTGCATCCGGCCGATCGTTCTTGTTAATTTTCAGCATAGATAAAAGTAATTCTGCACAATTGCGAAGGAACTCGTCACTGTAAGCTCGACGGTGATGTGGTAGGTTCTTGATCCAGTTCTCGATATGCGGATTGAGGACCGGCGGGTCTCCTCGAGCGAAGTAGTCATCGTGATAAAGCCCAACCCCGTCGTCGTTCTTCTGACGGAGTTCATCCAACCTCTGAAGTCCCTCGATCCCGTCCAGCTTAAAGGCGAAGACCCGGACCAAGACGCATCCAAATGACCAGACATCGCTTCGTCGACTTATTCCACGGCCGGCGCAAACCTCCGGTGCCTGATAGGTGCCTTCCATTCGCTGTAGCCGGGTCATCGTCTCAGTGTCAGGATCCCTAGGAAGGCCATCAGTGCTATCTCGCCAGTCTAGGCGTTCGATGATTGAGAGACCGAAGTCGGTGATCATCCATTTCCCAACCCCATGCTGTCTTTGGGGCTCAGGGTGCCCATAAACCAGGATGTTGGCGGGCTTCAGATCCATGTGGTATCCCCGAACGAAGACGCCTAGTCGATTATGCAGGTGGTCTAGCGCATCTGCCAGATGTGTCGCTTCGTCTATCAGTTCGTTCATGTCGCACTGCTCCGGGGAAATCAGTCCACCCTCAAGGAATTTCTTGAGGTCCATTTTCGCGAGGGGGAAAAGAATGTTGAACTGGTGTCCGATGGTAACCGTCGCAATAGGGAGAACGATGCGCCTGTGCTGGGCGACGCTATCTCGAATCCTCTCAAGGTTTAATCTCTCTCGATCGTAGTCTAGCTTGGACCTGAAGAGTTTGCGAGCAACCTCGACGTCGGTCTAAAGGGGCCATGAGGTCAGCTCCACGATCACGACACACGCAGACACAAGGTTCATACCATATCATTCCCAGAGGGGTAATAATGTCTCGCAGCGATCACTTCCCTGGTGATCCGTCCAAACCCTCCACTTCCGCGAAGTTGGGATTCTGCTGGAAGAAACGGTAATCTCCAGCCATCCTCGAAACTCAAATTGCTACCTTCTTCAATATCTATCGGACAGAAAACATAGCGAGTATCGAAGAACAGGGATCCGAACACTGGGCCTAGAAATCTCTCGCTGGTCAGGGTCTGTAGAGTATAGTGTCGAATGCTGTGATCGGTCCGATCCAGCGTTCCATCAGACCCCCGATGTGAGAAAAGGATCTCATCAAACTGCGACCAGTCATCCCAGTTGACAGAGATCAGAATCGATATTGTCTGTAAGAAGTTTTCCCGGATATCTTGAATAAACGATTGCCGCGAGAAAAGGTCATGGTGGAAGAATCTCCGGAGCATCTCCGGGGTCCAAATCCTCGCTAGGCTGTCGCGAGGCGCGAAACGCTCTGCTCCAGAGTTGGAGGATTGGATGGCATTCCTCACTTGTGCTAAAAGCTCTCTTTGGAGTTCAGGAGGTGGATAACGTCGAAATGACCATTCCATTCTTCCCCACGGGGTCGGGAAGTCGCTAGATGAAGCTCCGCGGACACCAAGCTAAGGGCGCTTATTCTAGCCGTGTTATGTCAACACTATGCCCCTTATGTAACTGGACAGAGAGAATGGACCAAGGTGGGGCATACTTCCAATACAAACGGCTTATTAGTCCATGGCGGTTCTAGGGGGAGGAGTGGTGAACGCGCTCTCAGATGTCTTGATGATGTGTAAAACGAGCTGAGGCAAATCCAGGAAAACGCAGAGCGTCAATCAGAAGGAAACGTAGGCAGACATCCTTCCATGATCTTTCGCTACCTCAGCATGGGCTGTGGAGCCAATGTCGGGGGATCATGTGGGCACCAGCCACACAGCCAATGTCCTCAAGTGGCCATTCCCCCGTTGGGGACTTGGGATGGTTTGACGGTTTGACTGCACTAATGGCCACTAAAACAACCCAAGAATCCCCCCCCCCCCCCACGTTCGCGAATCGCGGCACTGGTGATGACTATTTTCCTATTCATTAGCCCAGATCGACTAATCTTACAACCTCCTCTCTTCAATTCCGTAGAAAAGGCAGACTTGTTATCGCCATTGCGTCCGCCTCCTGTCTGATATACCATATCATACCTAATTTATGATCATCGCTCACGGGCAAGGCGGAGTCCGAGCGAGCTTGTTCCATCATGAAACGCCAAAAGAGAAAAGTAAAAGAGAAAAAGAAAAAGAAAAGAAGAGACACAAAATAGAACTGATATCAATATGAATGAAGAAGAGGGAGAAGGCCCCGCATCCAATATTAGAAACCTTCAAGAGCGTCACTGGTCAACATTAACTAGTTAGTTACCTCGACAGCTGCTGACTCACCCTACTGCTTAGTCAGCACGCCGCGGTGCCAAGCCCTCCTTAGCGAGCTGGCACCTATCTCACCACACAGTAGAAGGATAGGTGAGTCCTTTTGAATATAACTAGGGTGGACATTGTTCCATTGCAGGTTGGATTGTAGATGGGATCTTATTCTCATCAAGCAAGCTGAAACCTCCATGCGACCGTTTTATGGCGTTGTGGGCATACAACCTTCCAGCCTGTGGACGTCTGTGCGGACATTGAAGGGCTTAACGGGGACAAACACACCTCAAAAGCAGAACAATCGCATAGACTGTCGTCTCCTGCAACTCAGCGCCAGTTTCTTCCAGTTTATTATTGGTCTTCATCGTCGTGTGGAAACACCCTCTTCCGTCTCGCGACACGATTACTTGTATGAGAAAATTACGAATCCGGCTTGATTTTGCCATCCCTATTTGAAGGAGAGGCGAGCGAGAGGGAAGCAACGAAGTCTATATATACGTGTATATGTATAAGCAAAGGGAGTTGGTGTTCGGGTCCATCATCATATGCAACCATTAAAAGTACAGGAATTATAAAAAACAGAACTCTTGTATAGACGCCAAATGTCTAGAGTTAAACCATACACTGTGCGCAGCAGAACTGCCGCATTCCAGCCAGCTCTCCAAATCTGTCGCTCAACTTATATCTTTCTGATGCTGTCACCGCCGACTAAAACAATACCAGGACCCAACTGTTAATATGGTCAAGGGGACCGCGAGTGCGACAAAAATCCAGAATCGATGCGAGATCTCGAAACCGCCAGCGGAGCCGTAACTAAAGAGGTTCATCCCAAGGAAGCTCTATCTCGAACGTCAGAATACCTTCCTTTGGTGGGTTTGGGCACTTACAGAGATAAAGCTGGCCGGCAGATATATCAAGGTCACCAGAGTCACGATTCGAATCGTGGCATTCCCATCTAACGACTCGTCTGTGAGCTTGAGAAGCTTGTTGTTGAGATCGAGCATCTTGTTGCTAATGTCTATCGTTACAGCTTGGTTTTCCACAGTCAAGGTAACTGCCAGCTACATTCAGTCAAGGTTAGGTAGGTAATCAGCGGCAACAATAATAGACGGTTTAAGTAACGCACCAGATCTGAGATGCCCCGAACTTTTCGTTCCAGCACATTAACACTTTCCAGGTTTCCCTCAAGAGATGTTATATGATAGGTTAGATCATCCGCCACAGTCTGGAACTCTTTATCAGTTGAGAATCCCTGGGAAAGGAAGAGTGAATTGATCTTCTCTAAGCGGTGCAGCGTTGTCAAAGCAACACCCAACCGAGAAGCCAGCGGGGCGAGTTTATCTTCCAGGTACTGCTGTTTGAGGAGGTGGACAAGTCCGTTCTTGTGGTCCTCTGTTCGGGGTTTTGAAAGGTCCAGAGTAAGTGCTAGATTCACCTGGCATTGTGTTAACCATTGGTCTCAATCGAGGATTATAGAACACATACAGTCTTTTCGATCTCATCACCTAGTGTTCGAATGCACCAGCGCCAATTGCCTAGGTAAGTGGAAAGAACAAGCAGATGCATAGAGAACCACTGTCTAAGAAGAGCTGCAGGGTCTGTCGATAGCATCTGTTCTATTCGACGCTGGAGCTTCGATTGAGGTTTTGCGTGAACTAAAATCCAGAGGTTCCCCGATCCCGACGGGTCATATCGATGAAAGATACAGACTTGGCGGATTCTCCACGAGGCGATTCCTCCTCTGTTATCATCTTCTGCATAGGTGAAGAGATAATGCATATCTAAGAATATTAGTGCGAAATGTCAAACCTAAGTTAGGCTGAATTGGGCAATACCGTACCGCACACGCCATCTTCTTTCTGCTTCACGTTCATACCTCCATGGCCAGCATCAGAGCTACGTGGTTTATCGCCAAACGAAACCACAAGGTCCAAAAATGAAGTATCAATGTCGTATTGACTCATGAGCTTGCGCAGGGCCTGTTCGGTAATGCCGGAGGGCCGCAGAGAGTTTTGACAGCATATTGACCTGGGGAATTATCAGACTGGATGCCACTAGAAAGGGGTCAAAGGAAACATGCACTATGCGGGCGGCTGGCTTCTGGGTATTTGCGATATGGGATTCAAATATCCGGCTGTCGGTTAACGAATAAGTCTTCTCCTGGTGTGAGCTGTCGAAAACATAGATATCGGACTTCTCTGGCTGAGAAGTGAAAGCTGGATAGCGCAGATATGGTCGTATTGACTCATAGTAGTCAGATCCAAGACCTTCCCTATCTTGTCCAGAGCCGATCGAAGGAATATCACCACGAGGAGTCACACGGTCCAGTTCGATAGGAACGGACATTATAGAGGAAGATCAGGGTTCCTAGAATCCATCTAGAAATGAACTGAAGTTTGAGTTCTGTTATACTGAAACTCGGCTGCTCTACCATACGGTGGCTTGGGAAGGCGGCCTACAAGGCATCACAAAAGGCAACTTTGAAGGCTTGCTTAGCGCCAGGAATCAACCTCTGACACAGTGGCGCAGTTGCGGAGTACTACACTATGATACATACACGAGGTCGCATTTCTTGAAGTGACTAAATGGGACAAACTCAGCTCAGTTTTTGTCTGCAACAGAAGCATACATACATGCAAACTGCGGCTACAGAATCAAGTTACCACTGTCCAACATTCGCATTTCACGGTCCGAATTCACACTGATCTATTGGCGAAGGTCACTACATCACCCGGGCGTCAGTAGGCGTGGGGCTGCATCGAATAAGGAATGAATGGAGGCGCATGCTAGAATGTCTTACGCAATTTCATCCTATGGGGAGGGCATGGCCCACAGATCAGCGATTCTCGCACAAGACCGTCACCACGGGAACTTACCGTAGTTACTTCTCTGGGGGCTTCGAAGCAGTATCGCCCATTGACATGCTTCATGGTACAAAGTGTGAGCGAGATGACAGCATTTGAGGAAGGCAGTGCTGGGTTGAACTTCTATTACCTGAACTTTGATGGGATACCCGAATAACAAGCGCAGACGGGCCTCAAGCTTCTCTTTCAGGATGTAGCTTGTTTCTTCCTCGCTGATAACATTCCTGACTGTTTGGTTCATGATCATAGAAAGATGTTTGGAAAGGTACTAGTGAACGATAAGACGGACAGGCGAAGGATCTGGATTCCTGGGGAAATGGAGCGACTGCCAGGTGGGCTGTGGGACCAGTGACGAGAAACTGGAGTAGTGGAGTACTTCCATACCACGGCAAGATCCGCCTGGGTCTCAACTGACAAGGTTGGGGGAAAAAAGGGGGCAAATGGGGCGGTTATAGCAGTCTCACCTCGGGGTCCCCGGGGACCAAGGGTCGGCCCTGGTGGGTTCCCGAGTGACTGTTGACTCGTTGATTTATATTATTGCCCTCCTTCGCGTCGGTCTCGAGTCCCTCAATTGTGACTTGTCAGTTGTCAAACGGACAGCCTCGTGCCTCACGAGGCGGATTCTTTTCCATGTCAAATAAGGCGAACTAGCAAAATTCCACAACCAATGAAACGTCAGAAGAGTGTGCTAGAAGGTTATACGCCTCGTATTGCAGCCTCTCCTGTCCTGGCAAAGTAGAAAAATCATACTCACAACATAGACGTCAATTCATTCTTTAATACTGATTTATAGGAAGAGAGTGGGCGGTTCAATGCGGTGACTTTGTCACCTCCTACCTAGTACCTACAAGTATACGTTCCCAACCTCCTCCAGAAGTCAACTGTAGTCTCCTTATGTGAATTACTAAAATGGCTAACCCACATATGGGAGCAAAAAGGTGTTTACTATGTCCGAAGTTCCAGAGGGCTTCGAATTTCGGTTACTATGAAGCTTGGCCATCCCATTGTTACAACAAACTGGGACGAGGAACCAAACATTGACTACGACTTTCCCCTGACCACCATAGGTAAACCGTAAATCATAGTTCTTGGGGTTGAAAGCGGGGAATGTCCATGTGCCATATCATGCATGCAGGGATCGTTCCCATAAGAGGACCAGGTTCTAGGCCTAGTGGTGAATGCAATGGTCCTGGGCCAAATTTGCAGATCTTGGTTTCAGCCTTATTTCATGATCCTCAGCTTCTGCCGCCTGGGATTATTGCTCTCTCTAGTGTAGTTATTTGTTTCTGCCAAATCATATATGGGATGAGGCATGGAAAAGTTTTTGAAACCCCAAAACCTTCCTGAGGTTGAATTATAGTTGCACCATCAATTAGTCCCTTGCTTACATAGAACGTGGTTGGGACACTACCCCAGACATGAATGGAACAGCTGGCGCCTATGCGGACCGACGGTGAATGCATTTTTCTTTTCTTCTATTATTTGCACTGAACTCTCGCTCAAGTTATCCCGATGACTTGGCTGATCTACCGAGCTTCTGTCTTTTGCTAACCACGCTCATATCTAGCAACCCCAATCCGTTGAGGGAACGAACAAACGGCGAGCTTAGGGACGATGTCCACAGGTTTCACCGCGACCACCAACTGGAGGATGTGGTCGATGTTAAGCTACTCATTAATGGAGCGCTCATAGCCCGGGATCGGTCGAACGTAGAAACTTGTGACCTGACCGTCCCCGAAAAGCTTGCCATAGAGTCCGAGCCGCGTTTAGGGCTCTTCCAACAGACGAAGGAGCTCAAGGTAGTCATCCTTACTACTGCATGCGCCGCGATTATCCAGTAAGCGAGTCTACACGAATTTTATTATGCTAGCCCCATTTACTAACCCCTGTTGAAGAGGCTGGCAACAGTCAACCATCAATACCAGTTCCAATGGGTGGAAATGCGACCTTCTCTTCGACTCGAAAACAAGGAAAAGCGATATTTCACTAAACACGTATCACAGCTACATTGCTTCTTTAACTGATGCAGCACCATGGATATCAGCAAGTATCATGTACGTCTTATTGCAGATCTGATATCATTCACCCACTAATGAACCTGGCATACAGCGGGACATGGCTAAGTGATCCCTTACAAGAAACCAAATATGGCCGCCGCCCCGCCCTTTTTATATCAGCAATACTCTGTGCAGCTTGTGCAATTGGTACGTTCATTTGCTGGAAGTGGTCTAGGCAATGAAAGCGGATGAAAACATGTCACTCTAATCTAGAGGTGTAGGGACCGCCCATTGTCCTACTTGGCAGACACTCCTGGTCTGTCGTCTCCTACTTGGGATTGGGGTACGTAAAGCTTACCACATACATATGGGTATTGGATGACAGTTGATTTCCGTCAGATCGGAGCAAAAGCTTCTATTGCTCCTGTCTTTGCAGCAGAGGCAGCAGCAGAACACCTACGAGGCCGCCTGCTGATGATGTGGCAACTATTTGACACGTTGTAAGTACTGGCCATGGGCTCCAGGCAGCTCCCCGCTCATCGGTCCAACCATTGAACTATTTTACAGTGGGATCTTCGTCGGGTTTGTCTGCTACTGGATCTTCGACCGCAGCTGGAGAGGGATTTTAGGGAGCGCTGCAGTTCCGGCACTGGCCCTCGTTCTGGTATTTTTGTGCCCCGAGTCGCCGCGGTTCCTCATACGAAAGCGCAACTACGCCAAAGCATTCATCAGTCTCCGTCAATTGCGAGGAACAGACATCCAGGCCGCCAAAGACCTGTACTACATCCACAGCCAGCTGCAAATAGAAACCGAGCTGTTCCAGGGTCAGCGACCAGAGCAATGGTGGCGAGCAGATTTGTACCAGGACGCGGTCGAGTCACAAACATTCTTCCAGAGGGTTCGGGCTCTTTTTACGGTTCCACGCAATCGTAGAGCCTGTGTAGCGGCATTCGTGGTGATGGCGGCCCAGCAGCTTTGTGGGGTGGGTATTCTATGCCATCGATGTCTACCTATGATATAGACCCTCATTCCGTTTCCGGCTGACAACAACCACAGATTAATGTCATTTCATTTTATTCTTCGGACCTCTTCCATAGTGCAACATCGCAGGATGAAAAAATTCGCCAGCTCGATTGTACACCTCCAGGAAGGAATAACCCGGTTGCTTGGCTCAACTTCGGTAAGCGATACAGATCTCCAAGGATCCCGTCTTTTCTATCCTGATAAATGACTGGGGAAACTGAGACATGCCAGGATTTGGGTTGGCCAATTTTCTATTTACGATCCCTGCCTATACATTCATTGACTGGAGGGGTCGCCGGGTTCTTTTGTTAATCTCTCTCGGCGGAATGTTCTTTACTCTTCTTGCGATCTGTGGCTTTTTCCGTATTACAGGATCCGACCAAGAGCGAGAAGGCCTAATAACCGCTTTCACGATTGTCGTTTTCACTCTCTTTTATGGCATTGGTGCCGGACCAGTCCCCTTCACCTTCAGTGCCGAAGTGTTTCCCCTGGCTTTTCGAGGTAAGCGTGTCGGCAGTCGATCAAGCTGACAATGCAACTCTGCTAATAACCACGATTGTAGAGGTTGGCATGAGCTTCAGCGTCATGGTCAATTTTCTCGGTCTGAGTCTTTTGATCCTGTTCAATCACGTCTCGTGAGTGCACTGCACTGCCACGTATGTAAGCGACGCTCAGCCTCGCCAATCTCATCAACTAATTGCTTGAGATTTATTACTCAGACTTATCCACTTTATCTCACTCCACCATTCCTTTGTTGAATTTCTGCTCGAGGTCTTCGACTTTTCCCTTATTGTGAAAGATTGCGCCAGCCATCAGGATAGACCACCATGGCTGAGATACTGGGTGTTGTGGGGAGCGCAATCAGCATTTTACAATTGGTGGATCAGACGATCCAAACCATAAACCGTGTGAGAGCTCTACGGGCTTTTATGGGAACGGTTTCAGACGACCTGGAGGAGTTTCTTGATGATATTGAGGTTGTGCAGGAGATCCTGATGGCACTGACGCCGGATATGCTTAAGGTGCTCAGTCTGCCGTTGGTAGAGCGCCGATTGCAGAGATTCCAAGCGGACCTGACAGTACTTGCATCTGTGATACAAAGCGAACGGGACCGCGTCGCAAATCGAAGATTGGCAAAGTTCAAGCTGTTTTTGAAAAAGGACAGACTGCAGAAGCAGAGGGAGAGCCTCGAAAATATCAGAAATCAGCAGACTTACTTCAGGTTGGTGGATATGCTCCGTGTCTTGTTGCAAGTTCTGGTGCTTCCTCTCGCTTCTCGTGTACTGAGCAGTCTATATCATAGTGCCCATGTTCGAAATTTGCGTTTGATAGAGGATTCAGCAAGTAAGACTGATATGAACACGGCAACTCTTCAAGCGTCAATGACCTGCGACAGCAATACTCGACGGCCAAAAGATCTCCAGCACATGTACGCTCGTAAGACTCGAGGGAGTAAAAACTTCTCGTTCCGCACACCCCTTTTTATTGTCGACAAGTTCTGGAATATAAGCATCACTGGAATCACCTCGGGCTGGAATTTCAGCATTCGGTCGTATAACGTCATACCGGATGACTCTGCAATTATCAGCTACTGTGCAGATGGCAACATTGAAGAAATTCAACGACTGTTCGACAATCGTCTTGCATCTCCATTCGACTGTGACAACCTTGGATGGACGTTGCTCCATGTATGTATAGTATCACGCACGGCTCCTCACCTCTGTATTTCATCTAATCAGATCTCCAGATAGCTGCTGGTTATCACCAAGTGGAGGTTTGCAAGTTCCTATTGCGGAACGGTGCCGATCCTAGCGTGAGGAACTGCGACGGAGAGTAGGTCATCGAAGTGTTACGACTGCAAAAGTGAAACCCACTGACAGACGTGCAGTACCGCTTTGGAGTTAGGTAATAGGTCCTTCATTCTGTGGAAACCACAGAATCCGCCCTGTGCTATTGATCTTTATCGTCTGCTCATCAGGGACAATCAAGATGTGCTGTTTGAGAAGCCCGACAGTACATTGGTTGGCAGGTCTCAGTTTGCAGGACCCCCTGAAGCCCTTACACTGATTCAGGAGTCCTTGTTTGTTAACTACTCTTCCCTACCTATTGAATTTCGTTTCACGCGAGCAATGTCCCTAGAAGGCGAGTATTTCAGCTGGATCAGCCCAGATATACTTCGCATCGCAATGGGCGGTGATGGCATCGACCCTGCTGCCTATAATCTAACCGACGAGTGTGGAAAAACCTTGCTGTTTCAAGTCGTGGCATTCATGGCAATGAATATCGCACGTTCGAAGGATGACAGCATATCGGGTTGGCGTGAGTTACTCAGGGAGGCGATCCAGGCCGGGGCAGATCTGTGCCAGATATCAACCGAGGACGGCTATCACTACACGCCCTTGATGGAATTTTTCTATTCTTACACAATTTACTCGGGGAACATAAGGCAAGCGAGATATAATTTTCACCATATACTCCAGCGTTGGGCGCTCGAGCTGCAGTCAGCAGGTGTTGATCTAGCTGTTTACGGAGCTAAGGAAAGTGCTCTTTGGAAATCCGGTGCCGTTGGCTCTTCTCTCTATATCTACGTGTCTTCTTCACGTTCTCGCCCGTCCCAACCCGATCAAGTGGGAGAATGGCTGGAGGTTCACCTGTTCTCCCTGAGCTATGGTCCCAATCCGGAAGATTGGCATGTACGGGTCGCCAATCCAGTGGACGAGCTGGTGGGAGAATTCTGGGAAATGATAGAGAGGGAGGAGGAAAATATGCCGGGCACATGGGTCGAGTGATCACTCGGCCAGGAGGGTCTTCCTCCTAGGGGTTCCCTTGATCAACAGACGTACATAACATTTGCAAGGTCAATCATCAAGGTCAATCACCAAGTGTCCTATTAAACTGTATGATGACAGACCCAATACCCACAGAAAAGACCTGTCTATGGCTCAGGTAATGGATGAATGCGCATGGGGACGTCCTCACTCAATTTCCTTGTGTTTGAAGGCCAATTTGGAAGATTGAGCAATACTAGAAACTCCCAACTTTGGCCTAATTTATATCAAAGACGTGACATTCATGATGCATTTACCGAACACAACATACCTGGTGCTTGAGAAGGATGTTCAATTTTCTCTGCTGGTAGGACGTATCTGAGCTGACTTTGATTACTCTGGACTTCCACAAGATGTTCTTCGAGTTACGTATTACGACCGGAACAAAGGTCTACCAGATTCTGATTTCTTCAACATGAAGCTATTGGAGTACACATGGGAACTTCACGAGTTTGGTCAGTAAAGATTCAAGACAATGTGTCATAGACATTGAGTCAGACATTGCTACATATAAAGTTGCCCTTGTCCTTGAACAACACAGAACCCCATGTGATACAACTAAGTACCTCATTGAAGCCATCTGTCTGTAAAGTACCCTGTCACAAAAGCATAGACTGCCTTGTGCAGTACATCGATGATCTGCTCATTGACAGGCCACGTCCTACATGCCTTGTCAGTAATCGTACAAGAAATGAACGCCAATGTTCGAAGATACGGACCATGGAGGAGCGCCGACTCCCGTCCAATTCTCGAGCGTTTGATCAATCATCAACCGGACGGAGATGAACATAAAGTCGGCAAACGGTCCTCGAATCCCGTTGACGCTCATGAATGCTCGAATGACGGCCGCAACTGCACCTTGCCCGTAATGCATGGCCATGTTCAGTCCAAACCGTTCGTTGTCCGGCCGGGTAGGGAAGGACAGTAGTCGCTCTAGCGTGTGGGCGGGGACATATGAGCTTGGTCGTCCAGTAAAGTATTGTTCAATCTTCTCTCCGACAGTCATTCTTTTCTTCAATTAGTTGGATTTCAGGATTTAGGAAAGAGGACATACGCTGCTACACCGAGCAGTCCTGCACCGCAGCCATAAAGGACCCATGTTCCTACGGGAAACGGGCGGGCGGGTTGCTCAGGCACAGTGGTTCGACGCGACATGGTAAGTAGATATTTAAGTTGAGGTTTTATTCTACCAGAGAAGAGATATTCAAGCTGAGAAATATGTGGTATGAGTTGTTACAGACGCCAATTCAAGATTTCTCAATGAAGACTCTGGGTTATGTCATAATGGCGACACACCTTGGCAACATCATCAACCAACACTTTATGGTAATAATAAATTCGCTCTGAATAGCTTCATATAAGGTTAGATATTCTACGGTATTATGGGATTAACTTACTAAAAGCACTCCAATCAAATCATTTGTTGGAATAATGTCCATCATGTTATATCATAATAGTTAAATTAGATCGGCACTTCATTGCCTCAAGGTGATAGATAATAGAGCTTAATGACTGCGCTGCCATATGCCCTGGGTATTCACCTTAATGTCTTCCTCTTACTATGTAATAAAGGTTGATGGCTATATATAACTACTAAAGCCATGTCACTATCGGAACTCCCCGTAAACAGGTAGATCTCTTTCACTATATAGTGCTTTCTATTGAATAGTGAATAGCATTACTGCTTTATACATTCACTTTTGCCATCTGAAGGATGTATATATAACCTCCTCATACCCCCTTCTTTTCCTTTGAACTCTCTCATCAGCAACGGTATCCAACCGCCGGACTGGAAAGGTGTCATCAGAGCGACTTACTGCATATACCTTGCATTGCGAAGCCTCTCTCATTTATCCAATTGACAGCCATGGATCAGACACTTTTATGTATCATGCTCCTGATACTCCTCGTTATTGTTTCGATTGCTCATCTTCGGTCGCTCTTTAGCATGAGGTGGTATGTCGATAAATTCGTCCTTTGAAGAGCATTGTATAAATACTGACACTAACATCTTATCTATAGGCACGACCCAAGTATCCCCTCTGCATCCCCGGCTCTTCGTGATTCTGGGGCTTTCTGGTCAGAAGTCTGAACCAATGGAGGACAACTACGATGGATTATCGACCCTTTCCTCGTACATTTCAGCTACAATGTCTGCTACGGTGTCTTCTGGGCAGGAGAACTACATCTCGCTCTGATTACTTTGCCACAAATCTCACGGAAGTTGAAGACGACAGCCACACGGATGCCTTGAGTTGGTACCTGATTCTCCTGAGTCTGATTTTCTCGCGTTGGTACGTTTTCACGGAAGAGGTATGTTCACAACCAAAGGACCTATCCCCGCGTTGTACACATTCTTGCCTGGAAATCATACTGACCTATCATGATACAGCTGTGGGGAAACAAGGAACAAAGAATGCCATTGTAGACTGGCTTTGAATGGCAGACGGAGGCACAAACAAGATGGATATGAGAGTAATGGCTGGGGGACAAGCCCTCGGAAAGCTTTTAACGGGGACAAATGGCTTGCAATACGGCGAACCATCATAGGCTTGGAACGGGGCCAATCTTTGTTTCCCATTCTGGGTCGCGAAAATGATATTGGATGTCACATTTCTATGCATTATGTGTCGCAAGTTATCTGTTCATGTGGCCAAGCTACCAAGGGAGTGAGCTCCTGGCTAATGTCGTGTAGATCAACGCCACGAATTAGATGTCTAGCTTATGAAGAATGAGAATGTAAGATGACCGTCACTCCTCTATAATCTTTGATATGAGACGTAAAGGACCCCAGGGGACGACATAATGAACATATCTCCTTATTAGCCAAAGCAAAGCCGCATCTGCAGAGGAGAGTGACTGTCAGAAGTGTGCTGTTTGTCAATGACTGAGCCCACCACACATTCCCAGCACCCTTTGTCTCCTGCTCAGCCCATACTTCTTGCAGGAGAGGTGTGGTAGTGCTAAACATGGTATCTGGTTCTGTCATTCCAAAAGAGGTTTTTAAAATCTACTTCCGCGACGATGGATCTCGCAATTCGCGGCCTGCAAAGAAGAGGGGCAGCAAGGCCTGCCTGGATACCATGCTCCCGTCGCGATACGCAATCTTCCCTGTTGACCAGGCTTGTTATTGCATCCCACCTGAAAGGTCAGCTAACTTGAGAATGATCCAGCGTCGGCTCCAATTACCATAACAGTATTCCTATCTGCGCCTGTGTCCTGCCGGACCTGATCCATCTGTCGATATCACCGCCAGCTTCAGTAACGCCGTATGCCCCAAAAAAGTGTGTGCGCCAATGTCCAAGGGCAGACTGAGTTTCCTAACATCCACTGTCAGTCAGGACTAAATGCAAGGAAGGTCAAGGAAGACCAATGTCTAGTGAAAATAGGATACATCGGTGACTGGCGGCATGCTCTTGTATGGATGGACATCATACTCCTCCATACATTGGATGGCGCCTACCGTTGGCTTGATGATGGTGCGCTTTGCTTTGGGACTACCGCTGTCATAGTGGGCAATGCAAACTATCTCATAGATGCCTACACTAAGTATGCGGCGAGCGCTCTTGGTGCATCGGTCTAGTCGAGAATATTGCAATAGCTTTTCTTCCTCTCACCACAACAGCCATGTACACCGGCCTCGGATTTCAATGGGCTAGCTCACTTCTTGCATTTTTGTCTCTAGCACTGGTGGCTACTCCGTTTGTGGTTCTCAAATGGGGTACTGCTATCATATCCCGCAGCCCGTTCATGAAAGAGGCTATCATAGACCGGCGAAGAGGGGGGGGGCGGACGCGTAGCAGCGGTCATTGCGTGATGGGATCTTGCCATCCGCAAGGGGACATGCTCTGTCCGGCCAAACTGTTAATGGTCTCGATATGCTTGGCTTGAAGTACTGAAGCACCGGCACCACGTCATTAACAGCAAGTCACAGTTTTTGTTAATAAACTCATCAGGATTAGTATATAGTTCTGTTGCGTTAAGCACTCAAGACGCGGAATAGTAATTTTCATGCAGCCCAAAACTGATCGCGTGGTTGTGTTCAGCCCTGCCGACCTCCGTCATCGTCCTCGCATCAAGGCAAACAAGGTAACTTGTCCCTGTCTCTCCGTTCAACACCACACTAAGCAGATATCCCGCATCCTCCGCCTCGCCAGTGCCGTCGGGGATGAAAATCGGCTCAGATGGCGTATGAGGTGCCGTTTCGCTTTCCCAGTACTCTACTGTTTGCGTCTCAAGATCGACCTTGCCGATTGCATCGAAGAAGGAAGTGCGCCCTCGGTTGACGGTGCAATAGTGGTAGCGCGCTCTTTTGGCTGCGAATCGCGGGTTGATCGTCGGAAGTTCGCCGGATTCAAATTCAAAGACACGTTCCGCGGCGGCAACTGTTCTGACGGTTGACTGTATGGGCACTCGTGGCAGGCGATAGCGGACGGTCATGGGGGTTTCGGATCTCTTCAACGCGAAATTCGAAACCTCGCCATCAGTCGACAGGATGTCTTTGTAGTAGGCTCGGTGCAGGACATCCATGTTGGCGTACTGCACCACGTCACAGATGATGTTAACGGTATGCTTGGATTCCGGTTCTTGAAAAGCATTGATCGTGTGAAAGGCAAAGAACGGCGGACTGACGAACTTGGCAACGACGCCTCGTTGGCCCCTGCGGTCGACCACGAACCACTGCGTTTGGGCAGTAGGATCGAATTTCATTGCGTCGAGCATGTTCCGTTCCCAGAGGATGGAGGCCCCGAAGCCTTTGAAGTAGGAGGGCCAGATGCAGAGGATGATGTAGTCCTCTGTCAAGAAGAAGGAATGGATATAGGCTGGTTTTGTCGAGATTGTGGCAATGACCTCTGTTTTGGATGTGCTGGCCGAAGTGCGGTATACACGAAAGGTGCCTCTCGCGCCCAGGTGCAGGTTGTAATTGTATACATCTCCGGTTTCTGGGTCGAATTGCGGGTGTGCGCAGGAGAGTTGTCCCTTCATCAACAGTCAGTTGCAAATGCTGCGGAAGAATTAGGGACGGGGAAGAGTAGTACCTTCAGTTCCGGGTGCAGCTCCTGTTGCGTGCTCGCAGCAAGCGGCTCGAGGGTCTCCGGTTCAGCATGTGTGATTTGGTTTGCATCAGTAAGACAGGTCAGCACCTTGAATTGCGAGGATGCCGGTACAGCAGGGCCATGTTTCAGCATGCCAGGCATGTTGGCGACCACGGTGACATTGGCGTTGACGAGCTGTGGATTAGAGTTGAATCCACTCGGCTCAAAGACGGTCTTCATCTTATGAAAGAATGACTCGCACGGGTCTCTCTTCTGGCCAAAGGTGACGGCCTTGAGATCTCCGGTGCGGCGTGCTTCCTCCATCAACGCGTCGACCTGGAATCGAGAGTTATAGAACACGCGACAGTTGCCGTCGTCCGTGGAGAGTATCTGGAATCGGTGCAGCTGTGCGAAGCCGTCAAACCAGTGACTGCGAGCATACGACCCTGTTTTCGAATCGACACGGTAGGTGCCGGGGCCATTGCGGTATAATGTGCCTGCGAGAAGTGGCGGAAAGGTTCCAGTCACTCGCAGTTCGACGGGCTCACGCTGCTCTCGGTCGATTGCCAGCTATTGGATTGTCAGTAAGGATGGCTTATCCCGAGCTTTGTACGGTTGTACCTACCGCAGCTTCAAGTGAGTAGCTCTTAGAGTCGGTCGCTGGTATGGAGCCCATGCTGCTGCTAAAATTCACTTAAGTCTTGACTATCTTAAGGTCTTTGCCATCGGTTTTGCGACCGTTTATATTCTATCAAATGAGATCAGATGCAACCGAGGAGCGGAATACCTCCACCACCGACGGACAAATATGCCAGCATAGAGTGAGGCTGAGATAACTTTAGGTGACAGCTCTAAGCAAGGATGAACAGGATGCTTATCCAATTACTGCCGACGCTTGGGCCTTCGGATTCACCCGCTAAAGGTGGTGGTCCCTATGTAATTGCTCGGCTTATTCTTTCAGGAGCGAGTCAGGTCCAATTGATGCTCTGCCTGAGCATTCAGCAGGTCATCTTGGGTGCCATCCATGCTTCTTTTAGGCATCCATTGTAGCCCTGGGACCAGTACCCAGTTGAGAGTCAACAAGAAATAATACCACCAAAGAATGCCTGAATCGACTCCGTCTAATACCATCTAGCTTATTCCAGCTTAGAGCAATGGCGGGGAAAACATATCACAAGTCATGCTTGGAGAGGAGATCCTTCGACAACAGGGACTCATACACCGTCGATTTACTCATATAGACGCAACTCAGTGCGGTTGGTGAGAGCCAGTTCAGGTTCTATCTCAAAAAGGGATACGCCGAATATCGTAGGAAATCCCATCTAGCTGAGGTATAATCGGAGTGATGTCCTGACAGAGACATAATCTCTTGAGACAGTGTAACTTGGCAAACTTCCACAAATTTCAATCCGGGGTCGAGGCATCATTAAACTGTCCCGACCAGTCTTTGCATCTAAGATTCTCCAACACTCTGGTGCAGGAAAGGTGGTCAAGAGAGCGAGGAAAACAATCGCGCGGCAGGGGCTCTTGTCCTAGCTCCGGACAAATGCTCCAACTATTGTGGACATTCTGGGCATAGGATTACAATTCCATCATAGGAAGCGCAAACCTTCTCGAGTAGAGTAATTCTAGACACTTGTCGACTTATTATCTCACTATCGAAGGCTATGTTATAGACCTATCGAACGGCGCAGGCTCAGTTTTGGGGGCCAAGGTCATGGCGTAAATTGAGAACTCCAAGAACAATCATAAGCTAACAGACGTTCTCAAGTCGTTTTCATCATTCTCTATATCTCCAAGAGTTGCTTTGAATGACAGATGCATAAATGCTATTAATAGCACGCTACATAGACCCGAGGCTTTTAAGGCTATTTGGGCTATACATTGGGGGCCAACAAGGCTGCGACACCATCAGGCTTGGACCCTGATGCGGCTGTTATTTGGCTCATATGAAACAGGACTGCTAATAACTCTATTCTTTTAAGTAGAGAGAGAATGGCAGGGAATCCAACGATCAACAGAGGGGCTGTGGCTTGGCATGGATCGGCCAATGATCTACATCTTGAAGAACGCTGTTGGTGTTGGATATCAAGTACCAACAGATGAGCCACAGAGTAGAATCAGCCTTGAGTTGGAAATAACGGCTTCATAGCGGAATCAAGATATAGAATTGTATATAAATTATATATAAACACTACCTTTGACATGATGTGCATCAGAATTGCCCACACCTTGTCAACCATCCTTGTATACCATCACCATGATTCTACTACAACTACTTCTATCTCTAACTTTGCTCTCTCAATCCCTCGCGGCCGTCCTCCCGCGATACAGCCAACGTATCCTCAATCCGACCTCCAACGACCTCACCAAGATCTTTACCTTCTCCAGTGACTTTCCCCCGCCAAACAGCGGCAACCTGCAAGTCCACGACCCGAACATCATCGAGGAAAATGACACGCTCTACCTATTCAAAGGTGGCATCCACATCCCCTACTGGAAGGCCTCGAGCATCTCCGGACCATGGACAAAAGTCGGTACCGTGTTGAGCAAAGCCAGCGTGATCAACAAAAAGAACAACAACCGGCCCTGGGCACCAACCGTCACGAAATACAAAGGACGATTCTACTGTTTCTACGCCATCAGCCAAAGCGGCAGCCAGGATAGTGCCATTGGGTACGCCTCCACGTCTGACCTTGAAAAGGAGTGGACGGACCATGGCGCGTTGATCAACACCGGCTCCGGGGAACATTCCCAGATCGCGCCGTACAAGAACACGAATGCCATCGATCCTGCGTTTCAGGTGGATGAGAAGAGTGGACAGCCGTATCTCATCTACGGGAGCTACTGGGATAACATTTACAGCTTGCCGCTCCAGGTGGACAAGGATGGCAAGCTGTCCATCAAGAATGAGCAGAAACCAGATGCAACGCACTTGACGTTTATGCCTGGGAACTGGAGACCGCAGGAGGGAGCGTACATGTCATATCATGAACCGTACTACTATCTCTGGTTCAGTCAAGGGATCTGTTGCAATATGGTTCAGGGGGGGTTTCCGCTCAAGGGGGAGGAGTATGTTACTTTTCCAGTTCCACTTAAGACGGCGTACTGACGAAGCTTCAGATATAGTATCCGAGTCGGTCGATCGGAGAGCATAACCGGTCCGTTTATGGATAAGTCAGGCAAGAAACTTCTCGAGGGGCACAGTGAGGAGATCTACGGGTCGAACAACGGGAATGTCTACGCGCCGGGTGGTGTGGGCGTGTTACCAGGCAACGGCAAGCGAGGGGATATTCTCTACCATCACTTTTGTGAGTTTCCCATCCTAGTGTGCGTCAGGTGCTGACTATCCGTTAGTCAATGGGTCTATAGGCTTTAAAGACAGTGTGAGTACATCGTTCTTGAATGCTTGAACTAGGCTGATATGTTACAGGACACCCAGCTGGGCTGGCATTATCTTGAATACAAGGATGGATGGCCTGTCGTCAAGTGAGTCTCCTTCTTTGCACTTAATGAGTTGGCTGACTAGATCAGGACGCAAGATCCTCCGGTTAAAGTGCCCGAGCCGATCAAATTCACCCTTCCTTCAGTCACATATATGGCTCAGATGGGTAAAACCTCATAGACTTCAACTTCTTCATTCGTCTCAATAGGTGGCGTTTTCCTGATTCTGTTTATGATATGTGATACTCCCGATGTTATGCGATATAGATTCTGTGTTTGTCCTCCAAATTCCAACTCTGAAATTCTTGTAAAGTTTCAGACTGTGAAGAGCATTAAAGCCAGAACACGGCATTCGTCCGGAAGTCTTAGCAGAGTCGAGAAGAGTATGAGCCTTTGACTCGATTGTCTGACTTGGTCATATTGTCTGGCACACAGAAATATACTTTTCCGCAATCTAGCTTGCCCCTACATGGCCACGCATAATCATAAATGTTTGATGACTGAAAAGGTTGCTCCAGATACAGTAGACTATGTGAGAATATCTTTGGTAACTATGTACATTCTGTCTACTTCCAGTTTGCTGATCTGCTGGGACTAAGCTTTTGGCAATCGGCAGCAGAATGCAATGCACAGGAGACAAGACCAACAAGCTTCTATCAACCATTGCAGTACTATCTTTATTGACATCTGTTGGATATATCTTTTCTCGGAAAAGCACACAGACAGTCAGAAGTGCGAGGTGATGAGCTACAAGCAATCCGAGTCCAAATCGTCTTGTGCCACGGTTGCAAGACTGGCTATTCTTATTGCTTCTCAAGACGTTAACGATTCACTACTCCGTAACGTGTGATTCAAAGCCACTTCCGGCAGTGGAGTATCAATAAGCCGGTCAGGATAAAAGACCTATGGCTGTAACTATCAACAGGATGCTCATCATGATAGGCCCTTAGCAACACTATTATATGGCGACTAGTCCTCCTTCGTTGAGCACGTCAGCAATCTACTCGAAGTCCTGCGCGTCCCGAACCTCATTATGGGACACTCTGCACCTGCCGTCTGCCTTGAATCACGGTTCCAGAATACTGTACGACAGACCATGTCATCCGATAACCAACATTAGTATCGGCTCTACGGTACCAGTATCACATCTATCCCGATCCACAGCGGATGACACTGGAGCATCTACCGCGTCATTGAACTTGTAACCTTTAAACGACCGGTTGCAAGTTCAGCGAGATATGGAGTTGCTTCTGGGCTGGCCAGTGATCTTTGTAGAAGAGGGTGACAGCTCGTCCATGAGATCAAGTCTGGATCTCAATGGGCGCGGGAGATTGGGGGGAATATGGTTCGGCGAGTACGGAAAGGGAGCCTTCGAGCTGCATGGATCGAAACGAAGGAGGTGACATTGACAGGTACCGGAATGGGAAGCCGAGAGAGTAGGAGTTCAATATCGAGGAAGGTAGCTGAAGGAAAGAGATCAGTGCGACACACTTCATAAGCGTAAAAGGGGTTCTGACCTTGAAACTCGCCGCTTCAGCCCAATTGCCTGAATCAATCAACGAGAGATCAGTCTCACCGGAATCCACTCATGGAAGGACGCGCCAGAACCTCAAGCCTCCAGGTCCCGGAGCATGGAGTACACCATAGACAGCAGGCCTGAGCACCCCGCATGAACCAAATCGGTTGTTTGGAGACGCACGAACAAGTTCATAGCTCCAGCGGAGTCCATGGGGAAGCACATGGCACAACCCACATGGAAAATATGATAGATAACAGTTGTGGTCAGATCATCTGCCACGATTGAGCCAGTTGGGTACGAAATTGGGTAGTTCGTGGCCACCGAACCAAATCAGAAACGGAAACAGCATGTCAAATGAACCAATCCATCGAGATGCGCCGCGATGCACTGCACCACGACCTGTGCGTCCAGGAGCTGAGCTCAAGCTCCCCGTCGCCAATTCAATGGAAACGGTTGAGCCACGCTATCGGTACGAGAATCATCGTAAACAAGCTGACAGGGAGTATGTTAGATGAATTCATTAAAGTGTTCGGCATCCCCAACCAAACTGGAGATGGACGGGCCGAGTTACCGGAGCTAGGACCGATTGATGCTTACTTTCTTACTGTGTTGGGCGTTTTCACCAATGAACGTGAATCGGGATGTTGTACAGGTTAAATTATTGTATACGGAGTAGATGCTATTGAATTGACCTTGGTCGCCGTTTGGTGCCTCGATGAGACTGTTGGCCCTGAATTCAGAGCAATTGTGCCATCCGTTGACCTGTTAGATGAGTGGCCAGCGTCTCTTCTTTCCTGGCCAAATCCTGTTTGCTTAATGTGGCAATCGCAAACTTGGAATGGCTGCTCACTGGTCTAAGACATTGATTGTATCTTGCCACATTGACCTCGACAAGGCTTACTGGTGTATCGTCGGCGCTTGAGGTCGGCCGACCACGGCCGAATGGCAAAGTACTCCGTAGTAGATGGAATGTCGCCATTCGCGTGGGGTAGTCAGCGAACTTAGTCTGATAATCTATGAATGTATTTTTGACCTGGAGAAGCGAGATGATCGTTGTAACAGGGATTGAACATAATGGGTCTGTTGCTATTACTCTTTCGGGCAAAGAAGGTCAAGAGAATCTATCAAGGTTGTGCCAAAGAATGCGTTCGAATCCAGCATTTTAGACCAAATGAAGCTTATGAATTGTAACAATATCTCGTCGTATTCAATATGTCACTGAGATGAAGAGATGACCATCTGGTGACTTCAAGTTGGTGATGCGCCACTGCTGACAGTGCTCGGCTAGGTGGAAGATGCGAATCCTCAACCATCAGTGGAGTCAGTCTTCGTCACGATCAATTGTCCCTATGAAAGTCTGACCATTCCTGTTTCAGAGTGTGGGGAGAATATCAGACGATTTTGCAAGTCATGTGCGTGGAGCTTGATACTGATCAAGTTGGTCTGAACTGGTCTGGTGTCTAGTCGGAGGCAGCCGAGTGCAGACACACCTCTTCATCAATTACTGACGAGTATTTGACCAACCTATGTCTCACTCACTGTACCGCAGTATCGTCAAACTCAAGCTATCAGACTCGGGACAGGTTTAGGGTCGGGTAGAGGCTGATTCCGAAGGATCCATCATTCTCTCTGTCAGTCACGGTGTCAAGAATCTGGTAGACTCCTCTTAACAAAAGCTAGTCTAAGCACTACTACTACTGGGGGGCAGATGATCCACAGCTCATCTCTGCTAAGCGAGAACTCGTGCCAAGGGGACCCGTTACTGCTAGAGTGACTTGGCTCCGGAGCCAATCTGTTTGAGGAGCGGAGGACGACGCAGCTGACCGAATGAGGAATCCCAGCAGCAAGGGCTGGTATGGTCGCTATTGGTGGCATATTGTGGTTCATGGCCATTCTCATTTGTATCCTTGCTCCTGAAATGAATGAGCTGCAGCCCGCGGGCCCGTGCTTGTGTCAGGCTGGACATTGTGGTCAACAGTCTTGGAATCAATTTGAATGCTTCTTCGGCAAACCGAGTGTATCTTGTAGACAGTGTACACAGACAGTACTATACTGAAAATGAGTCCAGTCATTCTTCACATGCCAGCTGATCTCCTGCTTTTCTCGTTCTTTTCCTCGTTGCCAAAAGCGAGAATAGAGCTAATCGCGAGTGTTTTACGTTCCTCCCCTCTGATTGGTGCAACCGGATATCAACCTTGCCTTAGTGGCGAGATATTCTTGATGAACCAATCAGATAGCGTAATTCCCTTCCATTTCCCCCCTTGTGAAAAGCGACACGGAGCTGATGCCGCATCGAGCCTTGACCTGTTCAGTCTAGCGCCCTCATTTCCCTCTTGCAGTGGTCTTCTCGGATAGCCCAGACCGACTCAGGACTCTGCGACTCTCGAAGCTCTGCCAAAGGAGTGGCACGATTTACTTTCATGGCATCCAGCCCTAACCCCTTCTGGATAGGGGCCCCTTCTTTGCCCGCAGTTGAATTCCATTTCCGAGGTTGGGCTCTGGGGTCTGGCACTCTGGGCGTCTGGGGTCATCCCCAGTTTGACACGCAGGAAACCCGGGAAGGCGGGCGTGTCTCCCGAACAGAAACGACTAGTCTAGTCTCCAGATTTCGGCCAGGTTGACTCTCTTTCGTGATTTTCCAGGGTCTCTGTCTCTTGGGAGAGGACGGAGCCAACGTGTGTTCAATCCTCCGTGCCAACCACAGCGTCGGTAACAAGCATCGCCGTAGTCAATGTGCGTGACACCCAGGTCGAAAAGGTAAAGCTAAAGGGATTATAAGAACCTCATGCTGTCCCACCCATCCTAGTCATTCACGGGTGCTTTTTCGTCTCCTCTCACTGTCGAATCCCTCCATCCGAATCAGCAATCTGGTCGTCGACTCGATCCTATTGTCACAGGATAACCACCGACAACATGTCGTCGACCGATGAGAAGTACGGCATCTCGGTAGAGCATGCCTCGCCCGGTTCTGAGACCGATACCAAGCCCGTTGTGCCCGTTGGCCATGGCGAGGCGGTCAAGCTCGAGGGTGCGAAGACAAGGAAGGTTTTCAATGTGAGTTGCATCCGCAGTCGGCCATTAACACCATCCTGAAACATTGAACCATGTTGACGAGAGAGTCGAATAGGCCGAGTTGTATGCCGCCATCAATGAAACTACTATCCCCAGATGGAGCAAGGAGTCCATCCACTTGTACTGTGAGTCTGGATACATTGACCACTGATATTGATACAAGGCTGACAACCGCTAGTCTGCATCTTCATCGCCTTCTGCTGTGCCTGTGCCAACGGTTATGATGGTGTGTGATATGGAGCCCTCGTCATTGACACGACCCTAATTCGAGGATAGGTTCGCTCATGGGAGCCATTCTCGCCATGAAACACTTTCAGAATACCTTCCACACCGGTCTGGTCGGCTCCAAGGTCTCCCTGGTGACCTCCCTCTACACTGTGTAAGTCTCCCCGAGAACACCCTGCCTGGAGGCTCCTGCTCATGCATTCCCATCTGCAGTGGTTCCATCGCCGCAACCCCCTTCAGTGCCGTTATTTCCGACAGGCTCGGTCGTCGCAAGTGTATGTTCGTGGGCGCCTGGATCATTGTCATCGGTTCCGTCATCATCGCGACTTCGTACCATCTCCCCCAGTTCTACGTCGGCCGCCTGGTCCTTGGTTTCGGCATTCAGGTCATGGTCGTCTCTGCCCCCGCTTACGCTGTTGAGATTTCTCCTCCCCACTGGCGTGGACGTGCCGTTGGTGAGTCGCCTCGCAATTCCTGAAATTTGACCAATTGCTTAATTGAGCAGGTTTCTACAACTGCGGTTGGTTCGGTGGTTCCATCCCCGCCGCAGCCGTCACCTACGGCTGTAACTACATCGATAGCGACATCTCGTGGCGTATTCCCTTCGTCTTGCAGTGCTTTGCCTGTGTCATCGTCATCTGCTCCGTCTGGTTCATTCCCGAGTCGCCCCGTTGGCAGATAGCCCACGGCCAGGAAGAGTCGGCCATTGCTTTCTTGACCAAGTACCACGGTAACGGCAACCCCAACGCTCGCCTCGTCCGCCTGGAAATCGAGGAAATGAGAGAGGGTATTCGTTTGGATGGTATCGACAAGAGATGGTGGGATTGTAAGTTCTTCCTTGTCGCAGACATTCAGTGCAGGAACTGATCGATCGTTCAGACCGCCCCTTCTTCTTCACCCACAGCGGCCGCTGGCGTTTCCTCCAGGTCATGATGATCTCCGTCTTTGGTCAGTGGTCCGGTAACGGTCTGGGTTACTTCAACGCCAGTATCTACAACACCCTGGGCTACACCTCCAGCTCCATGCAGCTGCTCATGAACCTGATCAACTCCATCGTTTCGGCCATTGGCGCTCTGACTGCCGTCGCCCTTACCGATCGCATGCCCCGTCGTAAGGTTTTGGTCTGGGGTACTTTTGGTACGTTCCTATCCCCGCTTCAGCTCCTGGATAGCCACTGACCATCGTAGCGTGCGCCATCACCATGGCCATCAACGCGGGTGTCTCCGAGCCCCTGATCAAGCAGACCGCCACCGGCAACATCAACAAGACCTACGGCCAGACCGCCGTCGCCTTCTACTACCTCTTCAACATCGTCTTCTCCTTCACCTACACCCCGCTGCAGGGTGTCGTTCCCGCCGAGGCCCTCGAAACCACCACTCGTGCCAAGGGTCTCGCCCTGTCCGGTTTCATGGTCAGCTGCATCGGTTTCGTCAGCCAGTACGCCAGTCCCATCGGTCTTCAGAACATCTCCACCCACTACTTTTGGATCTTCGTCGGCTGGGACTTGTTCGAGTCTCTCTGCTGGTATCTGTTTGGGTATGTCCTTTCTCTCGGTAACGCCGCAAAAGCTAGTCTGACTGGAATAGTGTCGAATCGCAGGGTCGTACCCTCGAGGAACTCGAGTGGGTCTACCAGCAGCCCAAGCCCGTCAAGGCCTCGCTCCAGGTCGACAAGGTTGTTATCCAGCCCGACGGACACGTCATCGAGAAGATCACTGACGAGGCTTAATTGTCGCTGGGGTACATCTCTGGTCAATGGAGGTGACTGTGCCGATCGCCTATTTGATGAAACGATCCGACTTGGTTCTCGTCTGATGATTTCATGACACGGCCACCTGATGGTGATGTATAATATGACTCGTGGACTCTTGAATATATACATTTAATTTGGACATTGAGGCCAGTCTGTCTTGGCATTCACTCATGAACTGTGAAATATATGATGTAGTGTCAACAACTTAAACTAGACTAGTCTAAAGTATCTTAATTCAGAGCGCATTTGCGTGCTCTCTAAGAAATCTATAAGAAAGTGAATGCAGCTAATGATATTTTAATTCACTCCTCAGAGAAATAGTAAGTTTTACTGTGTGGTGTAAGATCCGCTGTCCTATTTGTGCCTTCCCTAGCCTGAGGTATGGCATACTTCCCAAAACAGAAGGCAAGCACTCCTAGGTGGTTTAGCATCGCGCTCGAAGGTTCCTCTTCCTCTTCTCCTTACCTTCACAATTCCTCTCACTTCCATTCATTCTCAGATCTTTGACCCAAGAATACTTCTTTCTATTCACTGGTGTCAAATTCCAGTATACAAAGATATAAAGGGGTCTTCCCACTGAGCTTCCTTGCCTGTTGCCTCCAGGCCCTTGAAAACTGTTCTTCTCTTCTTCTTGTGGACTGCACTCGCTGTAGTTCCACATTCGTTATCCTACATTCGTTACACAACTCTTATCCACTGACGCTCGCTCTCTTTCTACATTCACAATACCAATTTATCAAATTCCGGTATGTTTGGATCGTCCCGGTGCTCTTCCTAGCCTGGTTCGTTTGTAAGGCTGTTGGGAGGTCTTCGATCCGATGTCCCCTGTATAATTAGATTGATAGACCCAAAGGAAGCTTTACCTGACACGTTCTCCCTATTTAAAAGATCATAAATCATGCCGTAGCTTTTGGCGAATACCATGATAGAATTTAATTTGATTCTGTGGTCGAACATACCCATAAACGCTTATGTGCAAGAGCACAATGAAACACGTCATGATTTGTCGTTGACCACACACAACATATACCTACTTCGTGTAGCTTCCTCTAGATATCTACCCTCAAACAGTCAAGGCTACTCTCTTGCGAGTATAAAGTCTATCTACAACTCTAACTTTTTTTTTATCACTGTTCTTCCTCAGGTGTGCCGGCAGAGGTCTCCAAGCACTCCTAAGTGGAAACGACCTCATCCGAGCTTCGTGGCATTCATATTAAAGTCACCATGTCGTCTACCGCTGCCTGCATATTCTTCTTTACTATAATACTACCCGCGCTACTTGGAGTAACATACATCATCCTATATATACCAAGGTATGTAGAAATTCACGAGAAGTACGTCGAATATGGATCACCGGGATAACAAGTAACTCATCTTTGCAGTGAGAATGTCGCCTCTGGGTCACGATCCATGTGTACATGTCCGAATGCCTGCCAGACCCACAGAGCAGTCACAAAGCCTCCGCCCGTGACAGATGCCTCTATAGTTGACTACTACTACAACTACCACTATCCAAATGGCCGCCAGACCGACAGCGAAGTCATAGATCCTCCGTCCTCGACAGCTGAGAGCTCTAGACATGACACGAGCTACTCGAGTCGTTCCAGGCATAAAAAGATGATCCGTGTGCTTTGCAGCGGTACATCGACCCCGGCGCGCCCTGCGGCTTCTGACTTGACATCTGCGCCATCCTCGGGTTCCTCATCGCGAGTACCGCAGCCAATGAACATAGGTCGTCCCAGGGCCTCTATCTTGAAATCGGTCTACATGACGAGTTCGGCATCCAGAATACCTCGGCCGATCAACTGGGACAGGCTGCACTGTCGGTCTCGGCCCAAGAAGGTGACATTCGGGGAAACCCGAGTGATTCGAGTCGAGATCTCAGAATAGACATTCCACCCTGCATGGTGATGTGGCACGATTTGATTTATTATTTATGGCTAGCGACATTGCTCCCATGTTTGTCCATCTTTCTTCCATACATTGTCTGCAAAGTTCTCAACTTCTTTCATCAAGATTGTAGCGCTGTTCTCCTATGATTGCTCTTAGCATTGTTGATCATTGTTCCTCTCTTGCAAACAACTGCAGTTCATCATATTCTATGTGTTCATAGTCGCTTTCAAAGAACAATTTATACGCGTGTCAGTGTCTTTCTATCAAATAGGCGTGCCAACAATTGACCTATAGCCGCTGCTGATTGTGCTTTACATTGTGTTGAACAGAGTCGTAACGGCCATTACCCACTCTCTGTCTTGTTGAACCCGTCCCCAATAAGTATGGGTAAGTTGTACTGACTACCTCCACCTTGTTTAAGAACAAGGACAGTGGAATACGGTTGACATCTCCCCTCGTCACAGAAGTCGAGGGCTGACTGATTGCTATGAGACCCGGACCCACATTCAGGATGATTGACAGAAGTTAGAACCCGAAGAGGACTAGATATTTGCCGGTTGTTCGACACAAGGTCAGCTGGAGATGGTAATTGCGATAAGGACGGAATCACAGATGCGCAATATTACTATTCATTCTCTAAGTTCTAGCATATTCAACAAAAAAAAAAAATGTTCTTCTCAGCTTTTTTATCTAAAGCTGTTCGATTTCGAGAATAGACATTAGCAACACGATACGCAGAAGCCCGACAGAGACAGAGATAGATTGTTTCGTACTAATTCCCTGCGAGTCTCATCATGAGGTTATCAGATCCTTACCGTGCGGCTATACTATTTATGGTCATGTCTTTCTCTCTTTCTGTTCGTTGCCCGGCGGAGTCAGATTGGCGATATGCAACATTGTCCAATGGATTCGGCTGGATGAGACGGTGCTCAAGCTTCACTGATCGCAATGAGACCCTGACCCACCCGACCATGACCTGATTCGTTAGTTGTCTGTCACTGCATTTCCGACGGATTGTCTAAATCGAACGGCTTCATCGACACCACAGACTAACTGTTTCGGGGCATGCCTCAGTTCTGTCTGCTTGGTCCATCGCCCTCAAGCTTCGACATCGATACCATGTAGACCTAGGTACTCACTGAAGGAGTTGATGGATTTTCATCAACATATAAGACTCTTGATATCTCCTTCGACAATGAGTATTCAACTCTCCCCAGACCAACTCCCTTCTCTCGTTCTGCAACCACCTCAAGATGGCCCTTCGTCCTCAGCAAACGCCCGGCCCCCTCCCTTTTCCGCCCCCATACATGTCCATAGCCGACGGCACCACCACACCACTGGACTTTGTCTACGGACTGGTAAGTACGCTAAGAAATGATTGGACTGTCCCAATGCTTACGAATGTGTCGGCAAAGGACGAATATGGCATCCACCAAGCCATCGATATAACCTCCATGCCACGAGGACTGACTCTTCCAACCACGCCTCCGGAATCCAATCCTCAGCACGAAGGCCACGGTCTGGATCCACACATCATCGACACCGTCCTGCAGCACGATTGCAAGACCAAAAATGTACGTATTTTTACCACTCCCGGCCCCCACTTGTTGCACTATCGCTCGGCGCTAACCTTACTCCATCCATCCTAGGTCCGACGGCGCATGCAGAACCGAGAGGCCCAGCGCCGGTTCCGCGAGCGCAAGGAACAGCAGCAGAAAACCCTCCAGCAGAAAGCCGAGGATCTCCAAAACAAGTGCCAGACCCTGTTGGATCAGTACACCAAGCGGACGGACGAGGTCTGCCGCCTGCTCAAAGAGAATGACGCTCTCCGGTCCGAGGTGAAGAACCTCCGCCAGCAATGGGAGGTGATCTCCACTATTTTGCAGCGGCCGAAGGGTTCTACTTCTCGCTCCCCGTCTGTTCTGACGGAAGAGTCTTCGCCGTCGCCGTCGCTTTGTTCGTCGTCGGAAAGGTCACGAACAGTGGATGACTTCTGGCGGCGGCTGGATGATTTCACCAATAATAGGGAAAAGTCCTACAGCCCTAGTTAGTTGTTCACCTGTCTTTGGCCTGGATTGTTTCACTTTTTCTCCTTAATGATGATATCCTTGTCTCCTTTTCTTGGCTATATAATCAGAAAAGGGCTTGTGGAAGGGAGTTGGTGATGTCTACCGGGCTATCTCTGCGCAACCAGTGCTGGCACATCTTCATTCAAACGACTTCTGCCTTTACTAACTGTGTACCTAATGCTGACAACTGAATTTGCGCCGTCTGGTTGGAGGGTTTTTATCAGCGACCCGTCCTTCCCGACCAAGAGTGAGAGCTGATTGGGTTACTACGAGAATGTGGCTTGAGCAGTTTATATAGGACAACATCAACGTGCTTCATCTGCTAACCCGAAAGGGAATGTCCTCTCTTCTATGTTTGGGATGGAAGGCAGTCACTCATGTAGTCATACAAAAGGTGAAGGGAACACTGCCTTTCAATTCATGATCGAGCTCAGTCAGTCCAATAACGCCCTCACCATGTCCTCTGCAGCTTCATCGAGATCAACGTCCTCGGCCGGCTCATCCTGGGGAACCGAGGCTTCACCCACGACATCCGCTAGCTCGCCTCCGTCTACAAGTGCCTCAAAAAATACACCCAAGCTCCGGGGCAGCTCCAAGCCCACGTTTCTGTTCATCGACGCGCAGGCCGACAATCCGCAGAATCCCTCGGTCAACAAGCAAAAGCAGGCTTTCCTCCAGCGAAACTACCACCGGAAAAAGAAACAAGCCTCGATTGAGAGGCTGAAACCTTCCAAACCATCCCCGCGCCTTGTCTCTGGTGGAAATTGGGATTTCCCGCCAGCGTATCCTTGGGAAGCCCTCGCTGAAGAGAATGAAGATCCCCAGTTAGACCGCCCGCAAGGGGCCTTTAACCGAGTGGCCAAAATGTCGGAGATGTGGTCTCTGAAAGCGTATCTGAGCCAGGGCTTCGTGGATCCCTTTTCCGCCTCGGCCGTGCAAATGTCCGACTCGATGAATCTGTATTTCCATCACTGTATGAGCTTCTCACGGTACGATGAGTTCACTGCTGACAAGACAGTCCGGATCCACACCATCGCCTCCTGCTACCCCCTCGACTCCGCCCGTATGAGCATCTGGTGGTGGCAGCGAGCCATCTCCCAGCCAGCTCTGCTCCAAGCGCTCCTCTTTCTCACGGCGGGCCACCACGCAACCCTCGAATCCAACAACGGCGTCTCCTCCACAGCCATCGAGAAGTCCATCAAGGACTCCCTCCGTCTCCGCGGGAGTACCCTCAAAAATCTGAACGATATCCTGCAAGATCCCATGAAAGCCGTCGCAGAGTCCACCACTCTCGTCGTAGCTTCGCTGGTGGCCATCGAGGCCGTGGACGCCAACTTTGACGCCCTGCACGCACACATGAAGGGTCTAAAGAGACTCATCCATCTCCTTGGCGGCCTCGACGCCCTGGACCACATGACCCTCTCCAAAATCTACCAGTTCGTGTCTCCCAATTCCCCATCCGATACCAAGAGGTAGAACTGAGAGAAAGTGCGCAGGAGCGACGTCAAAAGCGCAGCCCTCAAAAACTCCCGTCCCACGTTCCCCATGTCCGCGCGCTGGCGCAGCGAGATCCTCCAGGAATCAACACTCCTCCGCTCAACGGACCACCTCCAGGTCTCCAAATCTCTCGAGACACTAGGGAACAGCTTCTTCGCCGCACCGTGGTACCCGCCCTTGGACGGCAGCATGAAGACATTCCTCCAGGTCCTGCAGCGCCTAATCATCTACTTCGAGACCGCGCAGCAGCAGCCCTCGATCGTCATGCCGACGGACAACGACCTCTTCCTGGTGTTCGAGCACCAGCTCCTCTCGACCGTGTATGAGTCCGACGCGAATCCGCTGCAGGAGCCTCTGCGCCTGTCACTGCTGATCTACCTGAATCTGCGCATCTGGCATTTCCAGACCTTCCCCTTCATGCAGTTCATGGTCGAGGCTTTGAGGAGGAGTCTGGGACCGGCGTACGGACATGCGCAGTCCACGGCGTCGGATCTCCTCTTCTGGATCCTGTTCATCGGAGGGATGGCGTCGCAGGGCTATAAATGTCACCCCTGGTTCGTCAGCCGGTTGACGGAGCTGGCGCGTCGTCTGGATTTGATCGAATGGGAGAAGGCGAGAGAGACGCTTGGTGGATTTTTCTATACCGATCAGCCGGGCGAGAGAGGTGCAGAGAATCTGTGGAATGAGGTGCTTCTGATGGAGAGTTGTAAGTGCTTCGACGTTCTTGATCCGAGCATGCGGCTAACATTGTCAGACCCGTACATCGCCCCCAAACCGACGTTCCAGGTCCTCATGTTATGATGCTTTGAGAACAGAGCCGCCGGTTGGCTAGGAAAAGCTGCAGGACCACGACCGCATGGACAACATCACCGTTCTCGTGGTGCGTAGCTGAGGGTTCTGCTGAAAACAACGTCAGAGGAAAGTGAACATGAGACAAAGCATGCAACCGATGGAGTCAGATACCGTATCACTGCTTTTCTTCTTTTTTTTCTTTTCTTCTTTTGGCCCGCCTGCCCACCCGGGGGCTCGAAGCCCCCCCAAAAGAAAAAAGAAACACCGGCCCCCGGGGCCAAAAAAAAAAAGAAACAAAAAGACTATCTAAACTATCTATATAAACTATCTATATAAACTCTTTCTCTTATACACTACCGACACACCCAACAAAAGTTACTGTCTCACATGCATTCAACGCCGCTCTCAAAA